TCTTGAAGGCAAATGTTTTCCGATTTCAAATGTCGATCGTTTTTTTTTGTTGTTGTTGATTAAACTTCAATTGCATTTCAATTGGCACGCGTTCAACACGCACTCTTATGATATGATCAACCCATTAGATTGACGGTTAAATCCTCTGTCTCTAATCATATATCCCTAAATGCTTTGCCATGGATTAACTTGAAGTCACGTTAATCAATTGCAATTACAATTAGATTCATGATTTTAATCAACAAAAACAAATGTGTAGGTTGATTTGTTTTTTTTTGCCGTCCAAATTGTTTTATTTTCTTGTAGTTTGTAAGTGTCTTGATTGTTGTTGATTATTTAACCAAATACAATCTAATGTTAACTGTTGATTATCAACAATAAATCCCAAAGGAAATTAAGACAAAATTGAAAATGATTGTAATAATATAACACAATCAAGGAACCGGAGTAACAACAACAATTATCATTAGGAAAATTAATATTCACATAAATGATTTAAATCATTTACTTTTTTCATTTCAGTTTTCAGTTTTCAGTCTATGTTTATTTTTGATTACTGTTTAACTGGATCAACTGATTGTTACAATTAAAGGTAACAAGTGTTGTAACTCTCAGACCACTCAAAAAGTTGAAATTAGTTACGGGAAAAGTGAATGTTTTTTTTTGCTCAATGATGATGATGATTAATCTGAATGATGATAATAATTCATCATGATTGTGTTATCAACACTATTAGATAATGATAATAATGTTATAACATTCAATTGATATTGAGATGATAAATAAAAGATGAAAAGTTTTCGCATCTTCATCATAACCATCAGCATCCATGTTGACACATAAATTGAAAGGGAAATGAAGTGTTATTGTTAAGGATGATGATCAAGTGTAAGAAGTAAATAAAATACATTGTCATAAGATGATGAGGATGAGGATGAGGATGAAAATAATATAAATAAATGTAAAAGATATTGTATCAACATTGAATAACCTTACAAAATACATGACACTTTTTTTTGTTACCGATGTTCATATTATCATCAACAATATTGTACTTGATTCAAGGACGTGAACTTTCATAGGTATATGCACATGGTGAATCTCATCCTCATCCTTATCCTCATCATCATCAACATCACCATGGTCGTCAACGACATTATCATCATCATCATCTGGCTGGATCACGAAGACTCTTGAAAATAACAAATATTACAAAAGGGAAAATTTTGTTTTCCTTTATGAAAATGATGATATTATTGTTTCAATTTACAGAAGATGATGATGATGATGCTATGGATAAAGGCATAAGTTGATATGAGGATGAGGATGAAGATGGAGATGATAATGATTGTAGCATTGAAAACTTTTGAAAATGCAAAAAGTTTTTTTCATTCATATGTTGAATCAGTTGTTGGTATGATATGATTTTCACTTTGGTATATCATTATCACAAGTTTATCATTAAAATTTATCATCATCATCATCATCATCATCATCATCTTTATGATGATGATATCGTTTACAAAAGGGCGTTTAGATTAATCGTGATATGAATAAACGATTAACTTGATATAATGATAATCATGATGATGAACAAAAAGTGACGACAAAATGGTAAGATAAAGAGTCTATGAGGAAAGAGAAGATGATGATTATGATAGAGAAAGATGAAAAAGACAGAGAAAGTGAGGTAGAGAGAGAGAGAGAGAGAGAGAGAGAGAGAGAGATGAAACTACAGGAGGTGATAATGATGATGATATTGATGAAAGATGAAGAGAGAGAGAGAGAGGAAGATACTGTAAACGATATAAGAATCAGCGAGGAGTCGAAATGCAATGTAACCATATGAATGTTTGTCACATTTGGTGTTGGGATGAGGATGAGGAGAAAGAGGAAGACATGAAGATGATGATGTTGATGACGATGATGATGATACCCACAAAACTAGGAAAAGGTAATTTGGGAGTTAAAAGAGATACCCCCTGATGAGACCATAGTGTCACCATTGAATAATATATTCCAATGATAAAAGAGATGAAGAAGAAAACAAAAAATGTTGATTTGGAAAAAAAAAAAATTTCTATTCATTGAGTTTTCCATTTATAATATAAAAGTTGCCCTTTAATTTGAATTCATTTGACACAATTGTCACAATTGTCTTGTCATCTTATTCATTGTCTCTCATCATCATCATCATCATCTTTATGATAATGGTGAGTGTAAAAAGATCATCAATTTGATAGATAAATTGTTTATTTATGTTGATTAAGGTTAAATTAATCACTTCAATTGAAATTATACTATGATCCAAATGAAAGTCAATCTTTGTTCATAAGGTGTAATCAGGGAGTGGGAGGTTGGAGGTTGGAGGTGGGTTAATATGAAGGCTATTCGAGGTGGGTGGGTAGGTGGAGGGTGGATGGAGGGTATGGTTACTTGGTGGGCCATTGGTGTCGATGTTAAATTGTTAACAGTTTCTTTTTATTACAATTATGATTGTAGGAGGTCGAGAATTTAATTTAAATCACAGAATCAATTGTTGCTCATTTTTAATCATTATCATTGATGATTAAACTGCTCCTGATCATTTGATTGTTGATCACTGTTGATGCAAAGTTAACCGTTAATCAAATAACTGTTAACAGTTAGTTGGTGATTAAAGATAATCATTCATTATAGATTCTGATTGTTGGTGTTAATTGGTTTACCTTTTTTGTTTTGTTTCTTATTTTCTGTTGAGATTTTTTTTCTTCCGAGTTGATTGTTATTCACCTTGATTGTTTATCTATTATTTTAATTATATGATTGAAAGTTAGACTTAAATTTAGTGTTAAATTTAAAGCGCGTGCAGCATTGAGCACGTGTTGGATTAACATCAATGTGTCAATTGGATTATCTAATCATTGGGATAATCCTAATCTTCAGTTTGAAAGGAAAGGTTTTCAACAACAATTTAGCTTTCAAATTGTAATTACTTTTTTTCTAGATAACCTTACTCATTTATTAACTAATCCATAAGTATAACAATTAACTTTCAGGTTATTTTATATAATTGACAAACAATTTAAATACCTGGTTAAGGTTAATTGTTAAGGTTGAATAACTGACACTGGACACACGTTTGATCATTTATGATTAGTTAATTTTTTCCCTCTATGACAGCGACAAATCAAATCAAATTAACGATTAAACAACTGATCAACAATCAACTTGATTATTGTTGACATTAACCTTTTGCCTTTTGTCAATTTTGGTTTATCAGTTTAATCAAAGTTGACACTTTTTTTGTGCTGCTTGATTGTTTTGGTAATTCAAGTGACAATTTAACCTTTAAGATGATGATCGTGATATAATTTAACATCAACAATTAGATCACAATTGACTGTAATCATTGACTGTTGATTGCAATACGAGTGAGTGTGTGTGACTGTTGATTAAAATTTGATTGACAATCAACGTTGGTCCAGTATTTTGATTGATTATAATCCCATGAAAGATATCAAATATTTTGTTGATTAGTATCGATTACTAATTATTCAGAGTTAATTGTTACCTTTGAATTTATTTTCGGAAATTAAAAGTTATTTTAACTCTTTAATTATTCATATACAGTTGATTGTTTGAATTTATTTTCTACTTCTAATTGTATTGGTTATTATTTGATTACTCTTGAAACTGGATTCTATGAGATTATCATTATTATTATCATTGATTATTAGGTTTAGAGTTTAATTCAATTTTAATCTCTTAACAGTTTAATAGTTAATCTGGTTTATTGTTTCAATCACAGTTAATTGTTGAGTTATTTTTGTAACAACCTAATTGTAGTAAATCTTGTGTTTGGTTTTGTTTTTCTCAATCAAACTTTCCGATTTTGTTTGATTTTCATTCACTTTTCTTCCAGCGGAAAGAAAATAAAATTATAATTGTAACAATTATTTTCTGACAATTAAGAGATGGTAACTCCATCTATTGGCTAGAATTAGAACTATTTTCCGCTTCGATTTTTAATTCCAATCGAGTTGCAAGTTCCTTTTATACAAAAATCGATTTAGACTTTTTCTTTCCTTTCATATTATTGAAATGAGAGGAAAAAAGAAAGAGAAAATTAAAGAGAGAATTTAAATTTTTCCCCTTTTTCCCTGGGAAAATCTTCTCAATCGAACATTAGAATCGATTTTTACCAAAACCTTGAAAATAATCGATTTTTAGGCTAATTCGAAAAAATCGCTTTTCTTTTCTCTCTCAAATAGTTGAAATTTTCTCTCATGAAAATCAACAGTTTCTCCTTTAAACTGTAACTAAAATAAAACTGGGTCATTAATAGTAAATAGGATGAAGGGCATTCGAGGAGATGATTAAGATTCACTTTTTACGAAAAAAGTTATTTTTAGATTTGGTGAATTTAAATTGTTTCGACTTTGTACCGATTGACACAATTAAAACATTTCAGTTTCGTTAATTTTAATTCTGTGATAAAAAGAAAATGCAAACAATTAATTAGAGTCATCAACAAGTTAATTGATAAAAAAAAAACTTTCAACGAAATCAAAAATTAATCCATAATAATGATAATTAAATTTTCAATTTGAGTGTAAAACTGATTAATCAGTAAATTGTTAATTGTAACGATAATTTTTCTGGAAGCTGAAAAATTGAGTTCAATTGAGTGATTAGAGCTAAGGCTTAATAAGTTAGCCGAATCATTAAGATTGAATTAAATTAATTAACTCGTTAATATTTAATCATAATCTCAAGTTAATACACTCAACCTTTGACTTGAAGCTAATTGAATGACCTACTTTTCATTTGAGAGAGAGAGAGAGAGAGAGAGAGTAAGCAGATTAAATAGATTGACCCTCTCAGATGATCAGATGTTAATGATCAGAATCAACAGTTGATGATTAGCATGATAAATATAATGAGAAGAAGAAGAAGAAAAATGGATGACCAAAGAGGAAAAGGAAATGATTGAGCTGAGAAAAAGTGGGGGAAAAAAGTAAATTCAAAATTAGTTTTGTTATTTTTTGAACGATTAATCCAATTTGTTTAATTCAGTTTTACATGAAAAGGGATTGATTCAGGAGGAAAACACCGGGTATGTAGGTAATGTGTATGATTGGTTGTTGGTGTGTTGTGATTAACGATCTGAAAAGGTCATCTATCTTACAATATATATGATTTGACAGGAATTATCAACTTTATGAAAAAAAATGAGGCTATGAAAGAGGCAAAAAAAGGCTCATCATTTTTGGGGTCATAAACACAGGTTGAGATCTGGTTGAAGAGAGGGAGAGAGAGAGAGAGAGATACCAGATGATGACGATGATGATGGTGTGTAGACTGTTGATTGATTAGCTGAAGGTTTCAATGGAGTCAAGGATGATGAAGAGACAGAGAAAACCTCGAAACAGAGAAATCAAGGTAACAAAAAATTGTGTGAGAGAGAGAGAGAGAGAGAGAGAGAGAGAGAGAGTAACAGGGAGGGGGAGAAAAGAAAATTGGGTAAATGAAGGTTTCCAATGATGCCAAGGATGATGATAGGGAAAAGGCTGAGAGAGAGAGAGAGAGAGAATCCAGAACGAGAAAGAAAAGCAAGGTAACAATGAGAAGAAAGATTCAAGAGAAGATAAAGAATGAGAGTGAGAGTGAGAGTGAGAGAGAAAAGGATAATGTGAAAAGATGGAGGCGGATAAAAAGATGAGGGAGTCTATGGATAAAGATAATGATACAGGTTGAGAAAATTTTGATAATAATTTTGTCAAAATGTGATGATAATAATTATAATTATGATGAAGCATCGAGATGGTGGTGAGATAGTTGATGACGATCATGATAAAAAAGGTTATATTTTCATCAGCAATTGTGAATCAATATATTGGACGATAAGTTGAATCTTCTGATCTCTTTTTTTGATGAATAGAAAAAGTTACAGGTAAAGAGAAAATGAGAGAGAGAGAAAGAAAGAAAAGAAAAGAAAGAGAAAAAAGTAATAAGTCGCATTTATGTGTAACGTTCATCATCATCTCTCCTCATCCTCTTAAAAAAGTGATGATTTGCTTCACAAACAGAAAAGAAAAAAAAAATAATAAACATTTACAAGTTTATCTTTCTTCTTCCTTCTCCTCCTCCATCATCCTCATCATCTCCTCCATTTTTCTTCTTCTCCTTCTCAAGACAGGTAATCAAAGTTTCTCTTTCTCTTTATTTCTCTTTAGATAAGAGAGAAAACAAAAATCTTATCTTCCTCATCTTTCTGGAGCTTTTCTCTACTTTCGTTTTTACGGGTTTCTTATTACCGAACAAATTTTTCCATTAAAAAAAAAGGTAAACAGAAACAACGACGATTGCGGCTATTTGAGGGGAGAGAGAAAATCTCACTCAGAGCTAAACTTTTCCTTCTTCGTTAGTTGAAAGTGGTGGCAATTTCTTTTTATGGTGATGAGAAGGGACAATGAATACCCAAAGATGAACATTAGTTGCAGCAACAGCAATTAACAAGGTGATTGATGCGATGATATCCCAGCGATGGAGTGAGAGAGAGAGAGAGAGAGAGAAAGTTGATCGTGTTAGAAATTAATAGTAAATGATGATGATGATAAATCCAAAATGATGATGATTGGTGGTTGATATTGAAGTTCATCTTTTGGAATTGATTTTTGTAATATTACATACAAAAGAAAAACGGAACCAAATTAATCCCAAATGATGACGGAAACAATTAACATGAATCTTTTTCTTAATCCAAATCAAATTTTGTATTTTTGAGCTTTGGGCTTGAATCTTTTTGTTTTTTTCTTGACGCACATTATATTATATATACACAGTTAGAAGGTTATTGTTTTTTTTTTGATTGTTTATCCACTTGAAGAGAGTTACGAAGAGTTAAATTAATTAGTTAAAATAGTAGATTTTTTTTCACAAATTTAAAAATAAACAACAACAACGATTATTGAACAAAAGGTGTGAGAGAACCGGAACATTTATGCAAAAAAAGAAGGAGAAGAAAAAAAGTTTAAAGAAGAGGATTAAGATTAGGGTGAGGGTGGAAAGAGAGATATAAACCTCAGGTAAGAAGAAGAGTTTACAACTTAATTACCGGGCAATTAGAACAAATGAAAAGTTAATTATGGCTTTCTAACTATAAGCATTAGTAGGGAGGAGAAGGTGATAACTATTGTTTTAGTAAATCTGTAAATTAATTTTCTTGTTTCAATTTTTTGATTGATTTTGATTAATACTCTTTTGTCATCAGAATATATATGTAACAGCATTGATTGATTTTTTTTTTCATTTTGATTTTGTTTTCTCTCAATATATATAATATTTATATATATAATAATTTTGGATTAATTGATATTTATAAGTCTTTTTTTTCACTTCGTCTTATTCACATGGACAGTTAATCCATTTGATCATGATGATTAACTGTCAATATGAGCTATATGTGTGTGGTAACAATTAAGTGTAACTACAGATTTACGTTTAAAATAGATTTCCTATCGTTTTTGTTTTCAGGGGATTTTAAAGGTAAGTTTTGTTGTAGCACAGGTAAATATATAAATTATATATATTTATGAATGGTAAATGTTAGTGTGTATGTATGTGTGATAGAGAGAGAGAGAGTAAGGCGTTTTGGGTGGTGTTAAGGTGTATTTGTGTGTTGAAATAACAACGAACAAAAAAAAGATGAAGAGAAAACAAATCAATATTAGAATCACTTAGATGTTGGACATTTGGCTGGAACGAAAAGTACCATTTAATCCTTGGATTGAATTATCATCTGAGGCTTGCATTGATTCAAAATTAAAATCAAGATTACCCTCGACGGATAATTCGTGTCTTATTACTTGATCTACATCACATTCTAAGCCTCCCTGTAATGAGTCCATATTTAAATCCAAATCGTTAGGCAATGGATTGTTAAAGGACAGTATGTGACCCATCACCTGGGAGGCTGTGGTTCCAAGTGATGAAAGTGACCCTAATAATTTTGAATTGTTATTGAGTCGACGAAGAGTATCATTATCCAAACCAGTGGATCCAAATCCTTACAATTAATTAAAATTGAGGAGGAAGAATAAGAATAAGAAAAATTGTAAATTAGTTTGGTTTACAAGGTTAATCAATAAAAAAAAAAGCAAAATATGTTTACCTCTATTTTGGGAGGTTAATTGACGATTGCTTGATTGTGATTGATTTTGTTGACTACTTTTTGAGCCGAAATTATTGTTATTACTCAATGGACTGTTTACTTGATTTGAACTGGAAAGTAAATCCATTGATTGACTGGGAGACAGAGAGGGTGACATGTTTGACGAGCTGAATGAACTGTTGGCACTATTTTGATTGGCGCCAAAAGTTGTTGCCTCGGAATTAATTATTGGCTTGTTTGGACTTCTTGTACTTGTATTGTTGTTAATTGTATTTAATGTGGTCAATGTGATGTTACTGTCTATCGTATTAGTTGATGTAAAATATGATTCAGAGGAATTACAATCTAACAAGATTGGTCCGTTTGGACTTGAATTAACATCTGATCCATCACCAGATGATTGATTTATAGAGTTACAAGAAATGGAGGTAGTTGAATAAGTAAGATTTGATCCTGTAGCACCAAAACAGTTTAAATTGGTGTATGATTTGGTCAAAGAATTGCTGCTTGGAGATGAAGATGAACCACTTTGTTGAGACTGAAGATGATGATGAAGTTGTGATGATTGTTGCTGCTGTTGTGTTTGAGACTGAGGTGAATTTGGACTATTCGAACTGTAACTAGGACCACCAAGTTTCATGGTGTTTGCCATTTCAACCAACTTTTCCGTGTACGTATCTTGAACATCATTGGTATTATATAAACGTAAATCTGAGTTCCATGAGGATATTGGGGACAAGGAAGGAGCCTAATGAAAGAGAAGAAGAGAGATAGTAAATAAATCATTAGTATAATTAACAGAAAAATGATAGTCATCATGATAGATTTAGATTTAGATATAGATTTAATGGTAGTAATGTACTCTAACTCTTTCGCTGCTTCTCAGCTAATTATAATAAGCTGAAAACCAATGAAACATAATCAACATCGTACTTTAAACCATGCTTACTGTTTATGTTGCTGATTAAACCCAAACCATTGAACCAGAAAAACAGTAAACATTCAAGTGTATAACTCTTGGTAAAGATTCAATGTCAACTAATATTTTCAACAAAAAAAAATAAACACCAAGAGTGTTCAGATTAGATTTGAATTTCTTATTCAACTGAAAACTGTTCAGGGAATCAATAGTAACTTTTCATTCTTTATAATTATAAAGAAAGAAAGAGAGAGAGAGAGAGAGAGAGAGAGAGAGAGAGAAGTTGAACATCAAAAGTCAGATCAATTCACACAAGGATTGGAAAAGGAAGGAAAAAGTGATGAACTGACTATACTTGAAATGGGAACGATCAGAATCTCAATAGATTAATCGTTTGAAGAAGAGAGAAAGAGAGATTATTATGAAACTTTCATGCTTCTAGTAAAGTCAATTACGTGAGTGAATGAGTGTAATAGACTAGATTTCTAATGAGGCTAAAGAAAGAGAAAAAGCAAGAGAAAGACAGACAATATTTCGAAATAAACGTTACTACGACAGCTTGGGAAAAGAAAATTCATTTAGAAATCAATTGAATGACAAAATCAAATCAACTCAAATATAATCTATCAATTTTTAGTTCTCTTTTTTATCTTCTCTTTCTCTTTCTCTTTCTCTTTACATAATCATCATAAAGATGAGTAATGATAAGAGTTCTGAATTGTTGAAAAAAAAAGTTATCACATGATTTGAGTAAGTTGATTAGTGAGAGAGGAAAAAATGAAAATTGGTAAAGGTAATAATTATAATAACGGTGAACCAAATTATTATTATTATTATGATAGTGATGAATCTTATCAACCAACAGATGGCGCCGAAAGATGAATCACATGTTGCATCATGTGAGTTGCAAGAGAAAAAGAGAGAGAAAAAGAAAGAGAAAGAGAGAAGGCCTATGTTTGAAAAGATCACTTCAAGGTAAAATGTTGATAAAGATGGCGATATAATGATGAAGATAAGAAGCATGATAAAACATGATAAAAAGTAAAGTAAAGTAAAATGATGATGATAATGACCATGATGAGAATTAGCTTTTTTTTCGTATGTATGGTTAATGTAGAGATGATAATGATGACAAGTTTCATTGGCCTTGAGATTATCATTGAAATGCAAAGAAAGTGCACAAAGAGATAAATGGGGAGAAAGGGAGAGACTTGAAGAAAGAGATGAGATTGATAGAGGGTGAGAGAGAGAGAGAGAGAAATGATGATGATGATGATGAGAGTGGAAATTTAGAGATGGAGAGAGAGAGAGAGAGAGACATGAAGAAGAGATAAAGAGGGAGAGAGAGAGGGAGAAGAGAGAAGAGAGTGACTGAAGTGATTGAGTGAAAAAAATTGAATGAATATTCATACGTGATCATCATGTAAATCTGATTCAATTATGATTGGGGAAAGTCTACCACAAGAACTGGCATTAGACGAGGCTCGAGGTCGAAAATCAGGACTTAATTGAAAACCATGATGAAGGGGTGATTCCGGGAACATATCTAAACCTTCAGAAACAGACGAACCAGGAGATGCTTTATCATCAAGAATAGTACCATTGCGAAGAGCTTCGACCTTCTTTTTGACTCGACCTCGTTTCTTTTCATACTTTTGCGTCTCCATGCTGGCAGCCCGTCGTCTTGCAGCTTTACCCGGTTTAGCTTCCGGATTGATTACCCACCAGGAACTTTTACCTGTTCCCTCGTTTTGAACTCGTTTGAATCGATTGTGAAGAGATAAGTTGTGTCTAATAGAATTCTAAAGAGAGAGAGAGAAAAAAAGGGTTTCAAAAATGAGATTTTACATATGAAAGAATAAGAAAATGAAAGAGAAAATATTTCCAAAGAGAAAGAGAAAAAGAAAAAGGAAAGAGTAAAAATTGAGACATGGAGACACATAGAAAGAGAGAGAGAGAGAGAGAGAAGAAGAAGAAGAGAGAAGAGAAGAAAAAAAGTTAAAAGGAAGAGAGAAAAAATCAGAGTAGACTAGAAGGGATATTCTTGTTTAAACTGAATAAACATGTAATTATGATGCACAAAAACAAACAGAGCAAAAAAGAACAAGATTGAAATGGGAAACATGGATAAAGGAAAAAGAGAATAGAATATTAAAAATTTACCTTCCAACCAGCAGAAGAATTTGAATCACCTTTATCCTTAAAATATGGAACATTTTGTACCATCCAATCATATATTTGAGATAAGGTTAACCTTTTCTCCGAAGAACTTTGAATTGCTTGGGTAATAAGGTCAGCATAAGACATATTACCCCAAGCATTTCGTCGAGAAGAATTTTTCTTATGACCACTATTATCACTTGAATTTCCATTTGGTTTAATTTCACCGCTGGACACTTCACCACCACTCAAAGAGATATTATTGTTGTTATTTGGATCGGAAAGACCATCTTCTTCCGATTTAATTGATAAACTAGTAGGTGGTAGAGGCCAAGTGTGACTACGAGCACGAAATGGTTCCTCATATAATGGATCAGAAATATCTAAAATCCATTCTGCCATAATAACATATAACAAAAATTATATATATTTATATATATAAATATAAATATATAAAAAAAAACGAGATGGATTGAGAATGAGTTGTGTATGTATCAATCTTATATAAGATTTTATATGTTTGTTGTACGTAAATAGATTTATTTGTATAATAGTATTATTAATCTATTTCACTTTTACAAGAATAATATAATTTTCAAATAATTATAATAATAATAATAATTAAATAACAATAACAATTGAGAAGAAGAAAAAAAACTGTACTAAAATTGAAGAGAAAACCAAAAAACCAATTCTTTGGTTTGAGAAAAATTGAAAAATCGGAATTCGGTTCGGTTACTCTCACCCCGGGATAACATCGAACTTCAATAACCGCGGACAAAGAAAAGAAATACAAATGAGTTGATTTTCCCACGATTCTAATCCGCAAGCGAATTGCAGGTCGCGCCATCTACTGAGTTTAATGGAATTTAAGTTGAGTATTTTTTTCGAAAAGAATTTTTTTTAAAATTTTATTCTTTTTTTTTCATTTTTCGTTTTAGAATTTTTTACATTTCTTTTTCTCTTTTTCTCCTCTTTTGTTTTACCTTTTTTCTTTGTTGATTCCTTTCATTTTCTTCTTCTTTTCTTCTCAAACTGTGTAGAGTTTTTAGTTGTGAAAAATTTGTGTTCCGTTTCAAAAGGGTTTCGTGATTTGTATTGTTTGGGAAAAAAAAAGATTCGATACAATTAATTTGTTACTGGATAACCGATTTCGCTTTTTTCTTTCTTTCCTTTGGCTCTTGTGTTGTGTGTATTCAAAGTTAACGCTTTTAAAGACACAAATTCAATAACCGGTGGGATTATTTGATGGAGGGTTGGCTGATTGCGCCTAATAGTTTACACTATTGAATTGTGATTAATTTGAAAACCTCTTTCGTTTCTCTCTCGATGCGCATCAAAAGAATCCCATTCACCTTCCCCTTTACCTAGAAAAGATCTTTTTTTCTCTCTACCATCATCATCATCATCATCTTCTTCTTCACCACCCCAAAGTATTTGGTTTTTATCTTCTCTTTCTTTTTCTCTTCTTTGCCTCTCATTCATTTGAGGGCGAAGAAAATTTTCTACATTTTGAGTTATCAAAATTTACTCTCTTTCTCCTTTCTCTTTCTCTTCTCTCTCTCTCTATCATCTTTTCCATCATCATCATCATCATCTCCATCTTCTTCGTCTTCTCTTTCTCTCTTTGTGTCTCTCTTTTTCTCTTTCTCATTTACTTTCTATTTGAATCTTTTCTCTTTCTCTTCTGGTCAAACCTGTTTTCTTTTCTTATGTGTGTAAGTATATTTTTAAGGCCAAATGCGAATTAAGTTAAAATCTTTGGTTTTTTTTTTCATCACAAATTAATGAAGATAAATTTTGACAAATTGATTAATTTTTCTCTTTCTTTTCATCTTTTCAGACTTCATAATCTGATTGAGCATCTCCATCGCCATCGTTTTACACGCTCTTCCTAATCCTCATCGCCAGCATCTTTTATTGTAAACACTTGGAAACCCATTTCTCTGGAAACCCATTACCATTATTATTACTTCCATCATCATCATCATCTTTCTCACTCTTATTACAGCTTAATCTTCTAAATAGCTTAATTTATTTGATTACTGGTTTCATTCTGCCTTTTGGACTCGTTAACAATCATCATCATCATGTAGCTATTTCAAGAAATTTCAACATATTCACTTAAATCACTTACTCTTTTACTCACTTCACTTTCACACCAACATTTTAACAAAAATCAACAGGTATTAATACCAGACCGATCAAATCTTTTCTATCTCTTCATCTTTCTCACTCACTCTCATGACGTATTTATTTACCAGGATTGTGTATCATCATCATCATCATCATTATAATTATTATTATTATGGTAAAGACTATTGAAGTTAATAACTAGTATACGATAAGATGAATTTGATGGGTTCAGAGCCAACTATTAATAATTTTAATCTGGTTAAAGGACTGGTTGGTTAATTGGAAAAACACTGTGAACCCGAAAGGCAATCAACAAAATCATCATCGTCATCGTCATAATCACCATCAACATCAACATCATTATCCTTGTGATTATTGCTCAACATTGACTAATCAGGAACTAACATCCAACATTCAATTTTTTTCACTTTCAAGGTCAGCCTGTTATTTTTAATTCATGGTAACCCTGGAACCATGAAAAAGGTTAATCACAGTTATTACTCATTATGAGAGACAAAAAAAATATCAACAAGATTTTCCAAAAGGAAAACAAAAATCTGCAAACAATTAACTCAAAGGAATCAACTAAATATAATTTACAATTACACAATCAAAAAAATTTTCACAGTATCTACCGTATACATAACCCCTTATATAATATTCTGGGGAAATACTACAATTCATTTTCCATTGATGCAAATCTAATCTTAATAACTAATTAGATTATGAATATTTTGATCAGATGGGCACAGTTAACATAATATAACAATCAAATGTTTCATAAAGACTAACAATTAACAAGATAATGTCAATGAACAAGCTGATAAAACATAAATCAAAATTTTCAATCCTGGGTTAATAATCATCATTGAAACGTTTAATCAAAGAAGATTAAATCATGAAGAGATAACCAGACAAAATGAATCAGTTATAATTACCACAATTAACCAGATATGAAAATTAATCAAGGTAATTTCCAAGTCTGTTCAACTTTAACATCAACAAAAGATAATTGATCTTTACGATTTTCTAGTTAATTGATTATCCACTTACCCAAATTCAACCTTTCGAAATACAACAATTGGATTTGACTCAATTAACTTATAATCTTTAATATTCTAAATTACTTCAGAATCTCTTCGAGTGAGAGAGAAAGAGAGAGAGAGAGAGAAATCTTCTCATCCCATTGAAGATCCACTTTACTTTCAATCAGCTGATTCTATTTCTTTTCGTATTTATTTTGGTTCTATTTTCTTTCTAGTTGTTTACTCGCTGTTTGTTTATTTTCTCATCAATTTTAATCAGCACCTTTACACTTCTTCTTAATTGTGATCATTAATTCAACAATTAGCAGTCGCCACCTACCGTAATTAACTATTTGATTGTAAACCATTTTAATCAGTGACTCAAGTTTTTATATTTCTATTCTTATATAAATATCTTGCTGTTCAATTTAACCCATAAAAGACCAGGATAGTAAAAGAATCAACATCATCTTGAAGACTTTTACTTTAATTGTAATTGAAATTTGATTTCTTCTCATTAATTCCTGTTTTATCATCGATCATCAAGTTACAACACAGTTAATTAATTCTCTTTTTTAAATTATCTTCCTTTTTCCCTTTGCTTGCTTACAGAATAAACAACAACAACATCGATCAACCGAACTGCTGAAATACCCAATGGCTAATAAACATAAAGAAGGAGCAAATTTAACCAACAATTACCTTAAATCAATGGAAATTGATCATCTCTACCATTTAGGATTAATTAAAAATGGTGACAATTTGGAAAAAGCCTTCGGTGATGTGAAGTTTATTTGTACCGGCGGAGCGGCTCATCGTATGGCTCTTTACGCTTCAATGATGAAAACAATGTTAAACATTCCCGGTGATCTGGTTGACCTTTCAGCTGATGGTCATCGTTTTAGTATGTACAAAGTTGGACCAGTATTATTTGTAAATGTAGGTTGCAAATGATGATCTAGAATCTAAATGGATTCTATGGTTAATTGTTCTAATTTTTCTTTTTCTTTTTTCGAACTATTTATGTATTGATAATTAGCATGGAATGGGAATTCCATCACTTTCAATTCTTCTTCACGAATTATTCAAGCTCGTCACTTATGCCAAATGTAAGGATGTTGTTTTCTTCCGTCTTGGTACCTGTGGAGGCTTAGGTAAGTTTTTTCTTGTTCTTTCAATCGATTGATCTATTTTCAAAAGTGATTAAGTTTCGATTCTAATAAGATGAAAAAATTTAATCTTTTTATCCAATATACTTGTAAGAATATTAGAGAACATGGTAAATGATAAAATGATCTTCAATCCGCCCGGATTGTCATCACAATCATTCCTCTTGTCTCTTTGTCTTCTTTGCTTTTTTTCTGTTTTTTCCGTCATCATCATCATCATCATCATTTTTTTTCTCTCTCTCTCTCACTCTGTCTTTTCTTTCTTTCTTGTTTTCTTCAGCAATGAAAATAAAAAGGTAAACAAAAGATTATCATTGATCATATGATATTGTTGACAGAAAAATCCTTTTCTCTCTTAACATCAAACTCATCATCAACTTTTTTCTCTTTCTTCATCCTCATCTTCATCTTTCTCACTGAATTGCTTGTAAACTGAGATCTGATTGATAATATTTCTCTGATAACATTGTTTTTTTTTGTTTGGTGTCTTTTTACCCTTAATAATCATAGTCATTACTACGGATAATACAAATTAACTGAACAATTTACTGTTTTGTTAATTACTCGATTATCCTTGCTGATTATGATTCTCAGTTAAAAGGCTCTATTAGAGACAACAACTAACTTTATCAATCCTCTAGACAATTTCCTGATGATTAGTTATACCCTTTTAAATGATAATTAACAACTATTATCATTACGATGATGAAAATGATCAATCTCAAAATCAAATCAATTACTTTAATTTTACACTTCGATTCGAGAGAAAAAAAAATTATTTCTTTTATTTCTTTGAACCATTCGAGGTTATCGAACTTGATTTTCCTCTTGTTACTAGTTTTCGTATCTCACTTGACCTCCATTTAAGCTTGACCAAGGTCATCTACTTTCCCGCTATCGACCAAGGTCACTTTCATATCGTCAGAATATAATATTTAATTTCATTTTCTTATAATCAACTGAACCATTATAATTGTCAATCTGTTCACCATGATAATCAATCCAAATTGATCAATTAGTTAATCATGAAAGATTCTTGATCAGTACTTGATTTATTAATTACCGATTAATGATTATTTAGTCTCATTAGTTGAAGTTTTTATCTCTCTTTTTATTATTATTAATCATTTACAATTGTATATAATTTAATTACTATTATTAGGAGACTTTATCTTGTTCATTTCTTGCCAACATCATGAAGGACATTAATGATTAATCGTAGTGATTAAGATTATTATTGTTATCACAATTAACAAATTGTTATTGTTGTTTTAGAAAATCTCGTTCTTAAAAAGTCACATGTAACTTACGAAATTAATTTAATCTTATAAACAATTAGTTAATTGATATCTTAGTCGTTATCATGTTTAATTATCTCCTTTGATTTAATTAAAATTATAATTATAATCGATTTAACAATTAATTTGATTACCGACATCAAACGTAATAATTATATTTTTGGTTTTACCTTTTCCTTTGGTAATTTGTTAATTTACTCAACCATTATGATCATTTTCACAATTAACCATTTGAATGATGATGAAAACTTTTTTTCAACAATTAAATCAACCATTTAAAAGGCTGAGCGCTTTTTCCTACACCTTAAATTGGCAAAATCGTTACTTTTACAATTTACACCGCCAACAATTTACTTTGGTGATGATGACAATTAAATGTTGTGAAATTGTTTGAAAAATAACTAATATAATGACAATTGACATTTACTAATGAACTGTATTCAAATGAATAGTAAAAATTAAAAGACAATTAAGTTTTGATTATTTTGTTTAATTACTCAATCACTTTGAGATAATCAGATTCAAGTTTATTATAAATTATTAATTGTTTCATTTTCCATTTTTTTCTTATTTGTCACATAGGTAAAGCACCGGGAACCGTAATTGTATCAAAAGGTTGTGTTGACAATCAATGCCGTCCGTTATTTCAAACTGTTAAATTGGGTAAAGTGATTAACATGGAGGTTAATTTGGACAAACAATTAGTAGAAAATTTGATTAATTTTGCATCGGCTTGTTATCCAAATATACCTATTGAATCGGGTATTACAATGGCCACTGATGATTTTTACGAAGGTCAAGCTCGTTGTGATGGCGCTTTCTGTGATTACACCAAGGAAGAGGCAGCAATTTACTTACAATCAATTGCCAATCAAGGTGTAACCAACATTGAAATGGAGGCTACATGTTTCGCCGCCATGTGTACCAAAGCTCAGATCAAATGTGCCATTGTCAATGTTATTCTGGTCAATCGCTTAGAAGGAGATCAAGTCGATGTGGACAAAGATACTTACAAAAATTTTCAAATCAGACCATTTACAGTAATCAGTAATTACATCAAATCTGTAATTAATAGTTCCTGTTGTTAATCTTTCACCAGTTAAGAAATTGAGCTTACAAAATTTCAAAATACAATTGTTTTAAATGGTCTTAAATTGTGCACATAATTGCCAATTGTTGAAGTGAGAGAGAAATTGATTTTCCACCAATTTCCTCCATTGACAATATATTAATATATTCCTAAGTTATTGCTAATGATGCTTTCGATGGACCAGTAAGATGAACCAAGACGGATAAAGAGAAATCAAATAAATAATTGAGATTAAAAAATTTACACTCATTTTGATTAAACGCTTAACGAATTGAGATTAATAAATTAACAGATTTTGATTGTATGATAATTGTAAAGGAACGGATCAACATAACAAATGATGGACTGGTCTCAATATAAAGATTATGATAAAAGACAAGCCTTAATCCATTCGGTTAAACTCATCTTGATTGTTCCAGTTTTCATAGAATCTTTTTTATCAAATAAAGAGAAAGCAATACAAAGATGGAGAATACTATGGACAAAATCACCGAATCTAAGAGTTCCGTCTTTCCTCATGTATCGTAAAACTAAATAGGAAAGGATTTCAATGTTCAACTCGAAACCTGAATGGATGAGAAAAAAAAAGAATAACGATCAGAACAAATTGCTCATCTAATTAACAGACGAAAATCAACTTACCAACATCATGAAGAGCTTCCTTCAATTTATCAGCCCTCAGAATACCTGAAGTACCTTTGGTGTGATTCTTAAATATCGCCTGCCAGAATCGCAACGAACACATGATATTCTTATAATCAGTGAACTTTAACCTTCCATAAGAATTGCTGGTCTGTAAACAATGAGAATGAATGTTAATTTAAAGGTCAATTAGTCGTTTAGATTGTGATAACTTACATCTAATGTGGCGATGATTTGTCGACAAACCTCCAAAGTGGCGCAACTTTTAACATAATCATTTGGTAAACAACTTTCAAGAAGTTCTTGTAGCTCAAAGGCATTGACAGTTTTATGCTGAAAAGAAAAGCAAATCAAATTGTTAATGATGGCAATGATTTAGATTAGCTAATGAAAGTATTACCTCATCTGCGAGCTGAAGAAACATTGTTTCATATTGACTAAATTTAAGGTCAAAAGATGGAGGAGCTTTGATGATTGGAGATTTGATTAGCGATGGCAACGAGTCAAGAAAAGTTAATTTGATGGGATGAATTGAATAAACTCGTATTGAAAACTGTCCTTCTTGTCCTGGTTCGAAACTTGTGGGTATTAGAACATATTTACCCTCTTCTAATTGGCACCTTAATGAGATCTGCTTCGTGTTCGTATAAAGGGAATTGTAAAGTGATCGATTTCTTTTGAAAAAACTCTTATCCAATCGAGTTTCATTTGAATACTCAACCGAATTACTATAAGAGTAAAGACTAAATCCAATCACTTTTGGCTCTAAAACCGAGTGTTGATTTAAACAGATAACAATAGTATCTGGATTAGTCAGAGTAATTAACAGTTGAGGATTAGTATGAAACGTTTGTACGTGGTTACGACAGCCTCCGGCAGTTACACCTTTACGCCAAATACCTAAAAAAGATGAGGAACTTGAATTAATATCATTTTCTTTCAGTTTCACCGAGAATTCATGTATTAACCATGAGGACTCTCACCTCTCCAGAATTTAATACACCAGGGGCATTTCCCTCGCAGTGTTGGTTCATCTTTACTGGTTTCGGCATCCAAATGGATAACTTCAAGTGAGGTAAATGTCTTCATGAAATCATGATATGACATCCAGAATTCACCCTCTTCACATGATAGTAATTCTCTCTCATCATTGGTCAATGTTGACCATTTATGTGAATCTTTATTCCAACTACCAACATAATCTGAAGATGATCCAAGTGGATTTCGTAGTTTCAACAAAATCGGAGAAGATTCTTGTCGATCCAATCGTTGGAAATCAATTATTCGATAGTTGATTGTTGAATAGATTCCATTTGGTAATCTTTCATGCGAATATGAAACTGGATTTCCGTTGGTTTGTGTCGATGGTGAATTCTCATTGGAAACAACGGTGGTAACAATTGAAGTCATCGAGAGTAATTTACAAATCATTGTAGAACAAGATGTTGACTCTTCTCTCAATGAGATACTTTCAGTCACTCCTAATGAGGAAAAAAAAACAGAGAATCTCAATTAGTTGATTGTTATCAAAAAGAAGAGCCAAAAGTACAATTTGAAACAGCCAAACAATTTATCTTGTCAAATTTTAAATTACTCGTTGTAAATAGTAATAGAAACTTTAGCAATCTTCTTATAATCACTGAAAAAATCTCGAAAAACATAATCAAAAGTGATGAGGAAAATGAGTTAATATTTTGCTGGGATTGGAAATCTACTAACCTCCAGTTAAATCCGATAATCCTTCAACAGTTGATCCATATTTGAGAGCCTCGTAGGACCCATGGAGTTTAGCATAAGCCTTTTCCAATAACGATGCCCAAAAAGTGTCACCTTTAGTTGACTGGATGAAAACGAGTTTATTGTTGACCGTTGGTAGCCGATCATCAATTACAACCTCTTTCCATTCATCGTGCCACCATAATCGAAACCTGAAAAGGCCACAATAATTATCTGGATCAAAAGACTGGTCAGCGGGTACAACTCGGTAAAATAATCCTTTGGTCAGGGTCAGTGAGGCCATGCTTGAGACTAACCACCGATCGCCCAATTTACCGGGATTAATATCGAAAAAGTTGTGAGAGTTAAAAAGGATGGCATCATCAAGGAAAACTGGATAATTAGTTAATTCCTTTGGTCTTTTCCATACAAATGTAAATGGAGGAGTTTGATGGTAAAACACTGATGATTGGGTTGTCGGAAAATCGTTGTCTTCAAATAATTGACCTGATTTAAGTAAATTACGGCGGAGTTTCTCATCATCAGAGGATAACATGTTTGGATGATAATTTTGTTCCAATCAAGTTCCGTTAACCTAATGGTGCACTTTTTTTTGTGTTTGCTTCGTAATCTCAAATCAATGGCACTGATTTCACCAAAAGCTGATTAACTTGATGTTTATGTAAATCATATCATGCAATCTTTAAATTAACTTGATTGAATTTGATGGTTGGTTAGAAATTGATTGTTGCAATTTAAGCTTTGACTGTATACACAAAAATATTTGCATCTGAGGGAGAGAAAAGGTCAAGATGATCAAGGTGAATTCTTGAAGCCAATGATTTTGAATATGATCACTGAAGTTAATCAATTCCGGAAGAGAAATGTTTCCTCTTCGGTTGGACTCGGAACTGAATTTCGGATATTATTTAGTTAACCAAGTTCTTTCTCTACCATTGAGAAAATAAGTAGAATCTGGAAATTATGAGATAACTATTCAGAGACTGAAAAGAAAAAAAAATCAAAGATTAGTTACTGATGAACTAATTGCTCCTGAAACTAATGAGCGAGTTCATGAATCTATTGAGAGTCATTTAAATTGATTCATTTTCGTTGTCAAATTGAAAATTGAACTTCTCATTGGATCAGCTGATCAAGGAAAATAATTTTTAGACACAAAGGTAAAGTTTTGTTATTCTTTTCTGAAGGTGAGAGAGAAATGGATATTGGACATGGACATGAATTCTATTGAGTGAGATATATACCTTTTTGGAATTAGACTCTGAGAATTTCAATTGGGATGAAGAAAAGTTAATTGTAAAGAGTAAATTAAATCCTTGATTAATTGAAGGCACTGAATCACAGAAACAAGTTATTGGGTTGAAATTCTGGTGAACATGAGAAACACAAGATTAAGAGAAACCAAAAGTAACTTGAATGTTATTCCGTTCAGATTAATTTCCAACTATTTGGAACTTTTTTTCTTCTTCTTGTTGATCAATTTCTTATCCAGTGGACCTTTTGAACACAATTGAAATGATCACAATTAAAAAAGACTCGAAACAACATGAGAATTGAGTTGGAGATTGAGGAGAAAATAATAGTTGCGTTGCTGTCCCAACTTTGATTAACCAAAAGAAACTCAACTTGAGAATCAAGTTTTACAATCAGAGAGAGAGAGAGAGAGAGAGAAAATTGTAAGAGAAGATAAAAGAGAGAAAGAGAAAAAACTCAAGCGGAGAGTGGAATTGGCTTCATGTAATATTGATGGTGGTTGATTAATCAAGAGAATGAATGAAAGAGAGATAAAGAAAGAGGAGAAAGAGAAAATTTATATGGAAAGGAAAGGCTATTTTTCTCTTTCTAAACGGTCTCATTTCTATTTTACTGTCAAGATTTATCTTCTTTTTTATCATCTTCTAAAGGCCATTCATCATTTCTTCAACATCTTCTGTCTAATTCAATAAACTTCATTCTCTTTCTCTCTCGCCATTAAATATAACAACAATAAGAACGATTTTATTGAGAAAATATCATAAATTCACTAAAAGGTTTCAGTTTTTCTACCATTGACCTTTGTCCAGTTGATAATAAAAGAGAAAAAGTCAAATGGGTGACACTTAATAAACGTTAATCTACATTCACGGAAGTCATTTTGTCGCTTTTTAGTCCACGAAAACAACAGTTGACAATTGGACATTTTTCCGCTAAGAGAGATGCCGATGATTAGAATGACAATCACGGAGGACAAAATAATGATACCGAAGCTGAGAAATGCCTCCTGGATGATCAGAGAAGCGAAAGAAACAATTAGAAACAATTTGAACGTATTGATTGGGAAACAGGATAAAAGATGATGATAAAGATGAACAGGTAAAGGTGAACATCAAGACAATAAACAAATCTTGAAATAATAATAAACTTTGTTAAGAAGAGTTAAGAAATAAATTAATGATTAACTCATCAATTTAGTACAATTATTAGTCTAATTTTTTCATCAATCAAAAATCAGATGATTCTGTTCATTTTTCTTTCAATATAATGGATAAAGTTTAAGTAAATCCAACATCATATTAATGATGATTCTTTGAAAGTTAATTGTTATCATATTTGCTTGAGAAACTGAACAATTGATGTTATTTATCAGTACTTAATATTCAGGCCTCATCTTTATTCATTCATCAACTTGATCAACATTTAATAAATGAATAGCCAAAGACTTGAAGTTTGCGACCACTTTTTGAATCAGTTAATGATAACTTTTGATATCTAATCAGTTGACCATTTCAAGAGATTAAATCATTAAGATTGGAGGACAATACATGTCTCTGGGTTAATTGTATCTCTCATTGATTATATTCAACTGCGTGAACGATTTAAATTGTGATAGCAAACTCAAAGTCCTTTGGCTGTATGAATTGGTGTACTTGTATTGATAGTTGATTAATTATCACAGGATAAGATTGATTTAGTTTTAATGTTTTGTTATTGGTCTCTGATGGTTTTTGCAATTGTTTCAACTGATATTTGATCCAATCATTGAAACCCTCAGAGGTCAGTGAAGATACTTGAGGGTCAAGAAAATGACCATAATTTTGGTAAATCTCTGAAAAAAGGGCTCAACTGATTGATCGGTTAAACTTAATAGCTTCTCGGGTAAATTGAACAATCAAATCAGTTAATCGTCTCTATGTTTATGTGCAATTTAATCAAAGTAATATTTTTGCTTGAAAAGTTTCTCATTGTAAGTTAATTTTTATGGTCTGCAAACAGGAAATTATAACTTACCTTTTTGATTGTTATGATTAAATGATTCCCAGAACAATTGTTCAGTTAATCAGTTTCGTAGATAACCAATTAGATCATTGATTTCTGAGAACCGAATAAATTTTTTCAGGGAAGATTTTAAATCCATTCAAATCTTAATCTCCAACATTCAAATGGATAATGATTATTATCAGAGGACATTCATTAGATAAATAATATAAATTGTCAGATTTGTTCTCAAGTTTTTTTATTGATTGATAATTAGTCTTAATCACCATGTTCTTTTATCCTTAAGAATAAGAAGAAAATGGAAATACATGTATTAAGATTAGAGGAGATTAGATAATTTTCTTTAAATTCTCTCGGCATCAACGAAAAAGAAAACAAGTATTAATAGAAAATAAATGATGAGAAAATGATACTTTTATCATCAGCCAGCTATGGACTTACCTGGTTTATCAATAGCTTAACTTTCTGGTGTCATGATTGGAGGTGTTAATGTGTGAAATTGAATCAGTTTCATGTTGATTCGGATGAAGAAAATGAAGAAAAAAACTTTGAGAACCTCAACAAGTTTCCATCAGTTATCATGATGATCAACAGTAGCAGAATCCAAATGATTTTCAACGCAAAGGTTTGCCCTTAACGGTCCGATACAAGATTCAGACTCACCCCAGGCTTTTGGGCTTCAATTCAAGGATAGAGAGAGAGAGAGAGAGAGAGAGAGAGAAAAATAAACAAAACGTTGAGCGTCTCAGTAAAGTAAATTTGAGGCCAATAACACGGAAGCGCATGAAAAGGAAGATCCGTTGATGGACCACTTTTTCGGGGCTATCTGTTTGGACTAAAGACTAATATAAACACCCGGTAACCTTTTCGCAGCATTTTAACTCTTGAAACCAGTTTCATATGAATTGAGGCATTGGAATGGTTTTATTATCGAGATCCCGTTATCAAATCAACTATTACAATCAAAGTTGATGTAACAAGTTATTCAGTTTGTTTTTCTTATTAAAGGTCATAAACTCTAATTAGGAGGCCCTTTTCAGATCAAATATTGGCAAAAAAATTACGATAAATGGTCGGTAACATTTGTTGATAACAAATCAATTGAAATAATTAACAAGTCACGATGATTGTTGGGGCGAAAGTTTAATCCATCAATGGGCCAACCAACGATTTGTACAAGCAAAATTAAAATAACCTCGTTCATCTTACCATCATCATCATATTAATAATTAACAAATAACCAATATGTTTTTGGGTTAATATTTAACCCAAGAAAAATGAAATCGGACCATTCAATTTGAATAACAGTCAAATTTAAGTTGTTTTCCGTAACTGTTAACAATCAAAAAGATTTGAAGTCAACATGATATATTTTACATGTTCGAACGCTCGATTTTCTCGATTCTTGCTTCTCGATCAATTGATAGTTTAAATTTCGAATTGTAATTAACTAACTTGTATAACTGTTGATGAAAAGTTTGATTTTGCTGTTAGAAGTTTAATTAGTCAATTAACCTGAATTTTTTTTTTCATTGTAAACTGAATTTAAATTGAAACTAGTGTTTGTTAAGAGCTAAACGTGGATGGAGAAAGTTACGGAGTCGATTAATTAACAATAAGTTGCTTTTATTAATTTCATTGAAATTAATTAAACTATTTACTGTTTGATAGTTTGGATAATTGGTTTGTTTTGGTTAGTTTTTTTTGAGGTAAGAGAGAGAGAGAGAGAGAGAGAAAATTGAATGCGGAAGTTTTAAAATAGGAACACAATTAACAGAGAAAATTTAATTTAGTAAGAATTAGTTAATTAGAATTCGAAAGTTAGTTTATGCATCACACATGTTGATGAAAGCGTTTACTTCTTGGGCGTTTGTTGGAGTAGCTGGTAGGATATAAGTTCCTCGTCCGAAACTACCTTCAACTGCTTCTGATTTATCAGATACGATGATGGCATATCCAGTATCGAATTCAGGGCAGGTACATTCTCGGTTGATTCCATAATCTGCCCAGTTAAGTGGATGCTTTGGTTTATTGAAGTGAGTGGTGGTCAAATAGGATCCACAGCTTTCTGAACTTGCTCTGATTTGGGCTAGAATAACGGTGCTGTTACAAAGTTTGTCAACCATGTCAACATCAATTCGAGGTCGACAATCGGGACAAGTTGTAGGTTCTTCGACTGGACAACTGACACTCTTAGTCATGGTAGATTTCAATTCAGTGGCTGCTTGCTTGTAGGCTATTAAACATCGGGAAAAAATGAGCATTTCATTCAATCAGAAAATAATAATTCGAATCAAAATCTCTCTATTTACCTGATCTTTGGGGTTTTGGGGAATTCAATGCAAAGCCAGATCCCAATCGATTTGGAGTTGAATTTGGAACTGAAGGAGTTGTGGGTGGTTTGTTCATGGCGGTTGGTACTCTCTGTGGGTTTGCTGATTGAGTGGCTTTTGGAGAGAAATTGTTTTCATATCTAAATTGAGTTCCTCGGCCTGAATGCAAATAAAGAAGCGTCACAATGCCGTCATTATTGTATAAATTGGATGTCACGAAATAACCAGTCTTTAATAAGCCTGGAGGAGAGCGGTAAAACTTCCCGGCGGATTGCTTAAATTCAAGTTGTGGACTGATGGTTCGTTGGCTATTTTGATGAGAAAAGTCTGAACATGGAGCAGGTTTGTTCAAAATTACTGATCATAATTTACATACTCTAGATTTTATCTTCAAGTTTACTATGAGAATAGTAGAGAAACTAAATAGATAAACTAAACGATGAGACGAGAGGAATCTAAATCTTTAGAACGTTACTAGATCTAAACTAAACTAAACTTATAACCAGTGAAAAGTTACCAAACTAACGATAAGAAAATCATGATTGAGCATAGAATTTATAAAAGTGAGATGTCACTTACTCATGGCGTTTTGGGCACTACGGTAATTGTATGTTGATGGTGGAGAGTAAGGTGCTGGAGCATATCCTTTCATTGGAGCTTCGTAAGCGGGTGCTGAGTAAGCTGGTGCTGGGTAAGCTGGTGTATATCCCTTCACTGGAGCTTCATAAGCTGGTGCTTGGTAAGCTGGTGCTTCATATGCAGGAGCTTGATAAGCTGGTGCTTGATAAGCTGGTGCTTGATAAGCTGGTGCTGGATAAGCTGGAGCGTAAGCTGGTGCTGGATAAGCTGGAGCGTAAGCTGGTGCTGGATAAGCTGGAGCGTAAGCTGGTGCTGGGTAAGCTGGTTCGTAAGCGGGTCCATAAGCTGGTGGTTGAGGGTATCCCTTAACGGGTGCTTCATAAGCTGGCGCTTGGTAAGCTTGTTCGTATGCTGGTGCTGAGTAAGCTGGTGGTGGTGGAGCGTATCCTTTAACTGGAGCTTCATAAGCTGGTGATTGATAAGCTGGTGCTTCATATGCAGGAGCTTGATAAGCTGGTGCTGGATAAGCTGGTGCTGGATAAGCTGGTGCTGGATAAGCTGGTGCTGGATAAGCTGGTGCTGGATAAGCTGGTGCTGGATAAGCTGGAGCGTAAGCTGGTGCTGGAGCGTAAGCTGGTGCTGGATAAGCTGGATAAGCTGGAGCGTAAGCTGGTGGTGGTGGTGGTGGAGCGTATCCTTTCACTGGAGCTTCATAAGCTGGTGCTTCATATGCAGGAGCTTGATAAGCTGGAGCGTAAGCTGGTGCTGGGTAAGCTGGTTCGTAAGCGGGTCCATAAGCTGGTGGTTGAGGGTATCCCTTAACTGGAGTTTCATAAGCTGGTGCTTGATAGGTTGGTGGCTCGTATGATTGAGCTGGGTAATTTTGTTCGTATGCTGGTGGTGGAGCATATCCTTTGACAGGTGCTTCATAAGTTGGGTAAGCTGGAGCATAAGCTGGTGCTGGATAAGCTGGTGCTGGAGCGTAGGCTGGTGCTGGATAAGCTGGAGCGTAAGCTGGTGCTGGGTAAGCTGGTTCGTAAGCGGGTCCATAAGCTGGTGGTTGAGGGTATCCCTTAACTGGTGCTTCGTATGATGGTGCTTGGTAGGTTGGTGGCTCGTATGATTGAGCTGGTGCTGGGTAAGCAGGTTCATATGCTGGAGCTTGTTCATAAACTGGTGGTTGAGGGTATCCCTTTACTGGTGCTTCGTATGAGGGTGCTGGATAATTGGGTGCTGGGTATGAAGGCTCATAAGATTGTTGTTGTTCCTAAAAATAAAAGGATTATACATATCGGGGTAAGATAAATAATCTGACAGTTTTTAATCATATTAGATTATCATTCCAACACTATTTTCGCCACTTTTAAACATCGTTGCGAAACCTCTAATTGTAGGGATAACGATAATGCAATTTGATGGTAAAGATTTTCTAGTTATTTTAAGTTTGTAATTGCAGCTCAATTGCTCTAGCCTGAAGAGTAATCAAAATCATTAGATTTTATGATTACTATATATAATTTACTTGATTAGATTCACGCATACATTTAATGACGAAATCACTTACTACGTAGCTTTTTGGTTCATCATAGCTTCCTTTCTTTTCAGGGTTAGCGGAACGGTTTTGAATGGGTGATGCTTGAGAATTAGAGGGATCTACAGCACGACGAGATCGGGTGACACATTCTTTTTCGATGGGAACAGTTCCGACCAAAGGTTGACTAGTGAAATCTGAACCATCGAATGCGTAGATAGTAGCAATTGGCTCTTCGTCTTCAATCATTTCACCAACTTTTTCCATTGGAACATCAAAACATTCGTCTTGTTGGCGTCTGATAACTAAGAAGTTAGTATTTCCAACTGGTCGATACATTTCAACTGGAGTTCTTCGGAGAGCCATCAATTGATCGAGAGCAGTCAAGTCAATCATATAGTTAGATGGAAGATCAACTTTGTAAACATATGATTGTCGTTCAGTTTCTTGATTATTAGGGCAGATGGTGATTTTTTGTTCACAGGATTCACTCATTTTTTGCTGGCTCTTGATTATCTTGAAACCTCTTCGAACGTAAGGAGCAACAGTTTCGCCTTCTCGAGTTGACCAGTTGCCTTCTCGAGTCTCTTCATTTACAACAGGGAAGGTACCATTGTATTTTTGGACTTCAATCTCTTGGTTTCGTTCCAAAAGAGCGCAACCTGGAGCTAAGATTTCCAATAAAAGGTTTTCAACCTTTTGAGGCATGTTAACCTTTTGAATCTCGAAAGGTCCAAGGCTCATTCTTTCGCTGTTGAGAGAAATGTCGAGGTTTGATTCTTTCATGTTGGATTTGTTTGATGAAAGTTTTGGCCAAGCTCGGGTAACGGCAAGGGTGACAAGTGGGTCGTGAAGAGTCAAGTCAGATGAGACCAATTTTTGAATTTGATCTTGAAGGTTTTCAGTTTGATTCAAAGCGAGTTTAGCGAGAACGAGGAAAGCTCGAGCTCGGACAATCTCTTCATGGGTTTTTTCGTGGGATTTACGATCGGCAATTGTGGCGAATCGCTCAGGAATAGATCGAGTTTCCTCTTTGTTCAATCGTCGAAGATTCTCCTTTCGAGCGTTGACTTCGAAGTTTTCAATAAGAGATTGAGCATTATCAATTCGATTGAGTCGAGCGTAAAGCAAAGCAGCCATGGCTCTGGTCAAAGAGTCCATTTCGTCTTCGTTAATTTGACCAATACATCTGGCGGCTTTTCTCAAAAGAACCTTGGGAGTTTGACTAGATTCAGACATGGTTGCAGCAACGAATGCAGTCATCTCATGTCGTGAAGCATTGTGACCGAAAGGCCACATTGAGGAACCGGCGTTGGCGAATTTTTTTTGTTGGAAACAACCATCCTTGGACATTTGACTAATAATAAAGTCAAAGGTTGGGTTGATCACTTCAGCACCTCCAAAGATTGGTAACTTGGCTTGAGCTTGTGAGAGGGTTCGGTAAGCAAGAGCGGTAGCAACGAGGGATTTGCCTCGATGAGAACCTCCATAGACTGAGTATGAGCCATCACTTAATCGGAAAAGAGCTAATTGTTGGTTTAAACTAACAAGAGCTTCCCGAAGTTTGGATAAAACAGCAGATGGGAGAGACTTGTGTTCGTATAAGTCCATCAAAGCGTTGAATTTGTTGAGAACTTCAAAGATGTTCTTTCGGATTGGTTCATCATCACGGAATTGTTTCAAGAAAACGGTGATCAAATCTCGAGTAGCAAGAGTTTCCTTTTCATTCAACATATGCTTAAGAGATTTCTTGGTTTTTTCGCAAGCGATTTCATATGATCGTCGGGTCACTTTTGGTTCGTGGGATTCAATGTTGGTCTTGAGAAGAATTGATTGAGTTTCAAAGTTTTCAATCAATGAATTACATTCTTCAGCCATAGATTTAGCAAATTTAGCCTTGACATTAAGGTTAAGTGGACCCTTTTGAAGGGGCTTAACTTTAAGGGTAACTTTGGTGGTCTTTGAACAGGCACAAACTTTTGGTAATTCAGATTGGATTTCAACAGCTGAGTTGGGTTCAACTGATAATTCAACTGGAACACATTCAGATTGTTTGATGCTTGATTCGTCTCGTTTAATGAAGATTGAAATATCTCGAACAACTTTGTCAGACATTTTGTTTGGTAAATCGTGTTCCAAGTGAACTGGAGCAGCTTTCAATGATTTTCGGACGTTGTATGATCGGATTCCTTTGGCTTGGTCTAAACAGATAGCGTTAACAGAAATAGCTGATTTACCAGCAAGAGTTGATGGATGGTAGTTTTGGAGCCATTCCTTGAATTCATGTCGTGATCCCCAGAAGAGAAGATCCTTGACTAATGAGTTTTCTAATCGGTTAAGGTGAGCCAGATCAGCTGAATCAGCAAGAGAGTTCATTATGTTTTCTGAGTATGGAAGGTAGTGTCGGATGGCAATGAGAGCTTCGAGTGATCGGTTTCGGATGGCCTCATCGAAAACATCCCATTCACATGGCTTGTTGAAAATGTCAGTTCGTGAGTCAACAGCATGAAGACCAATTTCTTTGAAGCTGTCCCAATTGTTTTTGAAGTCAATCATCAAAGGTTGTTTGTGAGTTCGGTTTTGTAATGCCAATGAGCATTTGTCCCATTCGAAGGTCTTGGTGTAGATGTCATCGAATTTCTCCAACAATTTGTGGATCTTTTGTTCAGTCAATTTACCTCGTTGATCAGAGGTACCAACAGAGAATGAGCATGGAACATTTTCTTCAACAAGGAAGTTAACATTGAGTCGATTGGTTTCATCATCAAGGGTAACATCCATCAAAGAATCATCTTTAAGACAATCTTTAAGGTAGGCAATTGAGTCGGAGATGAGTTCACCTCGTGAGTCAAGACCATAGAAGACAACTCGGTTCATTGGAGTGTATTGGTGTGAAGCATCATCATAGACGTTAGCGAAGAAAACTTCATTTTCTTCAGGCCATTCACCGATGAGCATGTCAGCTTCAGGGGTCCATGGGGCAGGTGAAAGTTTAACACTCTTGGTTTCGGCAGCAGAAACTCGTCCAACTGGTTGGAGGAACAATCTGTCGAAAGCTTGAGTACCATTTCGGGTCATGAGGACAGTGTATTTGGTAGCTTCTGGCATATTCTTCTTGCATGATCGCATTCGTACGATTGGTTCAATGATGAATTGATCTCGAGATTCCTCAACCCATGGGTGAACAACAAAGTTTTGTTTGTGATCAGCAACACCAGGAATGGTAGCTTCGATCATGATTTGCTTGGTGGTTCGTTCAACGGGTGGGATGATGAATTTGATTGAACCTTCAGCAGATGAGATGAAAGTTTTACAAATCTTTTCAACATTTTCCTCAAATTGCCAAGGTTTGCTGGCAGTTTGGTAACAGATTTCAACTTCAGCGTTAGGAAGAGGAGTGTAGTCTGGTCGTTCAACGAAGAAATAACCAAAATATGGAAGACCGAGTTTGAAGTAGTTCTTAACCAAAGCAGTTGAAGGAACTCGAAGATGAACATGGGATCGGACAATTGGAAGGTACAAAGGTAAGACACCGACTGGGTATTTGCTTTCCTTATCTAAGAGCTCAATGGAACCTTGGATTGCTTTACCAACGATGTTTGACCATTGTAAGGTATCATTTTTGAGGTAAAAGTGAGCACAACCTTCTTCCAACTGCAAATCAATGCAAAAAAAAAGAGGTTAGAATTTTGCGAACAAAGATAAAAGTTAAGATAAAGAGGACATGAGTAGAATCTGAAAAATCTATTTAGCTAAATAAACAGAAAATAAACTTACGGTAAGATCCTTGGCAAGGTAGTGACCATAATGGTTCTTAATATTGATCAAACCATTTTCATATTGGAGACCTTGTTTGTCTTCAGCACAGATAACCATTCGGTGGACATCTTCATTAGCAAGAATGTAGTCACCACCTTGTTTAACCTTCAAGACAACTTCAGGGTCAACTATTAAACGAAACCATTACAGAAAAAAAACAATCAATTAATTACACAAAAAAACCCATTGAAATGAAGAAGGAAAAAAATACAAAAAATTGAAACACAAAAATAAACGAATCATCAAGATCAAAGAAGATCAACCACCAAACGAACGGAATTCACAAAACACAACCAAATCAATTAAACTAATTAAACGAAAAGTGAAAGAAGAAAATCAATTAATCAATAAAGAGACAAAATTCAGATGATTAATCAATTAACGAAAAAGAATCTGAATGTTAATTGTTATTTTCTTCAAAAAGAATAGAATAAAAAAGGTAAACAGAATTCGAACCATCAGATGGATAACAAGCGAAGAACAAGTTAACTGTTGATTCGTTGGCGGAAAAACATTTCTCTCTATATTGATGAGATAAAATCTCCAATTAAATTTAATTTTCTAATTAAAACTAAATTGTGGCTCCTAAATAATGGATTAATTGTGATTAAGGTCTAATCTTCACCTTCTCTGGTAAGTAAATTAATCTATGAATATGTAAATCAAAAGGATTGAAATTGTCTTTTCCATTACCATTTCCTTTCTCATTTTGGTAAACCTTTCAATCTTATGGTTTTCTTTGAATTTGAAAATTGTTTTTCTTGATGTTAATTATTTTGTTTGACCTTCCACTTCCGGAATTAGATATATTTGTTTGTTGTTACCTTTTTGGGAAACTTTGAAATATTTCTCAATAATTTCACCGGATTTGGTTACTCCGACGATTTTCCAGTTTCCTTCAGTGTTGTATTGGGCAAGTGGAAGTCGATAATGGTTTAATCCATTTTCTAATTGTTCTTTTCTCCATTCCATGACCTTGGTTCTTTCAGCATTGTAAACTGAAACACTGTCGAAGCTTTCACTCCATGGTTTCATCCATCCATCAAAACCAATGGCTCGGAAGTTAAGAACCTCACCAGGTTGATAGATTGGTTTGCTGGTTTCAATCATGGTCATACCATAAGATGGTACAAATCGGACCATTTGGTTAACGTCCAAATGATCGCCAAGTTGGACCTTAACCTTGACAAACTTAGTATCAACCCCTGAGGTTTCAATTTTGAAACATTCTGAGGCTGAAATTAAGTGAAAGAAAATTAAACAATAAGATTAAACAAAGGTAAGAAAAAAAAATTTCAGTGACATTTGACCACCTCGACCCATTCAACTATCTTGTTTATTATTTTAAACTAACAGAAATGACTCCTTGGACATAAACTAATCATTATTCATATACACATTACATTTAAATTTCACAGATAAATGGATAATACTAATCTCTTTAGTTTGAATCATGTCGAAATAATTTCTGGAGGAAAGTGTCGAGGTGATAAGATGATGAAAATTGAATAACAAGAATTGAGATTATCTTACCAGATTTAAGTTGCTTGGAGAAATCAGCGATTTCCTCATTGGTCCTTGGGTTAATCAAAGTAACACGGACTTCCGCATCATCTTCAATGTATTCATTAAGTGAGGTCAAGCAAATTTGGTTAGAAGTGGGTGAAAGAATTTGGGGTAAAGTCAAAAGATATCGTGGAGTTTGAATGATTTGTCTTCATGGAACCACAAGCAGCGGATATAAGAAAAGAAAAGAACGAAAAAAAGAAAAACAATTAATCCAATGTTGAAACGGAAAAGGAAAACAGAGAAATGGAGATAATCTTATTGATTGATTAAAGTTGTAGACCCGATTACACACACAACTACACAGAGACACCAATTAACAAGGAAAATTAACAAAGAAACTTTTTCAATGGTTGTTTCAACTTACTCATTAGAGTGAAGTTTACCGTTAACCAGAACGGTGCTCACAAGGAGGCACGATAGCCAAAAGAGATTCATCCTTTTCCTGTGAGGTACACTGAAAAAAGGAATCAATTGAATGACGAGGCAAACTGATTAATTGGCCCTTTTATACCCTGGACTTAATTACATTGCCAAGAGAGATGAAGATAAGGAGGAAGAGAAAGAAAGAAACGCAAAAAAATGGAGACTCTTCAGTTAATGATGAATTTACAGAAAACAAATGAAGAGATGAAGATGAAGATTATGGTAAAGAGAAAGAGAAAAGTAAGAATATGAAATCTTTCTCGATTCAATCAGATCAATATTTCAATCTGCTGAGTTAATATAATCATCGTGATTATCATTATCACTAATCCAAGATCACAATTAAGATGATCTTATTTCTATCTCTTCAACTCTCATCTTTCATTGGTGTGATGGTTAATCGAAACAATTAACGAGTCATATTGGTAACTATTAGCATGCCATGATGTTGTTCAATTGTTCATTTATTTTATTATAATGATTTTAATATTAATTTTCTCTGTTTCATTTTCTTTCAGATTATTTTTCTTGGTGAATTTTAATTGTGATTAAGTGAAAGTAACAATTTTGACAAAGAAAACAAAGTTTAGCCAAACCGATCAGTAATCAACTAAACACTGGAACCATTTTTTTTATTGCAACTACCAAAATAATAATCAATTCTTAACCACTAAATTTAAAACTAATCACAATTAGTGCTGAGAAATAGCGATAATTGAACAATTAAGGCGAAAGTTTTAATTATTATAATTTAAAAGGTTTTAACCTTTGAAAATAAACTTCAACTTGAATTTCAGTTGATTTTTATCAATCATTTCAAAAGGTGAAACTTTTTATATTTTATTTGATTGGATTTTAATTGCTACGTTATGATGATGATATTTTCACCTCTAATTGTTAACCAACAATTAAAAAGGGATAACAGTGACATTGCCGTTTCTTTTTTGAAGGTAAATGTGATTAAAAAAAGATAGAGGATGATGAAGGTAATTAATGATTACAATTATTTAATCGTTTATGATGATTAGTGATTAAAAATAAAGGGTTCAAGTTATCAATTAGATGAGTGTATTTAGTAAATAGTTATTAATTGTCAGAAATGACAATTATCTCTTTCCACTCTTTCTCTTTGTCTTAATCAAATTAGATTGGAGATCATGTTAACAATTAAATCAACTAACCCTGAAACACTTGAAAGTAATTTTTAATTACTGCTGACAAATTAACAATTAATCATTTACTTTTATCTTTACATTATTTAATCAGTTAACATTAATTTTATCCAATGAGAAAATAATTACGTTTTTTAGCTTAAAACAGCAATTTAGAGTAGTTAATTAACTAAAATGATCAACAATCAGTGATACTAACAATCAACTGATTGTCAATTATTAGCATTCCTATTGAACTTTAAATCTTGAGCATTGAAAAAAAGAGACTTGAACAATTTAATGTTCATTGGATTGTGATTATGATTAATTTTCTAATTTAATTGTAAGTTAACCATTTAATTGTCAACTCAGACTGATTAAGTTGATTTATTTTCATCTCTTAATGTAAATTTTATTCAAAAAATTCAAATGTTGATTTTTTATTCATTTTTCACTCGAGTGATTTATTATATTTCATTCACCAAATTTGACAATTTAACAACAATCAACCAACAAATTAGATTAAATTTTCAACAGTAATCAATTTTGATCGTAACGATTAAGCAGATAAATAGTTAAAAATACAAGCAAATAATTTAAACTCAATTAGGCCTGAAGAGATTGATAAAAATGTTTTTTAAGCTTGATTACAATTAGTTAATCTAATTAACTGATATTCTTGTTAAGTGTTAGTTAATTAGCAAGTTGATTAATTGGCAATTAGTTGATTGTAGCAATAGTGAATAAAAAAGCTTATTGAGCAATATTCATAACCACTTGAATTTGAAACAATATAAAACGTAATTAAAATTAATTTGAATTGTCTCCAATCAATATTAAGAAAGAATTGATAACAATCAAGAGAAAAGAAATCGAAAAATTAACCAAATCAAATTTGATTATCCAACAATTAACATCCAAATTATTGTTTATATCTACAAATTGCCAACAAATTTATTTGAAATCAACGTTAATTGTTACAAAAATAACGATAATCAACATAATTTGTTTACGTGATCGTGATTTAAACAACTGATATTGAACCTTGATTACAATTAAAGATGATGAAAGAGAAATGATCACAGTTAATTAAGTAACTTAATTAACTACTTGTCAACCAGTTTTTGGTGCAAAATAATAATGTGGTGATCAATAATTATTTTTAATTCTGACAATTGTTTTCAAACTGAATTACCAAATTATTAATAGTTGTACAATTTTCTTAATTGTCACAAAATATTAAGACTTTTTGTTTGAACACAATTAATTAATATTTATAACATGATTCATACTTAAGATTATACAAAAAGTATTCAAATTAATTAAAAAATATTGAAAATTAATTGTTGATTAACTGTAACAATTTAAAACTTGTAAAAACTAAAGTCAAGATTTTGGATACAAAAGTTTAAAAAAAAATCACAGATTCAGTTACATTGAATGATAATCATCAATGGTTATCATTGTGAACACTGATTGTTGATTAAATGGTTAGAACAGCAATTTTAATGATGATCATGTTTAAGATGATGATTGAGAAATTGAGAAAGTTATCAATTTCATCGATTATCACAAACGAGAGTTTTTTTGCCAATATTAACGCAATTTCATCATTAAATTATGTTCTCTCAGTGAAAGCGGTTTTAATTTCACATCAATTTAATCAACAATCAAATTTAAAATTTGATTATTGTTATTGTTGTTGTTTACTATGTTTCGACTTGGTGCTTCACTAATTCATTGTGTTTATGATTGTTTTCTGACTTCTTATCTGCTGATTATTATTACTGTTGCTGGATCATGATGATTATGATGATGATCATCATCATCATAATCAGTTGCTCTTGTTTTATTATATGATTATATTGTCATCATCATCATCGCTGTCATCTTGTTGTTTGAATGGAGAAACTGGTTTTCCGGTTATACTTCATTAACTTTTGTCTCTCTCAATATTATGACAATTATTGATGTTGCATTAACGGTGATGATTAGATGAAGATGTGAGTATGATGATGCTTGGTGATAATAATGATGAGAAATGTAATTTCATTTGTTGATGATGATTGTTAACCCATTAGAATAGCCTGTTGATAATAAGATAAAATAACAATTAGATAAATTAATCGACACTATTAATGATAAGTAATAATTGTTAACAAGATAATCGACCGCACCCAAGTTTTGGCTTACATCTTCTTATTTCGGTAGAGAGAATATCATCAAAAATCAAGGCCAAACAATAGATTATTATAATAAATGTTACAAGAAGATAAATGATGATGACAGAAGAAGTTGAATGAAGATAAAAAGAGAAAGTTGCAAACCGTCAAAATCCACCAAACATATGATTGAGTTGTGATCTTTTTACTTTCCAATCGTTTTGAACTGACAACTTTCCATGTTAATTACAAACAAAACTAACTGTTCACATGGTTGTTAATCACGATGGTGATGGAAAAATGTTCCAAATTATTCATCTTTGTAACAATAGCGAAAACCAAACATGTGATCTAATCTATAAAAGAGAAGAAGAGAAAATAAAATTAAAATCAAAATATACAATTGAACTCATAATCTAATCAACAATTAAATATTTATAATTTTCTTTAATGTCACGGTCAAATTGTTCAATCAATTAACAGGTTGATAAATTGCGAGTAATGAACTTGATCAATAACAATCAACAAATTAGACACTTGAATCAAGAAAAACATGTAAATATGATGGAAATTTTTTTTCTATAATTGAAAAGACAAAGAAACGGAAAAGTGAATAAGAAAAAGTTTTACCTTAGAACAATTGAATTAAATTGAATCAATTTGATTGTTGATTAATTGTTCACATAATCGATGAAAAGGGTGATAATTAAACAATTTAGAACAATTTAAATGACAACAATTAACCAAGAAACAAGAAGAACAACAAAAAAAAAGGTTAAAACACTTTTTCCATTGGAAACAAAATTAACAGAAAATCAGAAAAAGGGGTTGACATGATTGGAAGAATAGAAGAAAAAAATGATTAAATGATTGATAGTTAATCGATTTGAAGTTAATTGTCTTTTCCATAGTTAATTGTGATTATGTGGGTTCGTAAATGATGAAATGTGTTTGAACAGAAGTAAAAACAAGAGAGAAAAAGAGACTAAAAGAAAGAGAAACTTTGAAGAGAAAATAAGAGAAAGAAAGAAGAAGAGGCCAAATGTCGACAGAGAGAATTAACAGTTAGACAGAGAAATCGAATCTCTTTTTATTCTAACATATTGAGAATCTGTTTTTCTATTCTCGTGTTGGTTTATCCTTCTTGTTGATTTATTTTCTTTTCTCTTTGTTTTCTGTTGGATTTTTTATTCTTCTCAATTTCTATTGATATTGTTGATTATGTCACTATTCTAATTGTTGTTCTAAAAGAAACAAATAACAGAAAGAAATCATTTTCTCTGTTTTGGAAACAGTTCTGTTTTCTTTGGGTGTGTTTGGTGGAGTATGAATTTTCCTACTTCTCTGCAACATCATAACCTTTACCCTAATCAATGGATTAAAAATTCTTGGGTTCCCTTTGGATGGAAGATTATCTTTACCATTTTGTTAACATTCTATTTAATTTCATCAACTGTCAACTCTCAGAATGTTGATTACCTTTATCACAATCGAGTTTATCGACAGAATATCTTATCAGGCCTGAAGCGTCAAAATCAGCCTGTGGTGGTTGATCCTTCAGTTGATGATTATACGGTGGACAATTATGAGAAAACACGGTTTAAATTTAGATCTTCTGACAATAATATTGGAGCAGGAGATTATCGTATCTCTAACCAGGGTGTTAAAGGTAATGGTGATTATACCTTTGGATTAGATGATTCATATTCCACCAGCCCCTTGGATAGTGTTAACTCTAATAACAATGAAAACCTTCAGCGTCTTCACCAAGAACAGCCTCAAGTTGTCAATCAAAATGGAGATTCTGATGTATCGAGCTTCTTCAAGTCCACTCCGTTATCTTCATCTCAGCTTAAGGCCCCGAGTTTCCATGTTGATTCTTCCCAACCGATGACTATGTACACACGAACTTCATCTTTAGCTTCAGCCAGAATTCATACCGATTCCGAAGATTCAGTTGAAAATCTATTCTTTGTTGGATCGGTTATTGGTGTTACCTTTGTTGGAATCTTTTTGGTCGTTGCTACCGGATATTTTGTCCATCGAATTAACATTCAAAGGCGAGCAGCAGCGGACGTTGAATATCCGGCTTATGGAGTAGTTGGACCGGGAGCTTCTTTAAAGGAGAAAGAATCTTTATCGTCAGTTAAATCAACATCGGGAACATCTAAAGGAGCATCGGGTAGTGGAACTGTTGGTGGACCAGGATCATTATCTCCCAGTGGTGATCGTAGGTTAGCTCAATCAGCACAAATGTACCATTATCATCATCAGAAACAACAGATGATCTCTTCGGATAAACTGGCCACCGAGGCCGGTGGTCAACATCCGTCAACATCTGAGGTTGACTCTGAGGAGGAGGAAAATGAAGAAGGTGATTACACCGTCTATGAGTGTCCTGGCTTAGCTTCAACCGGAGAGTTGGAGGTAAAAAACCCGCTCTTTCAAGATGATATAACTCCAATATCTTCACCATCCGTAGGTAATTCAAAGCAAGCTGGTAATTAAATTATGACAATCAGAATGGCAAAGATTGTAAACTCGTTCAATCAACTTTAATTATCAACAGCAAAGAAAACAATCATTCCAAATAATTAAAATCGAATCAGAAATTCAATCAAATCTAACCAACTCTTCAAAACGAAATCAATTCCAGTTAATCTTCCTCGTCTCTCTCTCTCTCTCTCTATCACTCACTATCTCTCTAATTGAATAATCAAAACAAACTAATTGGTAATGTTAAAACAAATCGTTGTTATTTCTTCAAGTTTAATTATGTTCCCTCTTCGGATAATATGGATCACAGTTAATCATAATGCACAACAATCAAAGCGGAAAAATGGGCTAACAAATGTCGATCATCAGTAAATGAGATAAATTCATCAGGAAAGCATGACTGATTTAGAAAAAGAAAGACAACAATTAACTGTTTAATTGTATCATCTTCTTTTTTTCTTGTTAATCAGTTATTACATTTACTGTAATCAAAGATGTACAATCAACAATCAGTTGTGTAAAACACTAAAAATTGAAAATTAATCATAATCAGTAAATCAACGGACATGTTTCATGATAAAAACAGTTTTTATTGCTCATTATTGTTTCCAATTACAGTGAATTGGAAAGATCGAAGCCAAAAAAGATACCATAATTAAAAGATGAACAATTAACATGAAAAAGTTAATCAAAGTTACAATCAAGTTAATCACAAGAAGCAGGAGTAACATGAACATCATTTATATTGGTTAAACGTGGTTAATACAATATATTAAATGAAAGAAATCAAGTGTTATCATTGTGACGACCAATTTGTTAATCATCAAGTAAATTTTCATCTAATTGTTGATTCCAATTGTGATCTTAATTGTGTGATTTAAACAATCTCAGGCTCAATGGATGGTAACGATTTCCAATATTACAACAATTAAGAAAAGAAAGTGAACTTTTCATTTTTCTTTTCGCACTTGTAACAATTTAAACTGGATTAGAAAAAGTGATTAAAAGAAGATGAGAAAATGATTAAAAGATTATAAAGACAATTAAGATGATGAAGATGAGAAATTAAATTTAATTGTAGCAAAAAAAGTGATTTAATCAATTTGTATGGATCATTCAATTTCACCCTTTCTAATCAACATTTAAAGTTTAACTTTCCATAACAATTTAATTCTAACAATTTAAACATCTCCACTCCCAACTAATTTAATTCACTATTCAGTTAATAGTAATTTATAATTTAACTTTAATCATAATCAATTTTGATGAACGAAAAAAAAACTGAGACAATTTATTTATATTGTCAATGAATTGATCATCTAATTGTAATCATTATCTTCACTTTAACAATCAATTTAACCTCACCTTTAATTGTTAGATTTTTGCATCAAAATTACTATTTGTTGGTCACAATTAACTAATCAACTTTCTGATTGCTGTTTATCTCGACTATTAAATCAACTGATTAACCATTTTCTGCATCAATTAACTAATTTAGTTAATTGTTATTAATTTTTGATTCACTTTCAATGTCTAATAAATTCAAGTTTAATTGTTTAAAGGTTTTGATTTGTTAATTATAATCATGGTAATCATCAAAGTTTATAAATATTAATTCAATATGATTACAATTGATTGGTTGAGTTAATCAAATTTAATCATTTACAATTAAAGGGAAGACGATGAAACTTCAATGAAACGTAAATCAATTTTTTTTGTCATTCGTTTGATCAACAATTTAAATTAAAGGCTAATTTTTTACAATTTAAAGCTTCAATGATCATTTTTAATCATGACCAACAATCAATTAATCAACTTATCAGTCTCTCGTAAAGATTAATAACCTTATCATGGCCAAACAATTAACTCAAACAATCAAAGTTAATCATTGTCTCTATGGTTTAATGGCAAGTAATAAATTGAAACAAAATATCAATTTACATTTTAATTATTAATAGTATCAAACAATTAACAATTAGTTACATTTTAACCAGGAAAGAAAAATGAACAATTAATAAATCACAAGTTAATTATTTGAAATAAGATATAAAATTAAGACAGAAAAATGGTTAATCAGATTTAATTAACTTCCTTGTGTTTAACCAACAACCAAAATATTGTTACAATTAGTTAATCATGTTATATATTTAAATGATAATTAACTAACCAATAAAATCAAACAAGCTCACAAATTGTTAATCATTAACTAAATGATAACAAATCTGGTCACAATTAAGGAAACAATCAAAATCTATCAATAGATGCAAATATCAGTAATACAATAACTCAGCTGATTACCAATTAATCATTTTAATTATTTCACCAAAAACAACAGTACCAACAGCACAATTAAAACCAACACCAAGGTAAAAATCATCTAATTGTTACAATTGAGTTAACAATTAAAGCACCAAAACGCAAATATTGATTAGAATGATGAAGAAAAAAAAAACAAATTGTAATCAGTGTATTGACTTTATTGATATTAATTTAAAACCCGGCGGATTGTGTGATTAACTCTAATTGTTAAGCATATTTTTAGATTGTCGTAAATTAAATCAATTTACTTAAAAGTTAATTGTAAACAATTGAAAAGAACAAGTTGATTAACTTTAAATATGCTTTGAATATGAAGTAACAATAAATGTCGATCATTGAACGTACGACCAATTTGAATGTTAATCTTTTTGAATAATCAGTTAATTAACGATAATTGTAGATAGAAAAAAATTAAGATAATCAATTAATCCTTCCAATTAAATTAAAACAAAATAAACAAAGAAAATGAAACAACAACAATTAGAGAGAGAGAAAAAAATCGTTTATCTAACTAATTATTATTTTCATCGTTCGAAACTAACATTATATAAGTTGTGTCGTTTTCTCTTTCGACAAACTTTTCTTTCAGGCCACTTTCTTTTTGTGCTACATCTTCATCTTCATCTTGATCGTCATCATTATCCTCCCCCGTCATCTTCTTGTTTCACTTTGATCTATTCGTACACAAAACTAACTTGACGCCTCTTTCGAAGCCCGAAAATCCATTCAACCTATTGAAGGGTGACACCGAACCCGAAGCTCCTTAATCACCCTACATAAGACACCCTCCATCAAATTGTTATGCTCATTTGACGGTTAGAACGGAATCGGGAACAATTTAAGAGAAATTATCAAATTGTTAGTGTGTTTATATTCAATCAATCAGATTATCATCTCTAAATTTGGTTTACTTTTCGATCATCATTCCAATTGTTCATCACATCGACTATTTGTCTTGATATTCAACATTCAACATAATTTCATTTTCTTTCTTGTGTTTTCTTAATTTAATTGTTCTCCCCTTCCCCTTTGTGAATTAAATCTTCCATCATATTTTGGATCCATCATCACCTTGGATTATTACTGAGAGAGAGAGAGAGAGAGAGAGAGAGAGAGATAAATAAACAAGTGATTAACTTGTTGATTGATTTGTTTCTTGTTAAGTGTTTAAACTAATCAACTATGGTGGAGATTAGTTTATGTCAACTTTGGTTGTCGATTGTGATTCTAATCACATTGACCAGCGCTGGACTTGTTGAGGCGGGTAAAAAGAAGGAGAAAAATTTAATTATTGTTTTATCAAACGGCGGATGTGGTGGTAATATTTTGGTACAAACCGCTGGTAAAGATGGTAAAAAAGGCAGCGGACACAAGATTGTAGTTAAAGGTGGTGACAGTGGAGGAGGAGGTTGTGGTTGTTCAAATTCTTGTGGTTCTTGTGGCGGTGGCGGTGGTGGAGATCACGAACACCATACAGTTCAACATATTCCCATTCCAATTCATGTTCCTGCCGGAGCTCCTATTCCACCTCCACATGAAATGCACGCCGCTATGATGTCTCACCTCAGGCCAGTATTTTCAGCTGACAATTCTCAAGCCTTAGCGGGGCAAAGTGATTCACAAAGTGATCAAGAAACTCAAGCATCAGATTCATCACCCTCAACACCAGATGATCCAAGTAGAACTTCAACTTCACCCTTACCCTTTTCACCAATACCCTCATCGGCATCATCATCACAACCTTCATCACCTTCACCCTCATCCTCATCTTCATCTTCCCCTGCTGATAAATCTGATATGGTTGCACCTTTATTTATACCCATGAACGTTATGACTCCTCCCTGGTTCCATGGGTCCCCTGTATTCGTGGATCCATCTTCTCAAACTGACCTTTCATCAAGAAATAATAACCAAGGATACCCATCATCATCTTCATCTTCCTCATCCTCATCCGCATCTTCACCAATCACATCAAACCATTACGATAAAGAGTACACATCATCTTCCGATGTGGCACCAACATTTAACGATCCAATGTTCAACTTACATGGAGTTAATGGTCAATTCTTACCTCCACCGGTGGGTTATCAAGGATTTGACCCAAATAACTTCAACTCTCTCTTGCCTATTACTCAATCAGCTGGCGATGGAAACACTAGAAAAGATCAACAATCAAATGATAAAAATAAATCACAATCGAGTAGAAATCGTTACCTTCAACCTCTTATCGATTCAGTTCAAAGGTTACTTCGTGGCCCTGGTCCTTTGCGTCATATTGAAGAGAATTTAGTCAAACAAGGACAACGAATGCAAGCCTCGTTTTCAAATTTAGTTCCGGTTTCGATCAATAATATTACCTCATACTTACCTAGTTTACCAAGTTTACCAAGTTTACCGAGTTTACCCAGCATACCCATACCTGGACTGAGATCGTCTTCAGGTAATCGAGATCGTAAGCCCGCTGGAGCAACACCAACATCGTCATCATCAACCGGCAATCGAGGCTCTCGTTATTTGGACAGTTTACGAATTCGTTTACGACCTTTAACCATGATGGAGGGAAATCGATTGACATCAACACTTGAAAACCTATGGAGAAATATTCGAGGTCGACCATCATCATCATCATCATCTTCTTCATCTTCATCTTCAGATCAACCTTCAGCTTCTGCTTCCAATAACGTGCCCGAAATTAGTGGTAATCAAATTCATCATCATCAACACTCACTCTCACCCAATGGTCAACATCCTCATCACTTTAATGTTCCTGGACAGCAAAACAATCAAGTGATGCAACAATATCTTGAACAGATACTCACCTCTAAATGGTGGGAATGGCCCTCAGGCGGTTTATTAGGACCAAATCTAAATCAATACTAATTAACTGTCATCATCATCAGAAACTCAATCATCATTAATCAACTTCCATTCTTATCTTAACTTTTGTTATCCTCATCACCTCTGTAAATATGTTCATAGATAAAAACAAAAGGAAAAGGAAACAAGAAAAATCAATCAACATATAATAAGGAAATAAACAATTAAGACAATAAGACAAAAGGAAAACCTCATCATCATCATCATCATTAATTAATTAGCTTCATCATTCACCATCACAATCAAATTTTTCATCTTTGTAATATAAAATTAAAATTATTTCTTGTAATAAGATAAATCAAATTGCCAAGTACCAATAATAATCTATTAATTGTAATTAATTCTCTCTCATCTATCTCCCTCTTTCTCCTGTTTAATTGTTTCTCAATCAACTGATTGTAATAATCAATTTGCATTACAAAAGAAACACAAATCAATAGCTAATTGTGATTCTAATCACAGATTGTAAATCATGTTAAAGAAAATGGATGTTAATTGATTGAAGATTAATTGTTACAACTTATATTTGATTTTCGACTAATTTTTCTTTCAGCTGATTTACTGATTGTGATTCAGTGAACATCAGTTAAGTTCTAAATTAACTTTAAATAAGTGGAAAAGATGAAGCATGTTAGTGATGCGAGAAAGAAAAAAAAAATGAAAGAGAAAAGATAATCAGGGTTGAATAGACTGATTCTAATCAAGAATAAGAAATTTACCTTTTTAATGCCTGAATGAGAAAAAGAGAAATTCTAATTGTAACACTTAATTCTTCATTAATTGTTGTTCGCGATGTCTGTTAACATTTTGAACAATTTTCGTTTTCGAATACAAATTAATGTTTCTAAATAATTATAGTTATAAAAAGAAAAAAAAGAGAGAGAGAGAGAAATTAAAGAAGACAATTGATGAGGATGCTATTGACTCGGAATCGTCTTAAAGAGATAATCAATCATAAAAATCTGATTTGATTCTGTTGATTATCTTCAAGATTAATCACAATTGCAACAGCCAAAACACACAGGGATAAGAGAGAAGAGAGAGAGAGAGAGAGATGGAAATGATTTACATAATTTAGGGAGAGAGAGAAAGTTAATAAGGCTTAATTGATAATTTAGAATAAATCATTTGCCTTACAACCTGAATTAGTTGATTGTAATTCGTTTGTTGTTGATGTTGACGATGACTCCTGATTGATTACGATCGTTGATGTTGACACTTTTGCATAGTGAGAGAAAAAAACAGACAATTAACAATTTAACGAACGAAAATATCGCCATCATGATGGAGTTTCTTTCGGACTTCTCGACGCTTTCCAATGATCCTTGCGTGACCACTTTGGACTTTGGGAAATTCGTTTCGTTTTCTTTTCGCTTTCTTTTTATTATTTTGGAACAGGATCTTATTTTAACCCTTAATCGTATCGTAGTAATAATCAATAGTAATAATAATAATAATATATATACATTTGTATATAATCATTATATACAAAATGACGATGAGTTGGGCTTTGGGATCGTTTTTGATTACAGGGTGTTGAGTGTTGAGTGTTGAAAGTGATTTAAGTGAGAGAGAGAAAATTATGATTATCTTAACTTGATCACTTTCGCTTTGAGGGTTTGGGATGAAATATTATGTATATATAAAGAGAGATTTGATTTAGAGGAATCAATTTACTTTTGGTGAAATTGTTTCAGTTGATTTCATTGATCATCGATTTCCTAGCGTTTCTTTTATGGTTCCTCTCTCACTTAAAACGCGTTCAAACGTTCACACAATACTCTGTATAAGTAGAATTGAGAACAAAATTTCAGCGAGTGATTTAGAGACACAAAAAATGGTGAACATTTCAATCGATGACAATTAATAAAGATGATGAATTAATCTCCTGAAATGAATCTGCCATATGACTTTTTCTCTTCTGGTTAGCAAATGTTTTCTACAAAAAGATCCTATGGTAATTTTTTTGGGTTAATTTTTTTCTACAGTTGGGACAACAGTGATTCGTCTTGATGGCTTGTTGAATACACGACTTGCAATAAACATGACCACAAACTGTAACAACAATTTCCCCTCCAGCAGCAAGTATCTAAGAGATAAAGAGTAAGAGAAAAGTAAATTAAGAGTGAGAAAGCATTAAAAAGAGATATAAATCAAAGTGATGTAACAATTAAAAGGTTAAAAGAGCTATTAATTAAATAGATCTTCACCCGATCGTCATTAAGGAAACAAAAACAAGGTACTTACTTTGTGATCTTCCTCAAGGCAAATCGGACATTTTACTATTTTATATCGAACTGGTTCCTGAGGTTTTTGAATCTCCACAATATTTTTACGCTTTGGTACACTTTCCACCAGTATATCGATCGAATTGCTCCTGTAAAGAATAAAACAAACATTAGAAAATGATTGGAATGAAATGAAACACAAGTTGACAAAGAAAACTGGTAATCAGAAGGGAATGAGAAGGTGAGAGAGAGAGAGAGAGAGAGAGAGAGAGAGAGAGAGACAAGGTAAACACCAGAACCAGATGAATTCATACTTGTTTGAACTAGATGACGTAGAGGGTGAAGGTGAATTGGCGAGATCGACAATGAATGAGTCGGATCGAGGTGGACTGATGCTTAATTGCTCCTGTAGCGAAAGTACTGGCAACAGTCTGGGCGGTGTTAGAGGTTGATGATGGTGAGCTGACCGACGGCTAGCGGATCGGGGAGATATTCTATGGTTTGAAGTTGTTGAAGATTCTCTCAGAGAATTTCGACAAGGCCTATGGGGACAGCATGAGGTTGATGTAGAAGATGGTGTTCTATGTTCACGTTTCCGCTTTTTGTGAGGCCTGAAAGATATTTTCTCATTTATGATTTCGATATCATCATCGCCTTCAGTTAAATCAATACAAGAGATATCACGAGATAAATTTGGGTTAGTTGATGAATTACTAGAATCACTATCAAGGGAAATGTTAGTATTATTAGCACTATTGGTATGGGTTAGGATTGGGAGGTTATCATCGGTTACAACGGTACAATTAATGGCGATTATACTGTTATCATCAATATTATTGTTGTTGGCAGAATTGTTGTTGTTGGTCAAAGAGATTGTAGAAGATGTTGAAGAGGAAGAAGAAGATGAAATGGTATTTGTATTGGTCGTCGTTGTGGTTGTCGAAGATTCCGTTGTGGTTATTAACGAAATTGTTTCGTTTACCTGAGAGGTAATATTAATCATAGTTAAATTGTAGAAAAAAAAAGTGAAAAAAGAAAACAAAACAAAAGAAACTAGATTAACATTCACACAGAAAACAACAAATTGTATTTTCCGAATAAAAAGTTTTTCCACCAGATGGAGTTGCCGAACAATCGAATAGCTTTTTATCCGAATTTTTAATTGTTAATTAACTTTTTTTTTCGTTCTTTTCATTGATCTCTGATTGTTGGCAGAGGAAGATGAAGATGATAAAGATGCAATTGAGATTTTGCTATCAGTCTATTATCCATCTGATTAGAAACTTATTTATTTTCAACAGCAAATTAGATGATTAAGTTGATTAGATTGATTTTTTTTTTCTTATGAGTGTTTAACACAAAATATTAATAAAAGCAATTAATTGATGATGATTAGTAGGAAGGAAATGGAAATTGTTACGTTGAGTTTTATTGTGAACAATAGAAATCAGTTTAAGGCCAATTACTTTTTTTTCTAAACGTGGAAAATTAAATTTAGATGATTATGATGATTAAATGATGGCAACAATTTAAAATTAATTTAGTAGAAATGGTGATGGAAACACTGATTCCAATTGTGATTCAATTGTTAGTTGACATAACTACGACTGTATGAAAATTTTATTGAAGAGTCATAATTAATTTGATTGGTTGATTTACCTTAATTTTAAGGTAGGAAAAAAATTTGTTGTTGAAATTTGAATAATTAAACTGTACATTGATAGAGAGTTTGTTAAATTGTTACAGACACTTACGTGTTGGTGAAAGAGAGCACAATTAAACAATATATGGCCTTTAATTGTTTTGGGTATACGAAAAACAAAATAATTTCTGCAAATAAGTCAACAAATTGTAATATAAACGCCAATATAAAATTAGAATCAATAAAATGATTGGATTCCCGTGATCGCTTTTCCCAAAATCAACGCGTGAATATCATGTGTCCCTTCATACGTGTTAACGGCTTCTAAATTATTGGCATGACGCATTATATGATATTCATCGGAGATTCCGTTTCCACCGAGCATATCTCGAGCCGTTCGAGCAATTTTCAGAGCTTTACCACAAGAATTACGTTTAATCATGGAAATCATTTCGGGTGCAGCAAGTCCTTGATCCTTGAGACGACCAACATTTAGACAAGCGGTTAAACCGATGGATATTTCGGTTGCCATGTCGGCCAATTTTTTCTGGATCAATTGATTAGCAGCCAGTGGACGATCAAATTGTTTACGATCAAGTGTATATTGTCGAGCGGCTTCATAGCAAAATTGTGCCGATCCCAAAGCTCCCCAAGCGATTCCGTAACGAGCATTATTTAGACAGGAAAAAGGTCCTTTCATACCATCAACATTTGGCAGAACATTTTCCTCGGTAACTTTAACATTATCCATGACAATCATTCCAGTGGTTGAAGCTCTTAATGATAATTTACCCTCTAATTTAGGAGTAGTTAACCCTTGCATACCTCTTTCGAGGATGAATCCTTTAACTCGTCCACCATGAGCCTCACTTTTAGCCCAAACCACCATAATGTCCGAAATGGGAGAATTGGTTATCCATGTTTTAGATCCACTGATTGAGAAAGTTTTAGAGGTTGGATCATAAGTGGCCTAAGGAAAATTGGAAAGAAAAGTGAGTTAGAAATTGTTAATTATAATTGTTCAGCACAAATCGTCACCTTAGTTGCCATTCCACCGGCATCACTTCCGAAATCTGGTTCAGTCAATCCAAAGCAACCGATCATCTCTCCTGACCTGAGTTTATCCAAGTATTTGTCCTTTTGTTGGTCACTTCCAAATTGATAAATCGCTCCCATTACCAACGAAGATTGGACACTTAATGCTGATCGATAGGCGCTGTCAACCTTTTCAATTTCATTAGCTAACAAACCATAGGCCACTGAAGAGACACCCGAACATCCGTAACCTTGAATTGTTGACCCTAAGGCACCAAGAGATCCCATTTCTTTCATAATATTACGATCAAACTCTTCATGACGATTGGCCATCAATATCCTTGGCATTAATTTCTCTTGACAATAAGCTCGAAATTGATCTCGTATAAGAATCTCATCCTGAGTTAGAAAATGGTCCAAATTGAGAGGATCCGTATAACTAAATTTGGCATAAGAAGCACTGGTTAAAGACATACTTCGGTTAAGTAACAATCTACCAGAGAAGATACAATTTGATGATAGTAAAGGTTTCATACAATTTAAAACTTTAACCATCATGAGATATCAAGGAAAATTTAAAAACAAAACAAAACAAATTAGCGTCGCAATTGATTGAAACAGTAAAATCAATGACAAAGACAACAGAGAATTAAAATCACAAGAGAATCACAAGATAAGCTCCAAGATAATCTCCAAAGATAATTAAAGAAGGAGATTGGTAACAATTACCAAACTCTAACCAAAGCAAAACTAATAACAATTAGAATCTAAAAAAAACAAACAATCAACAACAAAAAAAACATAAACAATGAGCCGAAACTTTCACTTGGAGACAATAAACAGAAACAATTCCAATCAAGGAACTTGAAACTTTGATTGACTGGCACAAAACACAATTAAAAACTCAGAAATTGATTCTAATTAGCCAAGAAACAATTAGAATTGTATTAATCAGATTAAATATTAATTTCTCATCAGAGACAACAACAAGTCTAATTTAACAGCTACTCTTTTGCTCTGAAAATAGCAACGAATTGGTTGTGATTAATTGTTGACATTTTGATGTTTCTAAAAAAACAATCAAGTGATTTTCACCTTTGATTATCAAGGACAATGATCAAGGAATAATTTAATTCAATTTAGATTTCTCTGTTTCCATTAACCTGATTCTCTTCTCTGATTAACTTTATCTTGAGTTAATTATGTATCAAACTGATGAGTAAATTAATCTGATAATTTGGTGTATTCATTGATCAGTTAATTAGGGTAACCACAATCAGAGGAAAAGCTTTGATGATAAAAAAAACAAAGTTAATTGTGATTAGAAAAGAAAAATGTTCTGATTTTTGATTGATTGAGAGTAACTGGATTATCTCAGTTAGAATCTGTAACATATAAATAAACCATTATGGTCATGTGATTATGTAATTTGCTATTAAATAATTAGTCAGATGATTAAATATCTTCTAATTAGTAGGATGGGAGTTGAAAAGAAAAACAAAATAGAAATGATTTACTTAATAACAATAATATTTAATCCTTTTTGGTGAAAGAGACATTTACGATTTTCAGCTTAATTCATTGGTGATAATCTTCAGTTTTCATGGAGGTTTTTAAATATCATCATCATCATGAATCTTTGATTAAAAGATCAGTGAACAGTATTAAAAATATTTTCTAGATGTAAAGGTGGAGAGAGAGAGAGAGAGAGAAAGGTAAAGATGTTTCCATCCTCGGTCGAAAAGATTGTTAATTGTAATTTCTTGGTGAATGGTAAACAATTTAAATATGTATATATGAAGAATCAGAATAATCGAAAGTGTCAAAGTTGTCATCAATTGTCATCTTTCTACTAATTTCGTTTAGTTTCCACTTCCAGAAAGGATATACAATATGAATCTACTAAAAAATTATTATGATGCTCAATATATATAAGATATTTATATATTTATAATAGTGTAAAGATGACAAGAAGGAGAGAGAGTTGGACACAAACACGAAAAAAAAACCAAATATTGCTCTTCGATTTTCGTGATTAGGACACAATTGCGGATGTGGAAAGATTTCATCATGGCTACGTGAGTTTGTTTCATATTATAAGTTGACGATGATTAAGAGATGGTCAATAATGGAGACGCAATTGAATACACAGTCCTTTCGGTTGGTCATAGGCTTTTGATCAAATTTGTTCGATTTTGTTTTCCTCATCGACAATTACCCAATATAATGAAGATAGAATGAGAGAGAGAGAGAAAGAGATTATGATGATTCTTCTCAAATTGTTATATATAAATGAAGATCTGATTTGATAGCAAGCGGGTAGTTGATGACGAAAATTAAAGTGAAATTGATGTGAGCATGATGGTTATTACGACGATGAGGAACAATATTTTCTGAGAATGAAAAGTTTTTGTTGATATTGTTGTGATGATCATTTGATTGTTATAATTGGTAAAAAAAAGAACAACAATTTCCTCTGTTTGTTGTTCTAACTCAGTGTTTTTTTTGTGATTTATGATTTGTTATTGTTATCATTTGGATGTTGAATTTGGTTGTGTGTTTATGTGAGCGTCTTTCTTTTACATTTGTTTTCCTGGGTTCATGTTCAATGAATCAGAACTTGATTATTGATGGAACCTACTTGAACTCCTCCACCATTACCAGTACCTGAATTGGGACGATTACGGAAGTTGGTGTGTAAAGAGTTAATATCTCTTCGTAGGGAGTCAGGTGAATTTGATCCATGATAAACTTCAACCTGATCATCATTGGTGAATGGATAATTGGCTGATAGAATATTAACATTTTCAACCAAGAATAAAACTTTGGGACTGCTCATGGAAATTTTCCTCATCTCAGTTATGTAGGTACCAATAAATATATCCAAACTTAAAGCCATTATCCATTCGGCAATCGAAGCAGAAATGTGTAACCAATAACCTCCATCTTTGATTGTCCATTTTCTAGGATTATCACCATCATAAAATTTGAAGGCTAATGGACCACAAACACTTTGTATAACAAAGGTAATTGTCATTATGGTGCATAAGAAGAACCTAAAAATGGCACAAGATCGACTATTAACAATTGGATAGGCTTTAAAAGAGATCCAAGTTTGTATCCAACAATAGATCATTCCACATCCGAAACATGTAAAAGCTCCGATCAGATGGACAATAATTAAATTGGTCTCTTGAAAATTGGCTACAATGGAAAGGCCTAAACAAGCAATTACACCAACAAACAGTGACCATCGATTGCGACTCATTATTTTAGGACTTTCTAGCGATAGATGATCTCTGTAATATTGTTCGATTTGTTTATATCTGTTATAATAAGGAGGAAAAAGAGAAGAAAATAAAATGAAACATCTTTTCCAATAGCCTTGTTGTATCTCTTCTTCTTTCTTAATCAACTAAATTATTCTCATGGTAACAAAAACATACCTGAGATAGATGGTGAATAGATAAAGGAAGGCAGTGATATTGAGAAATTGTGAGAAAATGCAAGACTCTGGACTATTTGTTCCAGTATCACTGATATATGGAAATTCGGGAGCAACATCATGTAGATAGACAGATAAAGCATAACTGTTGGGAGAATAGAAAAGAGAAAAAAAAATTAGTAAACCAAATCAAAATAGAATTTCAATTGTACAAAGAAACCACAACGGTGAGTAAGAACGTTCAATAGAAAAATATAGAAAGAAACAGTTGATATAAAATTTGAATGGAAAAGCGTTTGAATAACAGGCCGTTAGGCCTAAGCTTCGAATAGATGATTTTAAGGTAGAGGAAAAAACCGTTTTCTTTTTCGATTTTAATGGAAACACTTACGTGGTAATGAAAGTTGTTGGAAGAAGGATGAAGGCTGCTAATGGAATCCAATGTACATTAGCCCAAATCATAATTGTGTCTCTCTAATTACTTGGTAAAAATAGTTGATAAACAATAACAAGAGATTTGATGGTGAAGAAGAAACGAAAACAAAGAGATTACTCGCAGAATTACAGGTTAACAATAATAAAGAGGAAGATTTGCAGAAACAGTTTCCAATGGTTGATTAAATTACTAGCAAATAAATAATAGAAATTGATGAAAAATCCATTGAACATCACATAGTATATATTGAGAAAACAAAAAGATAACCATTCAATGGGTTACATGTTTCATCTTGTGTATGTTCACTTTGTGTTTCTATTCACTTGACAAAGAGGCGAAAACCAATTGAATGCAAAGATGATGAGGAGAAGATGAGGACACACAGAATCAAATTGACAATTAAAACACAGAGAAAGAAATAAAGAGAATAATAAATAAATTGGAAAAAAAAGAGAAGCCCAAATGTAGACACAAACAAAAGGAAAGAGAAAATGAAAATCTATAGAAAGGTAAATAGACAGAGATGGTAAAAGACTCTTTCCAAATCTAAAACTCCTCTTTTTCTTTCCTCGTTCCTAAATATCATAGAAATTAAATTACTTCTAATTACAGTAATTAACAATATTCTTTTAATGGAAGAGAAATTAAAACAAAGAAATAAAATTAATAGAAAAGGTTTAAGACACAAAAAAGATGATGACGGTTAATGGACTTTGTTGTTGTTTCTTTCAAAACAGAAAAGAAAGAAGGTCTCGTGATCTCTTTCTCTCTTTCTTTCTTCTCTTTCTTTTTTCTTTGTTGTTGTTGTTTCTTTTTTGTTTTGTTTATGTTCATTTATTTGATCTCACAATTTAATCCATTGATTAATTAGCAATTAAATCTTTAATTATCTTTTAAATTTTTTGTTAATTTCCAAGTTTGAGTTTATCTCCATTTTCTCAGTGATTCTTTTGTTTTTGTCTATTCTATTTTTTTTCTCAATCTTTTTCTCTCTTTGATTTGATTTCATTTGATTTTCTATTTATTTTTCCTATTCGCAATTCTCAATGTGAATATTTAATTGTTCTGAGAATCTCTTGTAAATTAATAATCTATCACTTGATTTACTTTATTCACGGTGATGTATTAATAGATTGAACTTAATCTTAGATCCGTTTGGATTGATATTCATTTCCTGCCTCTTGGTCATCATCATTATCATCATCTGGCTCCTCTTATTGATATAAAGTAAATACGGATCTAATTAGGTGATAATTAGATTAAATTATGGTTCAAGTTTCCCTTGGTAAAAGTTCAATTGTCAAGAGAAATGACCTTTGGTACAATTGGATCAAATTTGGATAAAAGTCAACAAACTAATTTCAGGCCTAACACGAAATTTGGACTCAACCAAAATGTTAATCAGCTGATTTTGGACATTGATCTAATCATTGTAATGATTTAATCCACAATTCATTTCATCGTCCAAACAATAATGTTTCAATTTCTGTTTAGATACAACAAATTAATCCATTTGAATTGTTGGAATGTAAATTCACTTGTCAATTAGTCAACACATTGATCCTGATGAACCTAAATGGCAAAAAAAGGTGTTAATTTAAATGGAGACAATTAATTTATTGGAATGATAAACATAATTAGAGAGGATGAACTAATTGTAATTCTCAAATGACTGTGATTATTTGAATCTACAATCAATCATATTACACCATAGGGATCAAGGTTCTCTCACAGAAAATTGTTGGAAACAATCAAAAGTAAATCGTTGGTTATTGAGGCTCCACAATATAAGTACAGAGAGATGATTAAAATGTGTAATAATCAATTTCTCAATGTATACTAATTGTTGTATCACTTATTTGTGTTTACCTTTGATGATTAGACGGAATTATGGTTGTAACAATTAAGGAAATGTATTTACCCATAAATTGGTTGAAACAACTTAAGATGAAACCAAATTGTCGCAATAAGGTGAATCCACTTAAAAAGTAAATCCGGTTTATTAATCTCTTAGCAAAGTTAATTGTTCTTAAATTGTTCTCAAATATCAGTTGATACATGCAAGTAAACAAAGGGAACTTGAAATTAAGGATGAAGACCAATTAAACAAGGAAATTCGTCTACATGCAAAAGCGAAATGAATCTAATTTTCTCATGAACTTTTTGCGACAAATTCATTTTCGAAGTTGACAAGTCACTTGTTCAAGATTCGCACTTCGAACTCAGTTGATTAAAATGAGATCGGTAAAATGATCTTTCGGTCGAGAGTTTCAAATAAACTTTTCGGTAGAATTGTCCTTCCAATTTCTTGGGTTCGAACAATTTAATTACAAGATTGATCGATTTAATCAAAACAACTCAACAAAAAGTCAACTAATTTCAGAGTTTAAGGTTAATTGTTTGTCTCTTTCATCATTTGATTTTCATCTGTTAGTAAACAATCAAAAGTAATCAGCTGATTTCTATTTGTGTTAATTGTTATTCTTTGATTGATTTTTCTTTGTAATAATCACTCTACTAAATTAGCAATTGAATAAGAACTCATCAATTAATCCAGTTTGATTTTCTAATTGTGAACTTAATGTAACTTTTTGTCCCAAGGTTAAATTATACCTCTTTTCCCCCAACAAATTAAGTTAATTATCACAATCTAATCAACAATTAAATTCTCCTACTGTTAATAAAATACTCATTGAAATCAAAGGTACAATCCTATGGATTAAATTTAATTAGAAAAAGTTAATTATAACAATGAACCTGTTAAACGATCCTAATCAACTCTAAATGATAATAATCACCAATCGGTTGGTTAAATTTGATTAGTAAATTGGTTTTACTTAACAATCAACAATCAGATGCGAAAGAGAAAACTATTTTATTTTCTATTAATAAGATTAATTGAAGCAATTAAACATTTCTAATGATGATTCCATTATATTTTCCATACGAATCATTTTCTCACCAGGATCATGAAAATCCTTCTCTCCGATTCAATTATAATCATGAAAGTGATGCAAAGTAGATGAAGAATAAGAGTATTTACCTGTTAATCCATTAGAATGGATAACAAAAGGATAAGATTAAATGGCGATGATTAGAATTCACGAAAGCGTAAACATGCAAAAGAGAAAAAAAAAATTTCGCTCTCAAAACGGATTAGCTGAATTCGAGAAAACTTTTGTTCTTTGTACCATCGAAACGTTAATAACTTATTCATCTAATTAATTTATTCACAATTGTTGGCATGACAATTGAAGAAGAAAAAAAACAACGACAACAATTAGATGATCATTTGGATGGTTAAGTGATGATTAAGAAAAAGCGAAAACAAGAAAAACCTTTCGCTATCAATGTCGCTGTTTATTCAAGGGCAAAGGGCTGAAAGTGTAACAATTTACAATCGTTACAACGTTAAGATCGACGGCAAAGTCAAAGTATATAAAGGATCGTCGATTGGAATCAAATATCATCAGTTAATCATCAACATTTATCAAGTAAACATCAACAGTTAATCAAAAATCTTCCAAAAACTTTATCAACTTTCTTATTACAATTAAAATCTTCAACAATGTCTTCATCACAACAACAACTTTTTGGTAAGTTTTAGTTTCTCAATGATTAACATATGATATGAGAAAATTAATTACTCTGGTTACTAATTGATTCATTTTGTTTTGGTGATTTCTTTTTCCAGGTAAAATGATTGTTAATCTTTCACTTGTTGCCACATTAAGTTTAATTGTTTCCCTTATTGGATTAACTGGAGCTGTTTCATCCCAGGATTCGGTTAAAGCTTCATCGGCTAATCTGACTGCTTATAATACACCTTATGCTTATTATGATTACGAACGGGATCCTCGAAGATGGTTTGGAAATGGTCAATTCGCTCCCGGTGCTTCATATGCTGGTCCATTGGCCCAATTTCCCGGTGGATTGGAGGCCATTGCAATCGGTTTAATGATGGCCGTTGGTGCGGGTTTCATTGTTATTCCTCTTATGATTATCCTTTACATGATCTTTGTCTCTCCAAATGGTAATCCCAATCTTAATGGTGGATTTAATTTCTCTCAACTTCCAACCACCACCACAATTGGACGTAAACGACGAGAAGCCGGTGGAAAATCAGCTGAGGCTCTTGTCGGTGGTTTACCAGAAATGATGTCACCATTTGTCCAAGAGAAATTACTTTCTTTCTTCAAGAAATTCGCCAATGCTCCAGATCGAATGGAATATATTAAGAATATGCTTAAACCCTAAAGCGATTTGATTCTCTTTTTGTTTTCATATTTACCTTTTTTCCAAAACTCTCTCATTAATTGTTATCCTCTTGATTGACACATTCACTGTGTTTCCATTGTACGATCACAGAATAAGCTTAACCAAAATTGTATCTAAATGATTGTTTTCAATCACTTTTACCCACCAAAGTTTAAATAAAAGTATTTTTTTCACAAATTGATTGTTGATTAAATAAATTCAATCTCAACACAATCCAAATAATTGATAATCTAAACACTTTGAGTTATAACATTCAAATTGATTCTCTTTTGATATCTAGCAGCTTCATTGGTACATTTCATTGGAAAATTTAACAAACAACCATTGAATAATCATTTAACAATCGATATTTTAATTCGATTAACTAACAAGTTAATTGTTTTCTAAATTTTAAAAAAGAAAAAGTTTTGTCGTGAAAATAGCTTTTGTTGCTATTCTCACGAATTTCTGCTGTTGGAATAACTTGGAAAATGCTTTTCCTATGAAAGAAATGAAAAATCAATGACAAGATTGAAACTCAGCTGATTGTAATAATCTTTTGTTTTAATTGACGATTAATTTTAAGTTTCTTTTATTTGATTTACCAGTAATTAAATTTTCTCTGTTACCAAAGATAATCAAACAATCAAATTAAGATGCCGAGGGTTATGATAAAAGGAGGTGTTTGGAGAAACACTGAGGTGAGAACATTTTTATTTTCTATTTTTCTATTTTTTGTTTTGATTTTTTCTAATTAAAAAATTATAGAATTGAGTAAATGTTATTTTGGAAATGATTCTATGTTTATATTTGCTAATCTCTTTTGTTTTATTTGATTTTTCTTTTGGAATCTTTTTGTCTTCCATTCAGGATGAAATTCTTAAAGCTGCTGTAATGAAATATGGAAAAAATCAATGGTCTAGAATTGCTTCACTTCTTCACCGTAAATCAGCTAAACAATGTAAAGCTCGTTGGTATGAATGGTTGGATCCTAGTATTAAGAAGACAGAATGGTCAAGGGAAGAGGAAGAGAAACTTCTTCATATGGCTAAACTTATGCCAACCCAATGGAGGACTATTGCTACTATTGTCGGTAGAACAGCTTCTCAATGTTTGGAACATTATGAATATTTGCTTGATCAAGCTCAGAAGAAAGATGAAGGTGACCCTACTGATGACCCAAGGAAACTTAGACCTGGAGAGATTGACCCCAATCCGGAGACCAAACCAGCTCGACCCGATCCAAAGGATATGGATGAAGATGAATTGGAAATGTTAAGTGAAGCAAGAGCTCGTTTAGCCAATACCCAGGGTAAAAAAGCTAAAAGAAAAGCTCGTGAGAAACAGTTGGAAGAGGCTCGTCGTTTAGCATCATTACAGAAGAGACGTGAACTTCGAATGGCGGGGATTTACTTGGGCTCAGGTGGCCGTCGAAAGAAAAAAGGAATCGATTACAATACTGAGATTCCTTTTGAAGCGCCAGTTCCAGAAGGTATTCATGATATTTCCAGTGAAGTTTATGTACCAGCTAATCATGACTTCAAGAGATTAAGACAACAACATCTTGATGGTGAATCGAGAACTGAACGAGAAGAAAAAGAACGAAAAAAGGACAAAGAAAAGCTCAAGAAACGTAAAGAAAACGACGCTCCACTTGCCATTACCGCTGATGATACACCAAGAAAACGAAGTAAATTAGTTTTACCTGAACCCCAAATATCTGACGTTGAATTGGAACAAGTTGTTAAATTAGGAAAAGCTAGTCTAACTGTTAAGGAGATTGCTGAAGAATCTGGTAACGAAGCATCAGAAGCTCTATTAGCTGATTATTCAGTAACTTCTTCTCCAGCAATCGCTGCCGCTAGAACCCCAAAAGTTGCATCAATGAGCAGAGAAACGATTCTAATGGAAGCTCAAAATCTTATGGCTCTTTCCAATGTCGAAACACCATTGAAAGGAGGTCTTAACACTCCGTTACATGAGATTGAGACTCCTCTTGGTGGACCGAAAACACCAGTTTCGGCTACACCAAACACAATGATAGTGACTCCATTCCGAACCCCGGGTAGTGCCGCTGGTGGAGGATCAACTGGTCAAACACCGAGTGCCAATGAATCTTTCAACACACCTCGATCAACTAGAAGTGAATCATTCAGAGATCATTCAGTTAACACTACACCTTTACGTGATAAGCTCAACATTAATCCAGAAGAATCATTAAGCTTTGAAAGTGGATTAGCAGTGAAACTTTATGAGAAAGATCAACGTGAAAGTTTAAAGAGACAACTTTCTGAACTTCCAACACCAAAGAAAGATTTTGAAATAGTCCTTTCCGAAGATGAGATGAACTTAATTAACAAAGATGACAAAGATGATAAAGAAACTGAATCAATGATTTCAGAAGATCAAGCAGATATTGATGCTCGTCGTGAAGCCCAACTAATCGCAGACATGGAAGCTCATCTCTCCCGACAAACCCAATCAGTTCAACGTAGTTTACCTCGACCAACGGAAATAAATCAACACTTTGTCCGAACTTTACCTGCAACAAGTACTGATCTACAAAAGGCCGAAGAATTAATTAACCAAGAAGTTCTAACTCTCCTTCACTATGATTCAATAAATAATCCAACTGATGCACAAATATTATCCTCAAGTATTAAAGCTAAAGCGGGAAGTGTCCACAATATAAGCGCTAATTATTTAGAAAAATTTCCCTATCAAGAGTTTGAAGATGAAGAGATTGCCGTTGCAAGGGAAGTACTTCAAGAGGAAATGTACCAAGTTCGAGAGGAAAGTGGCCATGGAGAAATATCTGATGAGAATTACCAACAAATGTGGGACGAGTGTTACTCTAAATTATTGTATCTTCCCTCGTCCAGTGCTTATGTACGTGCCGATAGACGAGATATAACCAAAAAGGATAGAATTGAATCATATGAGAAACAATTAGAAATGAATCGTAATCTAATGACCAAAGATGCTCAAAAAGCAAGTAAAATGGAAAAAAAGTTGAAAATTTTACTCGGCGGGTACCAATCTCGAGCTCAAGGTTTAACGAAACAATTTCAAGAGACTGTCGAGCAAATTGAAGCGACTCGAATTGAATTGGAAACTTTTAGGATGTTAAAAGATCACGAAGACATTGCCATTCAGAAAAGGATCCTCTCGATCACGGAGGATGTCACCCGTCAAGAGAAACGAGAGAAATCACTACAAGAAAGATACGCTCAATTATTGAGGGCTAAAAGTGAATTAAAGACCAGCAATTAAATGACAGAGAATGGAAACTTTAATATCTCATCAATCTTATAATTCTTTTGATTTTGTTTGGATGTACATACGAAAATTGAGCAGAATTAAAAAAGAAAGAAAAAGGCCAGTTGATGGTTATCCCGATAATTTGTTGACTAATTTAAATCAGTTGATGATCATTTAAATTTGAAAGGTCGATTAGCTGAGCCACGAATATTTTCTTGCTCAAAAGTGACCTTAAATATCGAACCAGCTTCAGCTTCAGCGACAAATTCATCTTTAGCAGTAGTAACATAGAGAGTCCGAAAATCGGATCCACCCCAAGTGAGTGAAGTAGTTGAAATGGCTGGAGTTTTAATTATTCCCAAAATTTTCCCTATTAAATTTGGAAAAGAAATTAATTACAAAATCATTAATTAGATTCAAAGAAAAATGAACCATCTATTTACCTGTTTCCGGGTCAATTCTCATCACCTTCTTCCCCTTGTATGAAGCGATCCAAAGTTTATCATGTAGATCAATGGTCATCCCGTCAGGTACTTCAACGCTATTTAAGATCCCAGGTGATTCGTGGTAATCAAGAACTATTTTGCAATTAGCTGATTATATGGTCGGAAGAAAAGTGTTTGTTATTGATTGGTGATTGTTGCGAATAAGTTGACAAGGACTTACATATATTTCCAGTGTGATTATCATAATCGTAGGCCCAAACTTGTCGTTCGATTGATTCAATTACGAAATATTTGGTCTTATCCTTTGACCAGGCCATTCCATTGATCAAGGAAAGTCCATCTCGTTTAAGTGAAATATGAGAAGCAGAATCCAGACTGTAAAGTGCACTAAGGCCAAAGGCGAAAAGTCCTGGTGCTTGTGTCCACTTTAATGTACCAAACCACATTGTACCGAACCAGAGACGACCCTTAGGGTCACATTTACCGTCATTTAAATGAGTTGGTTTTGAAGGTTCAATCAATTGGACACAATTAACTTCCTTTGTTGCCCAATCAATTGTTAGAAGTTTTTTCTGCTGTGAGACAATAAATTTATTTTCTTGACCTTTAATTGGAATTATAAAACTGAGTCCAGGTTCGAGGTGAAATTTACCAAAAGCGGGCGTCTTTGTATCCATATAATAACAATCACCAGCGATTTGATCAATGTGATATAATCGACCTGATCTTTCATCATAATGAGGTCCACTTCCAAAGAAGACGGAGTAAGTTGATGCCCGTTCAATTTTGTGTCGTAATTCAGGAATCATGATGAAAGTTAATTTGATGGATTCAAAATGATACATAAAAATTGTAAATAAATGAAAGTATTGTTAATTGTTGAATAGCTAAACAGTTCATAATACATGGGATTATTTAGCGATTTGATTGTTATTTTTAAAAAAAGGATTGTTTTTAGTGTAAAAAAGTTGATCAATTTGATGATTGGAATATTTTCTTGTTAATTATTATTAACTTTCAAGGGTTAAGACACCGAGATAATTATTAGTAAATGAGCCAAGATATAAAGTTCGTCGACCATTTTCATCGATTTCGTCATGAATTTCAGATATTGGTCCAAAGTAACCATCGTTAGAATGTAAACAATTGATGACATTTCCTTTAGAATCAATTTCTAAAGCCATCGATCGACTATTGGGACCAACGAAAGACCAAAGTGAACTTTTCAATTCACCTTCGGCCACCAAAGCATCAGAATTTAAAATTACTCCAATAATATTGTACAAAGTTCCAATGATTCGATAAACTGTAATCATAAACTTGCGGTGAAATGGTCGTTCGGAATAATAATCAATAGAAGATGGAGTTTTTTTGGTTCGAGGTGAAAACACTGCAATCCAATAAGTTTCAACATCCGAACGTGCAGATCGACGGATATTATCTGGTTCCCCTGGTAAATTAATCAACACTTCAGTGGTACCTTTAGATGGTCCAGTTAAGTAGTATTTTAAAATTCTTCTATGAGTGAATTCACCAATTAACAGGGCATCTTTAGAATCAGTTAATTCGATACCATTTGGAAAGGCCAATCCACTCAGAACAACATCAATCGAACCAGTAGACTCAGTGTACCTTAAAATGCGTCCCGAATCATCCATATCCATGTAAGCGGCTACACAGTCATTCAAATCCCATAAGGAACTGGCATCGGTTATGTAGATAATTTTATCACCATCACTTTCATCAATCACCAAATCGTCAAGAAAAGCGCTTGAATTACCATCAACAGGTGAGCTTATATTAAACAAGAGTTTAAATTCGGGTTGACCTGAAGTTCCATCAATATTGGTCACTTTTATCAGTCCATTAAGACCATCAATTGTATACAAATCTCCCGATGAGGTGACACGAATTCCCAAAGGTCGTCCACAGGCTTTTTTACCATGTTGATTAGCACAAGATTCATCTCCAAATTGAACTACTTTGGAAACTTTATCCACTCCTTCAATTCGGACAATCTGACCATTAGATATTCCAGTATAAAGGTTACCTGAAAATAGAAAAAAAAAATTCTATTCTAAATGAGATACGAATAATCAAAATACTTTTACCTTTGTATTTAGCTAAACTTTCGGGTCCATAAAGATGATCGGTTAAAACCTTTTCCGTTGTAAGTAGGACATTGTTATCAGCCCATGGACCTTCAAACGAGTCAAATAAATTAGGCCTGAAATTGAACAAAAATCAATCAATCACAATTTCACTTAATCACAGTTAATCAAAATTCACTAATTCACAATTCTACTAACTCCTTAATCTTATCTTTTAGTCTGTCATCTATGCTGAAGTAAAAAATAACTGCAACTATCGCAATCCAAGGCCAGGTCTGATTTGATGAGCTCGAACGGCGTCTAGATCGATTCCTATTTCGTTGTCCATTTCGATGTCCACTCTGACCTCTTCTTTGGTCCATCGTTAACTATTGAAAAAAAGAAGAAAACAATTAACTAACTAGAGAAAACAAAAGAAACGAGAACCATCAATGATTAGGCAGATGAGAAAAACTCACATTAACGGAAAGAAAACCAAATGATTACCAGACAAATTTGGAAAATTTTTGAAAACAATTAACTTAAAAAAGTGAAATTGAAAGAAAAGAGAATAAAAATCCAAAAGAAATTAAAAAATAATTCCAATAACAAGTGAATAGAAACTCTTGTTGTCAACCCAAAGTTCCCGTCACAACTAACCGATAATAGAAAAAGAGAAAAAAAATTTTTCTCTAATTGGATTGATCTTCATTAATCATTTGTCCGGATCATCTTCACATTTTGATAATCTCCTTTGTTTGTTTGTCTCTTCTTCTGTTTTACCGGATGATCAACTGTAGATGTTAATTGCTGGAGAACAACAATCTGATTAACTAACCTTTTTCGCTAATTTTAATGATGGTTGTTTATAGTTGACAATTTCCTTATTTTTGCTCGACAATTTATTTCCTTTTCCAATGGATTATGAGGGGAAAAAAGTCTTTCTAATTACATCAGAAAGAGACAAAGAATCTGTCTCCTTGTTCACAATCAAGTGCTCAACAAAACAATTATTATCCAGTTTTCTCTTCATCTCTTCCTGATTCTAGTTAATTAAGAATTAACTTATTCCACCAGGTAAGATGATTGGAATAAAATTAGTAATTAAGTGACTCTTTAAACTGAAAGAGAGAAAAATTAAAAGAGAATTTTTTTATTCTCTTTGTTTCTTGTTGTTTATTATTCACCGTCAAGGTTACAAGTTAACTGATTGATTCTAATTAATTTTCCATCTTTTTGGTTAATTTACTGATTAGTGCCCATGGGTAATTGACTGGATACATGATTTCCATTGTTTTTAATTAGACCGTAACTTAATTGGAATCCAAAAGTGAATCAATTTTCAATCTGGTAAGTTGATTTTTCCTTTTCTCTTCTCTCAATCAAAATGTCGGATCAATGTTTCAATAAGAAGATACAATGATTAGCTTAATTTGATTTTAATCTTAATCTTGCAGCTTTGTAATTTATTCTGTTCACTTCTAATTGTTTATGAGAATAATTAATGTCAATTAGCACCTTGGAAATACAATTTTTGTATCTCCTTCTATACAGAGACATGTGTTAGCATCACCTTTTTACATAATGGATCATTTGACTTAAATTGTTTATATTGTTTTTGTCCAATTGATTAGCAATTAGGCAATTGTGATTAACTTTATTCTCATTTGTTTATCTCTCTAATTTATCCAGTATTGATCGGTGTTGATTGGTGGTGGAAAAATGTCAAAGAAACAAAGGATTGGAAATAAAAATGGACTCCGATCACCAAGCTCTTCATTCATTTCAATAAATCAGATAATCTTGACGGCGATTTCTGGCATTTTATTTTACTTCTCAATTGATAGTAGATTAAGTGACCGAAGCAAAGAGTAAGTTAGATGGACATTGGTCATTCAAATTACATGACCATCTTGATTACTAATTTGATTCTCCGCTTCTATTTCTTTGATCTCTTCTGATGTTAATCTTTTATCACTACAGGTTGAAACTATTCGATTCGTTTAATGGTCCATTTGCCGAGAACAATGACCTGTTCGATGTCGATAAAGTCTTCACTGACCATCTACCTGGACCTGAAAGCCTGGCAAGTTACAAAGGTCTGTAATTAAAGTGTCTCATTTAATTACTTCTCTGTACGTTTATTTGATAACCAGTTTTTTTTTATCCTATTGACGGATTTGAGTTGAACGTTTAATTGTTACACAACCAACGGTATCAATGTCAAAACACATAATCATTCTAGAGGGAATGCCTTTGGCAAGTTAATTTAATTCCAATTGTTGTTGAGTTACCATGGAATTAGGAAGAAAAGATGAAACTTTTTCTGCCATTGAAAAGGGAAAACAATAGAAAGTGAATAATCCTTCATTCATCATGAAATTTTCTCCTCCTTTTACATGACATTTTTTTACTTTCTCTTCCTCTTTTTCTCTTTTGATTCTCAATAATCACTAAAAAGTAATTAAATTGATTAATCTCATTACAGTGAATCTTTTCCTCAACAGGTGATTTTTACACGGGAACTAAAGATGGAAGAATTGTTCGAATCCATGGTTCTAATAAATTGTCCACGGTAATTTCACTTGGACCTGATTCTTGCCTTGGAAAAGTTAACATTAAATCTTGTGGTCGACCTTTGGGTGTCCGTATCACTTCATCGGGCGATTTGTATACAGTAGACGCACTGAATGGCCTGATAAAAGTGATCAACATCGACGGATCCTCAGGGCAACCAGAATCCAAAATCCTCTACGATATTGACGTACCAGTGAATGGAAATTCAAGCGTTTTTCTTGACGATCTAGTTGTCGATGATAGATCACCGGAAGATCGAATCATCTACATGACTGATGCTAGCACTTTATGGAATATTAATGAAGCTGTACCCTTAATCATGGATATGGACGATTCAGGGCGAATCTTGAAATTCTCTGAATCAACTGGTAGAGTTGAAGTTATTCTCGATAAGCTTGCTTTTCCAAATGGTATCGAGCTAACCGATACAAAAGATGCTCTATTGATCGGTGAATTTACTGCTCGTCGATTGTTGAAACATTACATTGATGGGCCTAAAAAAGGCACTACTGAAGTGCTACTAGATTTACCCGGTGAACCCGATAACATCCGTCGATCAGCTCGTCGAGATGCCGAGACTTATTGGGTTGCAATCAGTGCTCCAAGAACCAAATTATCATCGTTAGCGTACGATTTTTACTCGGATAAACCAATTATGCGAAAAATAGTAATCACATGTTATCAATTGATTGGAAGTACAATCGAAAATTTTGGAGAATTATTTGGCTTTGAGAAACTAGTCGAAAATGGTCTAAGCATTAAAACACTTCAACCTTTTTGGGAAACGTATCACCGATCTTTGGTGATCGAAATTGATGCCAAAGGAAATGTAATCAGAAGTTTGTATTCCAATGATGGTTACATTCATTCAATCTCTGAGGTCAATGATGAAATTATGGAAAATGGTCAACATATCATTCGCCTTGGGTCCTATGCAAATGATTATCTTGGAGTTCTCACTCTCAGCACTTAAAAATTGAGTAAACAATTAACTCATTGGATGAATACATGTTACAATCAACAGTACAATCTATTTTCTTAATCATATAAAATGACTCTTTGAATTTTGTAATTTACATCAATTTATTGGTGTTGAAAATGATGCATTTTTAAATGTGAACCCAAAAAACTTTGCTTATTTTTTTCTTCATCACATTTAACTGTAACTTGGTGCTTAATTATGTTCTCAGCTTACTAATCACTTGCATCAACTCATAAGAAGAAAAGTGAGAAATTGAAAATTTGCTTGGTTCTAATTCTTTATTTAAATTTATCAATCATAGTATTGATAATATGTCGAACAATATAAATTAACTTGGATCATTTTAATCAATGAAAACTTCAATGAACGGTTGTTTAATTTTCGTTAATAGAACATTTTTCATAACTGTAATTATCACTTTCCTCCGAGAAGGCTGCTGAGTAGTTGACCGATTGGTTGTGGTTCAGGTTCGGGCTCTGGGTTAGCTGATTGATTGAAAGAGAGGAAAAAAATTATCAATGAATCAATAATTAGCTAATTGTTTGTTGATTATTTAGATGAACTTACCAAAAGCCATTGCGATGGCTGAAGCAAAGAGAGCGACATAAACGATGATTGATTTGGAGTCCATTTTATTTGTTGGGATTGAGTTGAGTGATTTAGACACACGAACAAGGGCAAAATAATCAGTTAATTGTTTGTTGAACAAATGAAGAGTCAGAATGATTTTCACAATTAAATTACATCTCCTTTTATACTAAGAGAAAAACGCTAGAAATTAGTGGATGAGCAAAAGTAAATTGTTGCCACGAGTATAGGATTAGGAACTTGTATAATCAGAACATATTTCAATCAAAAATGAGTAATTAATCAGCCATTGATTTAGATTAATCTTTCTCCAGTCTGACAATTAATAATTGATTACACTTCTCCAATGTTTGTGTTCGGTGTAGCCGAAACTGATGTTTTCGGTCCACCAAGAGGAGTCTCAATCTCATGTAACGGAGTGTTAAGACCTCCTTTCAATGGTGTTTCGTCATTGGAAAGAGCCATAAGATTTTGAGCTTCCATTAGAATCGTTTCTCTGCTCATTGATGCAACTTTTGGGGTTCTAGCGTCAGCGATTGCTGGAGAAGAAGTTACTGAATAATCAGCTAATAGATAATTTTTTCGACGGCCACCTGAGCCCAAGTAAATCCCCACCATTCAAAGTTCTCGTCTCTTCTGTAATGACGCTAAGCGACGAGCCTCTTCCAAATGTCTCTCACTTGTTACAGTCAAGGCGGGATAGCGAACTCAATGATTAATCTTAACCAGTGATCGAATAATCATTCACTCATATTTATGTCTCTCTCTCTCTCTTGTGTGACAATTAACTAATTGCTCTATTCTGAAAAGTAACAGTATATCATAAGAAAACATGTTTACGAATAAAATCTATTAATATTAATAGATTGAAATTCATTGAGAACAAGTGAACTTAAAAATACCGAAAGAAATCAATTAAAAGTTTTTTAGTTTTTAAATGCTTAATTTATTCATCAAAATTTATATAACTGCAATTAACTATTAGTAAATCATAATGACCATTCCAAGGTATCAATGTAATCAACATTTGATTAGTCGCTGTCGATTAAAAGACAATTTATCCGAGAAGACCGTTGACCAAGCTCATGATTGGTTGTGGCTCAGGTTCTGGGGCAGGATCAGCTGATTGATAGAAAAGTGAAAATCAAATATAAAAAGTTATGATTATTATGGAAATAATTAGTTAATTGTCGATCATTTAGATGAACTTACCAAAAGCCATTGCGATGGCTGAAGCAAAGAGAGCGACATAAACGACAAATGATTTGGAGTCCATTTTATTTATTGGGATTGAGTTGAGTGATTTAGACACACGAACAAAATTCAAATAATCAGTTAAATGTTTGTTGAACAAATGAAGAGTCAGAATGATTTTCACAATTCAATTTCATCTCCTTTTATACTTAGAGAAAATAATAACTTTTAAATAGTTTGACATTTTCTTCACATATTTTTAACAATTAAAAATCAGAACAGCCGGATATGAGATAATTAATTAGCTAATTAACAAAAACGCATTTAAAACGGTAACTACTATGACATTTAGATTTAAGCTTTAGTCATTTCTCGTGACAATTAACTAATTGCTTTTCTACCAATCAATTAATCATTAAAAAAACAATGAAAATCCTTCAAATGTAAAGTTTTCTCATTTGTCCTGAAATAAACAATAGTCTTAATCAGCGTAATCATTATTTGTGTGTTACTTGAATCTCATAGATAATCTTATTGGGCTGAAAAACACCAATCAACAGAATAGAGATCAACTGAATTCCTCTAATTGTCCAATCATTTTCCCTATACAATTATTAATAAGTTTTTTTGGCCATATCTTGTTCTTTAATTTTCGAGGGATCATTCTCATATGAAATACAATATCCTTCCACATGAGTGCAGGGAAACGTTATTAAAATAAACACAAAAACACCAACTGATTGCATTTCAAACAAACGAATAACATGAACAACCATTTTCGTTACGTTTCGATATCGTAATTGACTTCGTTCGTTGAACGGAAAAATAATTTCCAGTTTCTTTCTTTTCTGATAATGAGCTGATATCCTCTAATTTAATTGATAACACTTCAGTAAAAGATTAACCCTTTGATATCATATTTTCAAGACCTTTTCTCTAGGTAATATCGGGTGACCGAAAATGAGTGAGTATCTCACGAATCTTAAGTTTTAGTCCCACATTGCTTTACATTTTAAGAAAGTAAATTTTACGTTCATTCCATAAATGTTCGGTTGTTTTTCTAGGACGTACGGTTCTCGAGAAATCAAAATCTCATTGGGAAAATCGCGATTTTGACCTTTAAATACATACCACAGTCACATTTGAGCTCCGAAAATTTTGAAAAAGTTATTCATTTATATTTTATCGATGGCGCGTTTGAAACTTTATTCTAGGACCTAACATTCTTGAGATGGTCACTCATTACCGGTCAACCGATAGTCAGTTTAATGAATTTGAACATCCAAAAGAAAGTTTTTGCTTTTCATTGGAGAAAACGAATTTCATTCATAAATTCACAATACACAACGAATTGAACTCGATTTCTATAAACTTATATGAATATAAAATTATGATGAGAAATATTGAGTATTCTGAACGTTTTATTAATATTTTTAAAGACGAATACCTAAGTTATCATTAATGTTTCAATCTTTCGTATTCATACAATTGACTGCTTATTGCTGATTAATAGTGAGAAAATGAAATATAATTTAAACTTTGCAAGAAATTATTTTGATTCAGATTCTTTATTTAAACGAATTAATCAAATTAGATTCATATGCTGTTTAATTAAAATTCAGTTAAAAAATTACAATCAAACAGACTTTATAATCGATTGATTAAATTTGGTCAGTCCACCATTCTTTATTATTGCTGAGTCTGGCCTCCGCCTCCGAGAATACTGGTGAGTAGTTGCATGATTGGTTGTGGTTCAGGTTCGGGCTCTGGGCTAGCTGATTAATAGAAAGAGAGAGAAAAAAATTATCAATGAATCAATAATTAGTTAATTGTTTGTTGATTATTTAGATGAACTTACCAAAAGCCATTGCGATGGCTGAAGCAAAGAGAGCGACATAAACGATGATTGATTTGGAGTCCATTTTATTTGTTGGGATTGAGTTGAGTGATTTAGACACACGAACAAGGGCAAAATAATCAGTTAATTGTTTGTTGAACAAATGAAGAGTCAGAATGATTTTCACAATTCAATTTCATCTACTTTTATACTTAGAGATAGATACTACATAATGTAGATAATTGTTGCTACGAGTATAAGATTGAGAGGAACTTGTATCATTAGAACATCTTTCAATCAAAAAGATTTGATTAATTAGTCATTCATTCAGAATAATATTTCTCTTTTGTTACAACTAGTAACTAACTGCTCTTCTTGAGGTATCAACATAAACTCGTAAAATCTAGATGAATGATATCGCCCTCGTTCCAAGTTTGTTGACAGACAATCAACTATTAATAGCATTTTCTTTGAGGACTGAAGCACTCGAAGATACTTAGAACATTTGTAACAAGTCTTTTGATAATTTTTTATGTAAAATTAAACTCTATTATTAGAAAATATTATTCAAAGTTGAGTCAATCACTCGCGTATTTGGAAACGTTTTCATTGAAATACATTAATAATAATATAGAATATAGAATATGAATAATTTGATAAGCGAATTATTTGTTTCAAATGCTTTGATTTTATTAGTATTCTTATTAATCCATAACTGTTGCTATTAACTTAATAATCTTCACGACAATTAAAATACAATCAGAATAAAATTTTCTTTTATTCTTATTTCTTCAATTGTTACGTTGATTAACCAAGGATATTCTGAAGAGCGCCTAAAATTGGTTGTGGCTCAGGTTCGGGCTCTGGGTTAGCTGGTTCATTGGAAAAGAGAAAAGTTATTATTAATATGGAAAGAATTAGTTAATTGTCGATTACTCAGATGAACTTACCAAAAGCCATTGCGATGGCTGAAGCAAAGAGAGCGACATAAACGACAATTGATTTGGAGTCCATTTTATTTGTTGGGATTGAGTTGAGTGATTTAAACACACTAACAAAATTCAGATAATCAGTTAATTGTTTAAAAGTTAGAATGATTTTCTCTATTAACTAACATCTCCTTTTATACAAAATGGAAAAATATTTCAAATCAATTGTCATTATAACTTTAGCAATTAAAAATCAGGTGATTAAAAGACATTTAACTCAAACTCAAACCAAGACTCTCATTCATCAATCATTCATCATTAATCTATAATTTAATTTTAATTACTCAGTTTTCAGCTTTTAATCAATTATCATCAGAAACATTTGTCTTTTACATGAACACAACTAACTTTAATATCAACCATGTGGATACATTGAAATTATTAATGTTAATATTGATCAGTAATTAGGATTTTATCGGATAAGGTATTCTAAGCAATCAAATTCAATTCAACTCGATAACTTATCAAAGATTAATTGATAATTATATTAGTTGAAATGTGTTTGAATCACCTGATTTTTACCTGTTCCGATTATGTGAGAAAATGTCAAACTATTTAAAAATAATTATTTTCTCTAAGTATAAAAGGAGGTGAAATTGAATTGTGAAAATCATTCTGACTCTTCATTTGTTCAACAAACAATTAACTGATTATTTGAATTTTGCTCGTGTGTTTAAATCACTCATTTCAATCCCAACAAATAAAATGGACTCCAAATCAATCATCGTTTATGTCGCTCTCTTTGCTTCAGCCATCGCAATGGCTTTTGGTAAGTTCATCTAAATAATCAACAAACAATTAACTAATTATTGATAATTTTTTCTCTATCATTCTATTAATCAGCTAACCCAGAGCCCGAACCTGAACCACAACCAATCATGCAGTTGGTCAACGGTCTTCTCGGAAAGTAATTATAATCATGTAGAGAAATTGTCTCATTATTGAAAATAAACCAATTAATCAATGAAGTTTTTACTGATTAAAATGAGACGAGTTAATTTCTATTAACCGATATGTTACTCTGATTGATAAATTTAAATAAAGATTTATTATCAACTCAAATGTTTAATTTTCCTTTCCTGTTAAACTTTAAGCAAGCGAGAACAAACCTTCTTATGAAAGTTTTTTCAAGAGACCCGTTGATTTGAGATACTGTGAGTCATTTTTTAACTGATTTCTTAATTGCGGATTCGAATATAAATTTCTTTTCCTTTCTCTCGTCGCTTTCTTTTCGAATTGCGCTCTTAAAAAGCCGAACTGCGCCTCCGTTCATGCTAAACTTAGAATCTGAATTTCTCATGAGTTGGTGCTTAGATTTTGTTCGGACTTTTTTTTCAAATAGTTCCAGTGTCCGTTGCTCGGACACCTTCACGGTTTATTTTCAGAAACATTTGGTACTTTGCCCGTTACCGGCAAAGTTTCTTACAAGATGGGTTCGGATGGTACGACGCATAATTTTTGGATTGTTACAATTTGCATTTGATTGAGTGAGGAATTTGTGTTGGGATCGGATTTCGTAGGGAGGGAGATATTGATTTGATTCGGTTGCCTGTTGCAATACATATGTATGGGTACGGATTTGTGTTGGAATTGGATATTTCTAGGGTTCGGATTCGTATACAAAATAATTGTTAAGAACTGTATTGGCTGCAAATTACAATTTGGTCAGGGTGAAAGTGAATTAAAAGGGATTTTTATGAATAATAATAAATGTTGTTGGCAGGCTAGCGGAAGGAACATTAAGATTGACATTGTTTTCTTACAATGTATCACAAGGTTACATTTCTATTTTACAATTCGTTTTTTAGAGGGAGAGGGGGCCGAAGGCATTATCCTTTTCGATGGCTCAGAGGCTTCGGTTGGTTCGACATCGACTGAGACTTCGGCCTCGGCTGCGGCTTCGGCTACTTCATCACTTGCTCTTTTCTTATTTTTCAGACCTTTGTCCTTCTTTTTCCTCTTCTTCTCTTTTCCTTGAGTATCCAGATCGATTAGTTGGGACTCTAGCTCTTGCTTGAGGGTCATCACTTGATGGCTCTCTTGCATTGCCTTCAACTTGGCCGATAGCTCGATCTGTTCATACTCCGCTCGCAGTGCTTTCAGGCGATATTCATGGAAGTCCATCCATAAACGGGTGCATCGCTTGTAAACTTCCTCATCCACTTTGTATATTGATAGAGGCTTTTCTGTTTCTTTCTCTTGGCTTGGGCGTCTGCTACAGTCATGTCGTTCGAGATCGGATTCAGTTCGCAGAAAGTCGAGACATCGGTTGCACCAAATCAACTTGAACTTTGGCTTCCGAGGCCTCGGGGTACACATTTCTTTCAGTTGAGCTCGTACAGCGGTCAGCTCATCTTTGATCTCGTCTTTAAATTTTCCAATGGACGCATTCACATCCTGGAAACCACTTGATTGGCCAGCCTTCATTGTTAGTAGATCACTAATCATTCCTCTAAGTTTAATCGAGTTCTCGTTTGAGAGTATGTTGATCTCAGTTAGAATAGTTTCAAGACAAGACAATGAGGAGCTTTGGTTCGTTCGAGGGCTTGATTTGGCATTTTTATGACCAGGAGATTTGCCAGGAGATTTCGACATGTTTGGGATGAGTTCGGACTCGTTGTGCAAACAACTGTAGAGTTTGGGTTCGGACAAACAAACAGTTCGGCTTGTTTCGGGTTCGGAAGTTGACGTGCACGATGAGAAGACAGAACTATTATGATCAGCTCATGGTACAGTTTTCAATAGGTAAAACTCTCTATTGGCGCCATCTATCATTCCGTTCTTTCGGACCATTTACCTCGTGGATAGGTGATGCTTTGGTTTCGGTTTTGATTTTGTTTCGGCTTGACTAGATTTAGTTATTTACAATGGGTTGATGGGCTTATGATTTAAATATGAGATTAAAATATTTGATATGTTAAAGGTGTTTTATATGTAAAATTAATAATAATTGGGAATTACATTGTTCAAAGGGTTCGTTCGGACTTATTTTCTGTTCTGTAGGATTTTAAGCTGAATTTTGGATACTTTATACCTTACGTAGACTCCTTTTAGGCTAAAAGTTTTAGCTTAAGCATAATCTTAACTGAAAAATCCACCTTATTTTATTTATGATGATGATGATTAGTAGAATTCCGCTAAGGACTATATCCATCTCCAAAATAAATTTGCCCCTCACCGATTTTCTTGAAATTTTAGATCGACGAGCATCAATATCTGCTTGATCTTCTTAAATCATTGATTCAGTTTCTTTATCATCTTTGTCATCTTTGTTAATTAAGTTTATCTCATCTTCGGAAAGGACTATTTCAAAATCTTTCTTTGGTGTTGGAAGTTCAGAATGTTGTCTCTTTAAACTTTCACGTTGATCTTTCTCATAAAGTTTCACTGCTAATCCACTTCCAAAGCTTTGAATGAGTTGATTATGTATGAGATGTTGATGTCTTAATCTCTTAAAGTTATGATTATCTGGATCATGAAGCGCACTGGAAATATCATGAATACCTTCTGGAACTGGCGCTTCAAAAGGAATCTCAGTATTTTAATCAATTCCTTTTTTCTTTCGACCTGAGTCCAAGTGAATCCTCACTATTCAAAGTTCACGTCTATTTTTTAATGGAATAAACAACGACCCTCACTTTATTTCAATAAGACAAAATAGCGAATTCAATAATTGTCCTTAACTAGTGATTGAATAATAATTCACTCAGATTTATTTGGTAACAATTGAACAATGATAATTCCTCTTTTCTGCAAAGTAACAGTATATTTAGGAACAAAACCTATTAGTAGGTTGAAATTCATTTGGAAGAATTGAATTTGAAGATTCAAAAATCTGAATGAACTAATGAAGTTTCATAGATTCACGTTTAACAGAGATCTTATAGATTGCGTTTTCAAGTGTCTCATGTACATATTTTATTGGTGCTTTCATTTTTGCCTCCTCGCAACCATTGACAGAAAACTTAAAGATACCGAAAGGAATCAAACAAAAGTTTTTTCTTTTTCAATGCTTTATTTATTCATCAAAATTTATAACTGCAATTAACTATTAATAAATCATAATGACCATTCAAAGGTATCAACACAATCAATATTTGATTACGAGACAAATTATCCGAGAAGACCGTTGACCAACTGCATGATTGGTTGTGGTTCAGGTTCGGGCTCTGGGTTAGCTGATTAATAGAATGATAGAGAAAAAATTATCAATAATTAGTTAATTGTTTGTTGATTATTTAGATGAACTTACCAAAAGCCATTGCGATGGCTGAAGCAAAGAGAGCGACATAAACGATGATTGATTTGGAGTCCATTTTATTTGTTGGGATTGAAATGAGTGATTTAAACACACGAGCAAAATTCAAATAATCAGTTAATTGTTTGTTGAACAAATGAAGAGTCAGAATGATTTTCACAATTCAATTTCACCTCCTTTTATACTTAGAGAAAATAATTATTTTTAAATAGTTTGACATTTTCTCACATAATCGGAACAGGTAAAAATCAGGTGATTCAAACACATTTCAACTAATATAATTATCAATTAATCTTTGATAAGTTATCGAGTTGAATTGAATTTGATTGCTTAGAATACCTTATCCGATAAAATCCTAATTACTGATCAATATTAACATTAATAATTTCAATGTATCCACATGGTTGATATTAAAGTTAGTTGTGTTCATGTAAAAGACAAATGTTTCTGATGATAATTGATTAAAAAGCTGAAAAACTGAGTAATTAAAATTAAATTATAGATTAATGATGAATGATTGATGAATGAGAGTCTTGGTTTGAGTTTGAGTTAAATGTCTTTTAATCACCTGATTTTTAATTGCTAAAGTTATAATGACAATTGATTTGAAATATTTTTCCATTTTGTATAAAAGGAGATGTTAGTTAATAGAGAAAATCATTCTAACTTTTAAACAATTAACTGATTATCTGAATTTTGTTAGTGTGTTTAAATCACTCAACTCAATCCCAACAAATAAAATGGACTCCAAATCAATTGTCGTTTATGTCGCTCTCTTTGCTTCAGCCATCGCAATGGCTTTTGGTAAGTTCATCTGAGTAATCGACAATTAACTAATTCTTTCCATATTAATAATAACTTTTCTCTTTTCCAATGAACCAGCTAACCCAGAGCCCGAACCTGAGCCACAACCAATTTTAGGCGCTCTTCAGAATATCCTTGGTTAATCAACGTAACAATTGAAGAAATAAGAATAAAAGAAAATTTTATTCTGATTGTATTTTAATTGTCGTGAAGATTATTAAGTTAATAGCAACAGTTATGGATTAATAAGAATACTAATAAAATCAAAGCATTTGAAACAAATAATTCGCTTATCAAATTATTCATATTCTATATTAAGGTATGTATGGTAAAGTTTGGGAATAAAATTTTCAAACTATTATGGTTACTTTAATTTCCAATTAAATTTCTTGAAATTATTAATAAACTTTTGAGCTTCAATTGGGTATCTTTTCACGAATATTGCATCAAATCAAAGCATCGAAAATTCGATTTTTCGAATGTATGTCGAAAATAAATTGTCATATTTTTCAGAGGTAGCTCTGAACAAATGTTCCAAACTTTACCGTTCATACCTTATTATTAATGTATTTCAATGAAAACGTTTACAAATACGCGAGTGATTGACTCAACTTTGAATAATATTTTCTAATAATCGAATTTAATTTTACATAAAAAAATTATCAAAAGACTTGTTAGAAATGTTCTAAGTATCTTCGAGTGCTTCAGTCCTCAAAGAAAATGCTATTAATAGTTGATTGTCTGTCAACAAACTTGGAACAAGGGCGATATCATTCATCAAGATTTCACGAGTTTACTGGATTTGTTATTGTGATATGTTGATACCTCAAGAAGAGCAATTAGTTACTAGTTGTAACAAAAGAGAAATAGTATTCTGAATGACTAATTAATCAAATCTTTTTGATTGAAAGATATTCTAATGATACAAGTTCCTCTCGATCTTATATTCGTAGCAACAATTATCTAGTATTTATCTCTAAGTATAAATGGAGATAGACTCTCATTCATCAATCATTTATCATTAATCTACAGTTTAATTTTAATTACTCAGTTTTTCAGCTTTTTAATCAATTATTATCGGAAACATTTGTCTTTTACATGAACATGACTCACTATAATATCACCCATTTTCTTTCAGTATAAAAGGAGATGAAATTGAATAGGAAAAATCATTCTGACTCTTCATCTGTTCAACAAACAATTAACTGATTATTTGAATTTTGTTCGTGTGTTTAAATCACTCAACTCAATCCCAATAAATAAAATGGACTCCAAATCAATTGTCGTTTATGTCGCTCTCTTTGCTTCAGCCATCGCAATGGCTTTTGGTAAGTTCATCTAAATAATCAACAAACAATTAACTAATTATTGATTCATTGATAATTTTTTCTCTATCATTCTATTAATCAGCTAACCCAGAGCCCGAACCTGAACCACAACCAATCATGCAGTTGGTCAACGATATTCTCGGATAATTTGTCTTATTACCGACAGCGACTAATCAAATATTGATTACGTTGATACCTTCGAATGGTCATTATGATTTATTAATAGTTAATTGCAGTTATAAATGTTGATTAATAAATAAAGCATTTAAAAAAGAAAAAACTTTTCATTGATTTCTTTCGGTATCTTCAAGTTCCCTGTTGATAATTGTGGAAAGGCTGATGATGATCGACCAGATCCAATTCAACCCGAAAACTTATCAAAAGGCAATTATCCAATAGTTGAAATTCTAATTGTCGTGAAGAATATTAATTAATAGCAACAGTTATTAATAAGAATACATATAAAATCAAAGCCTTTGAAACAAATAATTCGCTTACCAATTTATTAATATTCTAAATTGTTTTCAATGAAAACGTTTACAAATACGCGAGTGATTGACGCAACTTTAGATCATATTATCAACGATCTCATCCAATTCTAAGTGAAAAACCATCACAAGAACTTTCTTCAACTGACCTTAGATTATTCACCATCATTCTCATCGGAATCAAAGTGATTGTAATTTCAAATTCCAAGTCTATTTTCTGAATAACTTTTCAAAGGTCAACAGTTTTATCGTTTTTGTATTTCTTCAAGTGTCTTGACTTTCACCATTCATATGAAATTATTGACTCTTTTTCTGGTTAAATTGTTGAGATAAACAATTCACATCGTTCACAATTAGCAGTTTATTGTTATTGTAATAATATTCTGAATCGATTAGTGTCTTTCAAATTAATCAATCGATTAACTGAATGTTATAAGAAGAGGAATAAGAAAAATGGAAATACTTAATTGTAATGATCTGTGTCGATCAAAGAGTAATACAACAATTAAGAAGAAAAGTTCAGCCAACTTGTTAATTCTTATTATCAATACAATTTTCTCCTAATGATGTGGATTAATTGTGACAATTAACTTGATGAGAATAAGAGGAAAATAAATGCTAATTCATTTTCTAACCTAATTATATTTTATCACTTACAATTTGATAATCAGGTAAAAGGTTTTCACCAGAATAACATAGGAAATAATGTCAAGGACAATTAGCAAACAATTTGTTTAAAAAAAAAAGGAAATCACAATTTAGATAATATCGACCAACAATTAACTACTTGGACAATCAATCAATCAATCATCAGCAATCATTTTAATTCAGAGTTACAATTAAAGTGTCAACCAATTCCCTCAAGAGATTGGTGATTAAAATTCAGGGTTAATTGTTGTTTGATCAACAAATGATTGATTGTATCATTTATAATTTAATCTAATCAATAATTTTACCGAAAACAATTTGATTTCAATTGTTTCAATATTAATCTGATTGAATTGTTGACTTTTTTTGTTTCTCTAACAACAAAATATTGATTAAACATCCTCTCCATTTAACAGACTGGACAAACAATTTACTCTAATTAACTTAATTAACATGATTTAATTGGAACCATAGTATCATAATTATCAAAGATAATCAATGACATTAAATTATGATCACAATCAAAAGCAAAAGGATCAAGTTTAATCCTTTGGTTTGTTTCACATCAATGGTTTCGTTTCTTGATTGTTATTTGTTATTGTTGTTGTTTCTAATGGTTTTAATCATGAAATTAAACCTAAACTTGTGATCAACAATTAAGTCAAGGTCAGGTTTATAATGATCACCATTAAACCCTTTTTTTTACCAGTTAACCGGAAACCCATTTTTTTATCCTCTTCACTGACCAAGCCTACTGGTCAACACTATTTGTTATGAATGACAATTAACCAATTATCATATTCAATAGTGACATTTTTTATGATAATAGCAAACAATTAAGTTGATAGACACAATTGAAACAAGAACAGGAATCACAATCAAGTCCCAAGTTCATCATTAATGGTCAGTTTATTATCATTGATGATACAATGAGATTCAATTGATTGTTGAAATCAAAATTGGGAAAAAAAATTTCGGTTAATGATTAAAAATGATAAAACGATTAACCTTGATTTAATTAGTTTTCCTGGTCAATTTACAGTTTCATCTGAGTCTCTCATGAGTAAAATTAGTTTGAGTAATTATCTTAATCATAATTAAATGATAATGATTAACAAGCTTAATGAGTGTATATTGATAACATGATTGGTAAACCGCAAGAGGATTTTGAGGTCGAATGGACCAAGGAAAATATTATCACTTTTCGATATCCACCCTGTATATATATATATGAAATTCTGAGCAAGAATAACAGGAAAAGAGAATGAGAAGATGAAGACAAAGTTAGAAAGAGAAGACAAGAAGATAGGGGAAAAAGAAGGGTGGGAAAAAGAGGAGAGATGATGATGAAAATCGTCTCTCGATTTTTAGTTGTTGTTATTGGTTAAAGATCCAAGGCAACGAGTTAACGGTAAAAAAAAAGGTATTACATTTACCTGAACATTTCGAGGAAGATTTCCTTCCCCTTGTCATCATTATCATCATCAGCACCCACCATTCATCTTCCTCCCTCCAACCCACTCACTTTCACCTCCCAGGTAAAACCTTGGATAAGTTAATGGCAATTCTGATATGAGAAAGAAAAGAGTAAAAGATTTTCTTTGTCTAATTGTAAGTTTTTTTTTTCGTTTCAATTTCTACAATTAAAAGACCATGACAATCAATTTAAGATTCAATTCTATTGATTAATTGTCTTATAATTACTTTAATCGTCATAAATTTTTTGCAAATTGTGGACAAACAATTAAAACACTCAAAGTATTAACTTAAGCTTTTGAATCTGTATCAACATTTTAGTTGATATTTTTTTTTTGTTTTGGTTTTAAATTGTTCTTTACCTAAATTGGTTAATGGTAGTTAATTTATTGTTAATTGTATTGAACAGAATTTTTAATTGTTCTGTCAAATTTTTTTCCTACAATCAGCGACAATTTAGTGATGGGTTGTGGTGTTTCAAAGAGTCAAAGTGTTGAAGATTCAAGTGTAACATCAAAGGATAAGAATCAACGAAATAATTTACAAAAATCTCGAAGGAAATTTAAATCATCATTAGTTAATCATAAAGGAAGTGAATCGTCACCATCATCAGATATTAATAACAATCAACTTAAATCATCATCAACGGTACATTTTGATTCATCAATTGATCAACAATATAATCACCACAATGTTACAAATCATTCAACATCATTTCCACCTCCACCTACACCACATCCGAAAGTTAAATTGTTACCACGACAATTAAGTCGTATTGATGAAATTAATTCAGAATCATCATCTCTCCCATCAACATCAGATGCTCCCACTGTTAATAGTAGTTCATTGATTAAATTTGATTCGATTGCTTGTCAAACTGAATTCACGGCGATTTCAGTGATGACCCAAACTGACCCTTTGCCAACACCCGAAGAGGAATTGGAAATGTTAATCAATTGTGAATATGATTTTCCAAATAATTTTAGGCCCTCAGTTGATTCAGGTCAAGGGTCATCAATGAGTAACGGATTTTCACCATCATCTTCAACAATTGTCACCAATGGTCAGGTAACAATTAACACTGAAGGGTCACTTATGGTAATACCTGCAAATAAATCAAATTGTGTTGATTTTTTCCAAGATTTTGAAATCTCCAAGCAATTAGTTACTCCAGAATCAAGATTAGTAGATGTGGCCATTCAAGTTGCTCAGGTTCGGACATCTTGTTCAACCCAAACAAACATTGTTGCTGGACAATGTCCAGTTCGTCCTGAAGGTGATCAAACACAATCAACAACTTTTGTTAATCCATTAAAAGATGAAGATATTAATTCCAATGATGGTGATAATCGACTTTTCCACCGTTTATCAACAATTAACCCTCAAATTGATAATCATCGTCCATCAGCGACAAGTCCAACAGTAACTTGGTCACAAATTTATAACAATCAGGTTAATCCAAGTGATAACAATCAATTAATTGCTGTTAAAGTTGCTGATTTTGAATCACAAACTGATCCGGTTAGTGAGGTTATGGCTGCAAATGCCGGTGATAATGATACAAATGTATTACAATCATTTAATTTGTCATCGCCATTTTCCCACATCGAGAAACAATTAGGATCAATTGGTGAATCAAGTAGTGATACAATTAACAAATCCCATATGATTACCAGCAATTTAATCAACAACAAACATCAAAACAATGATACTAAACTTCAAGAGTGTCTTAATCAGTTACTTGATGATATTGAAGGTTCACTTAATTTTACCAATACAATTAAAAAAGGTAACTAATCAATTCAATATCTAATAAACTGTAATTGATTAACATTGATCCAAAATGATAAGATAATAATTAACTATTGTTAATAGTAAACTTGATTAGTTAATTGACCTCAATAACAAGGAAAAGTCAACTTGTAGACAGAGCAACAATTAACTTAATCAAATAAATCAAATAAGCAAAAAAAAAGGTAAAATTAACTAGAAACTCTAATGATAACTGATTAACAATTAACTAACTAACATAAATCATTCAATTGAATATCAAGATGGTCTGATCAATGATTAACAATCAAGTAAATTGTTTAACCTTTTTTTTTTTGATTGATTGATAGTCTAATTCAAGTTAAACTGAGAATAACAAACAATCAATCAAAAGATTTCCAATTGGTTAATTATTTCCTATTTACTAATCAAGATAATTAACTAATTGTCCTAACAAACTTCTAGGTGAATACAAAGATGCTTCCGTTCAAACCGTTAATGACCCGATAACCGATGAGGCCCCAGAATTTGCCGCTCGACCTCCGCCCTCAAGGAAAAAGGAAATGATCCCAACATTGACCATCTTTGAATCAATTGATGCCAAAGCTTTAGAGGTCAGTTGAACAATTAATTAATTGATTATCATGATAAAATGCTCGAGTAATCAATCAATCTTGATAGAGAATCGGAAAAGCAAATAACAAAACCAAAGATATTATATTTACCTGTAAGTCTACAGGTAAATCTCATGTGACCTATTATTATTTACCAAACAATTTATCATCAGTGATCACAATTAACGGTGACATTGGTTTGTGAATATGAAAACTCATCAATTAATTGAATCAATTGTTTGGCAATGGAAAAAAGTAATCAAAAGTGTTAATCACTTTTTCAATAACAATCAAAGTTGACGAGACAAAACTTTGATTTTAAATTGTGTGTGTCTGTTGATTGAAACTAAATTATTATCATTATTGTTATTCAATGATGACAATTAATTATTCATAAGCTGTAATATCCTGAATTGTTTAGTAATATTAATGATTAACTTTAATCATTACAAATATTAATATACTTTTATTTGTTATGAAAAACTTTTTGGTTCAATTAAATTGTTTAATATCAATCTTGATATTATTAGATGAGGATTGCATGATAGTTAACAATTAGAATTTTTTAAATTGCAATGTTACATCATGATGATGATTAGTTGATTGTAAACAATTTCAAGATTAGATTGTGGAGCAATTTAATCTGATAATCTAAAAAAAAATCCTCATTTCGTGATTTAATCTAATCAAACTTTCAAAACAATTTAATCAACTCCCAAAGTCCATCACTTAGGATTGATAAACAATCAACTTAATCATAGGATCGTCATGAAAATCAACAAACACAATCAGCTAATTGCAACTAATTAACTTTACCAAAGAGAAAGACTTAATCATTATCGATTTAAATTAATCCAAGAGATTAAAGTTATCATGTTAATACATCATCGTTATTAGAATATAAGTTATAATATTTAAGAAAAAAGTTCTAATATAAAAATCGTCGAGTTTTTTTTTTCTTGAACATCATTACAATCGATAGCATTTCTATTGTGAGTGTATAATTATATTGCATTTTTTCATGATAATCGTGATGATGATAATTCAGATATCGATTAAAAGTTGATTCATATTGATTCATCCTTGAGTATTCAATATTCATGGGATTCTGAATGATAAAAGGTAACATGGAGTCACATGAATACTAATACAATAGTGAGAAAAACAAATCAACAAACTGAATTAATATTATCACCATGTTTTTTTTCATGATGATTGTTATTAGTTTCTGAATTCAGGTTAAACTAAGAAATGATTTAATAATCAACAACAATCAAAAGATTGAATGAAGACTTTCAAAGATCTGACAAATTAATGGTTAACTTCAGTTCAACTGACCGGAAACATATTGGCTTTTGTATCTGTTGATCAATTCTATGGATCGATGAAAGTTCATTGATCATGTTTGAATAATTATCTGAATTTTCTTGATCATTGAACGAGAGATAATTAATATTTTAAACAGTTTTGTTTTCGCCAACAATTATACTTTCATTTTGATTTTCTTTCCACTAATTGTTGACTATTTCCAGGTTCCTGATTCTGAAAGTTCATCACTTATCTCATTAGTCAATTATCTCATCTCCGGTTTACCGAACGATATGTTCAAGGTTCGAGGTATTTTCCGGTGGATCGCTCATAATATTCGATACAATTGGAACTTCATGGGAGTGTCAAGCTCTTCAGAGGAGATTCTTAAATCAAGGGAAGGTGTTTGCAAAGATTATTGTCAATTGTTCGGTGACATGTGCCTACTGGCTGGAATTCGGGTTAAAAAGATTCAAGGGTTCGCCAAAGGATACGATTATCGGCCTGGTCACCAATTCGTTCCCGGTGAGGATATTACTCATAATTGGAATGCTGTTTTTATCCTTGGCTCCTGGAGATTTATTGATCTGACCTGGGGAACCGGATACACTGACCATTCCGGTAAATTTCAACGTAAATTGAATGAGCACTTTTTCCTTACCGATCCAGAAACAATGATTTGGACTCATTATCCTTACAACGAGCTGGAAGATAACTACTCAAGGTAATCATTATCATCATCATCATTATTCATTCATACATTTCATTGATCTTATCATCCTTTATCAATCCTTGACCTTATTATGAAAAAAAAACTGTTACGATTATTGATATTTTTTTTTGTTTATTCTTGTTTATTGATTTTGTTCATTGTATTTTTGTAAATATATTTAGGTGGCAATTACTGGACAAACCACTGACCCTGAATGAGTTTAACACTCTACCCAAAGTAACGCCATATTTTTTTGAATATAATCTCAAGATACGATCTAAACTTGCCAATCCAATTAGTTTTCGAGTTCAAACTGAGATTAAAATTGGTGGACACGAGGCGATGCGATATAAGTATAAGTTGTACCCGGCGGATGAGGTTGAAAATGCTTCTCTTAACCATTACCTTTTCTGTCAACTTAAAGAGGACCGGATGGTGGGCTCATTTCAGGTGACACCGCCGATTGAGGGCCGATACTTTTTAAAGGTAAGGTATCAATCAGGAAGACGAAAGCAGGTTAATAATAATGAGTTTGGTCCATTTGATTTTGATTTTGATTTTTTTTTTCTCTCTCTCTCTCTCTCTCTTTTCATTCAATTTCATGGAAAGATTTATGCTCGACCGGAAAAAGATATGGCCGAATGGAATATTGATGCGACAACTAATCTACCTCCTCCAGCTACAACTTCCTCTTTGACCAGTGGTCAGCAAGGAGCTCAATCAAATCTACACAGTTGTGTTACCTTTCTCCTTGAATGTTCCCGGTCTCGGAAATATCTTCAACCTTATCCACTTAATGAACTCCCCTGGGGACCAACTCAATCTTTTTACAATTACAGGATGAGACTTCTCAATCAAAGTGGACCAGTGGTCACTACATGGGGAGGTAAACGACGTTTAATCCTTGAATCTTCTGAGGCCATGTTAATAACCTATCAAGTGTTAGATGCTGAAGGTATGGAAATGGATGCCAAAAATTTACTAATTCGAGAAGATAATGGGAATAAGATAACGTTCATCATCTCACCCCCTCGACTTGGAATGTTCAAATTGATGATATTCGGAATGCCCAAACCTAAGCAAAAGGGTAAATGGCGACTTCCGCTTTTGGCAACTTTTCTAATCGAATGTAAAATGGCCAAAATTGCAAAACAACCACCGGAAGAGGAAGATCCACCACCGGTGGTTGTAGATTATGTTGAACCATCAATGGAATATAATGAACTTTACCGGCAAAAATTTTCAAATCGATCATCAGTTATAAGATAATCAACTAATTGATAAAATCCACTTTACAATCAATTCAGAATCAATGAAAAAAACAACAACAGTTTCCACCTCTTCACTTAATCATATCCTCTTCATCCAATTTCCCACCGGTGATTTTCAATTCATGTCCTCCAAATTGGTACTTTTTTTGCTGCTTCTGCTGATGTTGCTATTAAACCGAGTTTTCAACAATCAATTTTGATTATGCAAAGAGAAATTAATTAATTAACCTAAATTTCAATAAGCTGATGATTGTGATAAGTTGATTGTTGAGTTTGTCAAGTGGTTAAATTGTTGATTGAAAAGCCAATCAATTTGTTCAACATAAACACATACACACTTAATTACTTATATATACAAACAGAAAAATCATCAGTTATGATCACAATTTAACTAAACAAAATGAAAAAGTGCCAATAATGTCAACAAATTTGTCGATTAAATAAAAACAAATGTTTAAAATTTAAATTTTGATCGAAAATAAATCAAATTTTCACTCGTAACAATTTACAAATTAATTTAATTACATTCATGGTTACTGATTAAACTCAATATCTTCATGTTATATTGCCTTAATTAGGATAAACTTCCTGATTAATTAAAGCTACGAAGAGACAGTTGAAGTGAATACTTGATAAACTTTGTCTGCATTTTAAATACACCAATTAAACGACTTCTTTCATATCAAGTCTTCGTAGTGTAGTGGTTATCACATCTGCTTAACACGCAGAAGGTCCCAGGTTCGAGACCTGGCGAAGACATTTTTTGTCCTCCTGTTTTGCTTATCGTTTGAATCTTGATCTTTGAGCTTGATTAGTATTGAGAGTTTCTCGTAAGCGCAATTTTCAAATTCAAAATTGTCTCATTCTGATAGATTTTCATCCTAATCTAACCCAATCTAACCTACATCACAATCAATTGCAATTGTATTGAATAATATGCTCTTGTTAGTTGAGCTTGTTAATTAGCTGATCTTAAATCGCGTAAGATATTAAACAATTTAGTGTCTCATTATTTACAATAGCAATTTAATTATGTATATTTATCATACAATCAAATCAATTTGATTTTATCTCTTCCAATTAGTAGTAGGAGTAATTAAGATTAACATTAGTTGTATTACAATTTGATTAGTATTTATATTAATTTACATAACAATTATAATATCAACAAATGTAATAAATTGGTAAGACAATAGCGAATTGGGTTAGAGGTTAAAGGTTACAAAAAAAAGTTATTTCGGTCTTAATAACTGTAATTGTGATCAGAAAGAGGAAAGAATTAATTTTCTCTCCAAATTCAATTTAAGAACTGATTCTAATCATCTGTAATCAATATGATCTTTTTTTTCAATTAAAAAGTTGATGATTAAGTCAACGTACTAATTTTTACAAATTGATTTTAGTTTTTTATTTTTGGCTTAATCAATTGTATCATTTTTGTTTAGCTGGATTCCCAACAATTAGCAAATTGTTAGGAATATTGTTTATCTCTCTTAATACAAAACAAAAAGAGTTAATTTTTGCTGAATAAATTTTAACAGAGTCCATTGGTTTTTTTGAATAAAGTACAGAAAAGTTTTAAAAGTTAATTGTTTATAACAATTTAGAGGACAAAGAAACTAATCAATATATAAAACTTGTTCCGGTGTCTTGGTTTTAAAACATGTTCTCAATGTGAGTAAAATAATGGACACCCGACGATCCAAGGCGTTCAGATGAGGTTCCGTTATAACCGGTGAAATTGGATCAGAGGCAAGTGAATTTCTCATCAGGTCAGAAAGGTGATCTGATCCGTTGTGTAGTTCGAGTAGTTTACGTAAGGTTGAAAGGCGAATCAGGCAACATTGGCGAACAGGGGAAAGAATGGAAAGCTCATCATGATTGGCCAAACCGAATCTGAATTGAGACAATTTTGAAAATTTTTCCATTATAATTATTGAATTTGAAAAGTTTTGATCATATTGAAATTGTATTTGTAATTGTGTATGAGTCTAAGTGTGCGTGTCTATTGAGAATAACAATCAGCTGAAAAGCAAATTTTTTGCAAACAATTTCCAAATTAATATCAATGAATTTATATTATATTCAACATCATATACATGATAGATATCATTTCAATTGTACTCAACAAAAAGGTTATTTATTATTTTCATCGGGTGGGAATTATACTAATATTGAATAGAAGAGAGGAAAATTTTTGCCACTTCTACATGAAAAAAGGATAACAAAGATTTTCTCATTTCTTTTCCACTCTGAGTAAATTGAAAAAAATGGATAAAAGGTGAAAATTGTCACAAGAATCTAGAATATATATTGATGTTGATCATCATAAACTTGATGATGTTCATGGTGAAAATTGAAACTCAACTGAAAATACAAAAGTAACAAAAGAGGAAAAGATTTTTCCTTACCCTCCCCACCCTTACCACCCACTTTTATCCTCTCCCTTGAATAATCCATTCTCATCTTTTCCACCCTGATGATAATAACAGATAAATCTATTTCAATTTTCGTCATCATCATGTTATTTTTATCATTTCTCTCTCTCTCTCTCTCTCTCTCTTAGTATATTCCTATGAATACAATGGAAATTCAATTGAAATGAATGAGCAAAAAGCAAGGGTGGGATGTTGACTGTGTGTTGGTAATGAAGAAAAAAGTTGCCTGAAAATTACAAATTGAATTTAACCTTTTCTTAGCCTTTTTGTTGATCAGAATTCCAACACCACCACCATCACCCTGTAACCCCCACTAACTCTGAACGCCTTTATTGTAGTTCTATTATTAATATAATTTCCACACCTTGACAATATATATTAGATGAAAAATTTTGGTTCCAAGAATTTCCCCTCAAAATTTAATTCCATTACTTGTGATGGAGATGGATGAGTTAAGATGAATACAAGAAGATTCTAAAAGATCAGATTCAGAATCAGAATTTTTTTTCTTCATCATCTTCCCATTCATCTTTTTCCTCCTTTTCCTACTCATCATCATGTACTAGATACACACACACTTTTTAAAATACATTCTGAAATTACGTTTCCAAATTGAATATATTTCATCTCATCTCATCTTTGCAAGAATCAATTCTGAGTATTTCATGATAATCATGATAATCATTGTGAGGGTGAAAATAAAATAAGATGAAAAAAAACTAATTTCCTGTTATATGTTTGATGAAAATGAAGATGATGATGATTATCATCATCGTCATCGAGATGTGAATACAAGTAAAAGGATGAATACTGATCATCTTCATCTTCATCTTCATCTTCATCTTCATCATGATGCAAAAAAAAGATTCAGGTTCAAACATTTTCCAAAAGTAAATCTATTTCCAAAAGAGATGGAAAAGTTTTTTATCAGTAAGTAAAATCTTCCCCTGAAAAAGACAGGTAAGTAATAGTTTTACCTTTTAATGATAAAGGTGAGGATGAAGATGATAAGCATGATGAGCATGAGGATGATGAGCATGAGGATGATTGAAGTTGGTCTAACAATTTAAGGCTGGATTACGATAAAAGTTGATTGCCTCAGAACTAAATCTGTTTCCATGAAATTGAGAAAAAAGAAAAGGTTTTCCATGTTGATCATCATCTTCCATGATGATAATTGTTTTCTCTTTCTTTTTACTTTCTTTCAGAACTTTTTTTTTCAATTATCTTGATAAATATATTATCCTCTAAGGAGATGAGGCTACTTTTGATATACAAATAATTTTCCATGATAATAATAATAATAATATCCATGGTATGATATCATGAACATCCCTTATGAATACTCATTCTGTATCTATAATTTATCTATCATTTCATTTTCAATCAAATTGATTAACAGTAGCAATTAACTTTCTATATGATAATCAGTTTGATTAGAATCATAAAACTTTTTCAGTTCTGATATTATTATTTTTTGTGGCTTCTTGTTAGTTTTGATTATTCATTTCAACAGCAACAAAATTGTTTATTGTTTCAATTATTTAGGTTTCAAAGTTAATTTGGTTGATATAAAATTCAATTAGTATCATAAACTTTCATCATGTTGGCTGAATTGTGATCAGTTCAATTTATCTTCACTAGGATAATCTACTTTTCACCTCATTGTTATTCATTAGATTTTTAGATTCAAAGTTTTTTTTTCTACAAAATTTCAAGAACATTTCGAACTTGATATTTTTCATTCTTGTTCTACTCTTCGATATTTGAGGTCAGTCTTACCCTCTTCCATGGTCAAGGTGAAGGGGGAATGTATTGTTTCCGAAAATTCTGAATGTCTCATAGTGGTGACGATCCATGTTCCCAATAAGAAAGTCCAATATCGACATGTCCATTAGATCGGGCAGTCGACGGCCTTTATTGTAGGGACCCGTTTTACGGACAATTGTATCACAATAAGAATCATCGGTCTCCCAAATGGCCTTTCGACGTTTATGATAAGATCTTCTCCATGGATGTCTCCAGATCTAAATGGAAGAAAAAATCGAAATTGTAACGCAAATGTTTGATTTAAATTCTTCTCCATCATCAAGCTTTCTCATTTTCTTTGAATTCTCACCATGGATTTCATTCAAATCATTAAACTTTTTTTTCTCTTCACAAACAATTTACTAATAATCATTAGTAGAAAGAGAGAGAGAGAGAAGAAAAAAAATAGATTAACTAACCAAACATAGAAAAAAACTTTGATTAATATAAAACTCTATTCTTTTAACTTTCGAGTCGATTCAATGGAGAAAGAAAAAACCGAATACAAAGTTCTAAAAGCATTCGAATACACAATTTACATATACTACCCACTTTCGATTAATTTTCAAACTTCTATCGAGAACAACAAAAAAGACTTACAATAAACAGGCAAAGGAAAAAAATGACTACTCCGAGTTCTGAACAATATGGAAACCATGATAATCTCAATTTCATCCCAATGAACAAAAGACATTGATATTGTTTCTTAGTTTCCAATGAAAATGGAATTAGATTAAAGCCATGAATGAAACTCATCAATCTTACATGATGATTATGATGATGAGAGAGAGAGAGAGAGAGAGAAAAGTTCCAAATTGTATTTCATTTTTACTCCATTTTCTTTATTTTTTCATAAACTCTTTTTCCCTCCTTCCATCGCCCTCCCTTTCCCATGCACTGTTTTATTATTATCATGAAAATGAAAATAATATTAGATGAACATTTGAAAATCATTTTCGCCTCATTACCTTACAAGTTTATTCCAGGATTCATTTCAATTGAACAAACTCCTCACCACTCACCCACTCCTTACCATTCATTAAACAATATTATTCTTATCATCATCATCATCATCATCATCATCATCATCATCAATGCATTCAAAATTCAGAGTAAAAGAGAAGAGAAATTTAAAAAAAAAATTCTCAACCTTTTCATCCTCATCTCCTCAATCATCATCATTATCATGATATTTTCACCACCCACTTCCCTCCTACCACCCAACCAACAATAACAACAACATCTTGCTTTGAATAATAATGATAATGATTATGATAAAAGATTATTATTATAATATAATTGAGCTTCAAATTTTTTCCCTCTTTGTATTCATAAGAATTCATATGAAAATGAACAAACAAAAAAAGAGGAGAAAAGATAAAATTAGAATAAAAATTCATGGAAATCCTATTCATCGTCATCATTATCCACCTTTATAACTGTTTTATTTTCAAATTATCATCATCATGAAATGATATTATCAACAATCATCACCACAATGAAACTTTCAACTAAACAAAATTATCAATTATTTCAATTTAAACAATTTAAATGTTTATTTAAATTTGTAGTGAAAATTTGATGGTTTTGATTGAAGATCAAAGTTACTTTTCTTGTTGACAATTAACTTGACCATTTTTGAGTTGATTGTAATTACCTTTCGTGGGGCAAGTGCTGTCGAAGGCAGGAAAGCGGCAAAACTGCCCTCCAGGGTATCGGGATGGCCACAAATTGCATGAGCAGTATCACAGTAGTAACCACATTTGCCGTGGAAGCACAAATTATTGGCTATAAGGTGATCGGTGGGTCGAGATGTGGTGGTCATGGGAGTGGAAAATAATAAGAAAATTAATATTTCTCTTGATACAAATGTAATATAATCAATTTCAACCATCAATTCTGAATATATTTGATAATCAATTCAAATCAAATTCAATTGGATTTACATGGTAACCATTTTTTTCCTTTCTCGAAATTGATTTTTTTTTTCATAGAATGAAAATAAAATTGAACTTTTAACACATTATCAATCAATTTGCTTGATCATCTCCATGAATTACCATGTAATCAATTGATGGAGAGCAAAATGATCAACTGATTGTAAGAAGGATTTAAATTGTATTATGTTTACAGATTCAATTTCTTGACCTCTCAACTTTTCTCCTCCTTCATGAACCAAATTGGGAGTTTTTTTATATATATTTTTCTGATTTTAATCATGAAAATTTCAGCTATTCTAATGTTCAAGATTGATGGTAAGTCGATGGTGATTATGATAGTGATGGGAAATAAGTTTACGATAAATTGAATAACATTATTATCCTCATGATGAAAACCATTTCCATGAATATTCATGATGATGAAACCTCCATGAAATCAGAAAGCTCATGAATTTGATTGCATTTCTCATTCCATATTATTCATTGGATAAAAATTTTATCATTTTCTTTTGCAATTTGATTCACTAATATTCATATGAGGAAATTACTATCAACATGAAAATCATCATAATCTTTGTCATCATAATTATAATCATCATCTTAACTCTTTAAGTTTTATTATTTTTTCATTCATTTGAATTACATATATATCAAAAAAAACCGGAAGGAAATGGTAATCATCATCAATGGAAATGAACAAAAATGAAATCATGTTGATGATTATCATTACTAATGTTGCCTTGGAAGATTCCGAGAGTATGATGATCATTAATAAAAAGTTACATCAATTATGAGAAAGAAAAGTTTACAAAACTTGGAACCGGAAAACGGAAACAGATCATTACAATTGCTCAGAAATTGACCAACAAAAGGCAAGACAATAATCATTTCTCACAATAATCTAAATAGTGATCATCATCATTATCAACAAATTGTCTGGGGAGTGATGGGAATCAGAACAACTAATCATTTCAATATACAACCATGAGCTAATTGAGAGTTGATAGCTCAGAATTGAATCAAAGTTACAATCAAAATAATCTCTTTCTCAAGATGATTAACTTACCAGGAGAAACAAAAAATGTCTTGAGTAGAGCATCATCACTGAGAGCATAGATCTCAGAGGTTATGTTGATAACTCGACCTACGACCGGAGGCGCTCGTCGAAAACCTAAAAGCCTATGATAGAAACAGAGAGAGAGAGCAACAATTAAGTTAACAATTGTAAAGATAATTAGTAAGAAAATCATTGAATTGGAAAGAAAAAATCTCCTAGAATTCTGATCTTAAACAGAGAAAAATTTCTTAGAACTTCAATCAAGATGAACTTTCTTTTGTGCTCAGAATTTTCCCCAGCAGAGGGAGTGAGGTTACTCAGAATTTTCGATAACCAATGAGCCTTTAAATCAATTGAACCACAGAATTGACTCTGAACCCATTATATGTTTATGGATAATCACTATCGGTTATAAGAAGTTTCAATCTTTGAAAGTTAAATTATTTACCAGGAAAATGCGAAGAGAGAAAAAAAATCGCAAGATCTTAAGTTATCATTATTTACCGTTATCTTTATTACCATTATATAATAGTTGATTGTTTTTACTTTTTATTGGTTTTGTATTCAATGAGTTTGAGTTAATATATGATAACCATCATTATCATCAGGATGATGATTATAATTAGGATGCTTAAAGGTTAAGGTAAATAAAGTCTAGGAAACAAAGTGTAATGATATTTCAAGGAGATAAAGTTTCAATGGGATGTGAGATAAAAATTCAATGGTTGATAATAATAAGAGATAACAATTGGAATCGATTCTGAAATTATATCAGATTGAAAGTGCAAGAGGAGAAGCGGGAAAATAATTCAATCTCTTCCAAATTCTTATCCTGCCCACAGAATCCCGGGTGTAGTTTGTAGTTAATGATGATATTATTGGCATGAAATGTTCACCCATTAAATTGTTAAGTCCTTTATTTTTCACCCTGTAAATTATTTGCCATTAAATTTACATGGAAAACTATTAAGAGATTTTTATTTATGAGACAATCATTTAATTTACTGAATGAGTGAACCATTGAGCTTGAAATTTTGAAAAGTAATCCTGAAAATCAGATTCAGCAGAGCAGAGGGGAAAAGTTCAGCGGAAATTGGGGAAACATAAATATAATAGTTGTTGATAATATTAGTTAACCCATTTGATTTACATCTCTCATCTTTTATTTTCCCGCCTTCCTCATTTTAACCTTTAACTAAGATTTAATTTCCAATTCAATGATTATTATCATGATAATATAATAATCATCATGTTGTTTCAGGTTGTAAAAGTTTCATGATAATTCAAAGGGTGTGTACTTGAATTAACTTACCTGTCAAGGTGAAAGGCAGCGATCTCTGAATTGTGTCTTTCAAAGTCAACAAAATAAAAATGATTTGGATCCGTTTCCTTTTCCCTGGGAAACCTGAGATTTATCCGGAGAGAGAAATTATCATGGTAAAACATGATGACACAATTAAATCGGTTTGTTGATCAACGATTTTCTTTCATCATCTTTCATGATGATCGTTTACTTTACCTCATAGGTTTGAATAAGGCTTGCCCTGAGTTCCGGTAATCAATTATCAATTTAAGTTGTGTCCCACCCTCTTTTTGTCCTGTGTGTGTGTGTGTGTGTGTTGTGTGCGTTTGTCAGATTCATGGTGGTAACATGGTGATTATATGAAACAAACAGAGATTCAATGTTATTATTATGAAGAGAAAAATATATATATTATCACACATGAAAAGTGTTCATGGGAGAGGGAGAGTGATAACAAGGTGGATGAAAATATTTGCATTTGGAAACAAAAAGCTTAGATTTGCAAAAATTTCCAATAACTCAGCATTTTGAGTGAGTTCATGGTGATATTCACGAAGAGGAAATTTGCTTTCAGGTTTCAAGATATTTTTCTCCAGTAATTCAGACATTTCTATTCCTGGTTAAAGTAAACAAATTCATGAGATCTAATGATATTCAGGAAAATGGATCATTTTAATACATCATGATGATGATAATTTGATAATATCACCATGGTAGAAGTTCAGATTTAGATTCACAATGAGTAATATATAAATGAAACAAGTATAATAATAGGAAAAAAAAAGAAAGTAATTATTATTATGTCAGAATTTTGTTAAGAAACAATTTCTCATGAAAATTGGGTGGAAAATAAAAGTTCTGCAAATGATAAGGACTCAAGTTTGAGATTTGGCCAATGAGTAGAATTGGGAACATGAATTATATCACAATTTCTGTTTCATCTCTGGCAATTTAATTTTCTGTCAGAATTTTTTTTTCTTCGTTCTCTTTGAAACTAAACAGAACAAGTATCAAATTCCTAATACTACAAATGAAAGAATCTGTTTTTGATAATAAAAACTGAGTGTCAGCTGATCGATATCAGAATTTTTCAATCCAAAAAAAGCGGCAATTCTTAGATTCAAATACAGTATTGAAAATGTACATTTTCAATTCATCAACAACTTTATGTCAAAATTATCAATCGGATTGACAACTAATCAGAGGAAAAGACTAATAAAAAATACCTGGATAAAGGTTAAGAAAATTGTTCAGGATAAATGGTGATGAGTTTCTCTTATACAAGTTCATTAAGTGAAATAAATGATTACATGGTGAATGCTAATCTAACTGAATAACTTCATTTTCTGGCTGATGAAACATTTTTCAATCGACTGACTTGGTAAACAATTTTCCTTAAGCCTTGATGATGCCAACAACAATAATCTTCATCATTAGCATGATGAAGATTCATAGTGATGAGAGAGAGAGAGAGAGAGGAAAATTCTGTAGATTGACTGAGTACGAAAAAAAATGAAAAGGAAAACAAGCAAACAAAAGGACTTCGATTCTGTTTGAATCGAAAGCCAATTTTTCTGTTGCCTCTTCCTCTTTTCTTCCTAGAATTTACCACCACACACTCTTTCTATTTCCATAATAATGAGAATCATGGATGATAATATTATCTTCATTCAGAAACCTTATCAATGATGAAATATAATACAGAGAAAATGTTTATGTACATATATGAATAATCTGGCTTTAACTGTCCTACTTGTTTATGTGACAGAGGAATGGTGAGGAGAATGATAAAAAAAGGCTATCAGCTCATCAACTAATCACTAGAAAAAATTTTCTATCGAAAAGTAAACAATATCCACAGAATTTAGGATAATTATCGAGCTTAGAATCTTAACTGAGCATTATGAGCGCCGAGAGAGAGAGAGAGAGAGAGAGAGAGAGATGGTAACTTATTTCTCTCTCAAATTTTGCTTTGAATATTATACCATTCTACCTGATGAGACATTTTGCTTGTCAGAATTTTAAATTTTCTTTTGCAACATTTATCTCGAATATTTTTTCTTTTAAATAAAAGTGAATTGGAAATTTGTCTTCCAGGTAAAGGTGAAAACGATGGAAAATATTATGTTGAAACTATTTTTTCTTTCTATTTTTTCTTATTCTTATCTGCAAAATGTATAAATATATATTCAGAGTTAGGGAGAAGAGGGTATTGAGTATACTTTTAGCATTTTCTCTCTTGTTACTGTTATGTTTTTTTACTCTGCTATTATTATCTATCTGTCATTGTCCTTCCATAGGTATATCAATCTTGTTGTGAATGTTATTTTTTCTTCCCTTTTCTCTCGAATAAAGTTGAGGGATAGAACTGAATCAGGGAAAAATTCGAGGAAAAAATTTCAAAGAAAAAGAAAATACTTATTTTTTTCTTTCTCTTCCATCTATTATAAAGATGAGAAGATGATAGAGACCAAGATAAAGGTTGTAAGTAACTTTTTCATCTTTCTTTTTATCTTCCTCTCTCTCACTCTCTCTCGCATCATCATCATCTCTTGAAATCCCTTTTCTACCCTCCTTTTAGCTCAGAATTCTGACTTTTTTCCCTGAAACTCCACCATGGATTCTATTCTGAAGACAATTTTGTTTTCCTCAAGTATTCATTCTGATGATCATGTTCATCATCACTAAAATGATTCTTTTAGAAAAAAAAGTTCACAAAATGAAACATTTTCATCCATAAAAAGATTGTAAATGTTATGATAACATGAGAGTCATGATAACCTTTATTTCAATATGTTTTCAGATCTATTGAATCAATATTATAATCACAAAGAATTATATTGAAATGTTTGACTCTAATTTCCATGAGAAAATCATAATCAATTATTTACTCTCAAGTTGCAAGAATTTGGTTAGTCAAAGAATAGCCAATGGTCAAGTTAACCAGATCAATTGATTTTCGTAAATCATCATCAGCAATAGTTTCAAGTCTCATCTTCAAGTATCATCATGATCATGAAATGAATCAAAAATGAGACTGAAAAGTAAACAAGTTTAACCTTAACAGTGATAATCAATGCTGAAAATGATTAGCAAATGATAAATAACAAATATTAGGTTTGATATTAATCCACTTGGATAAGATTAAGGATGAGAAATAGGAAGATAACATCATCATGGTCATCATAATCTTAATTATCTAGCAAATTTATTTCTCCTCTCTGATTGTCATGATTATGAGAATCATCAATTAATCTAATCATTATTTTCACTCAATTGATTAACCTTTTTTTTATCGGTTTCAAATGAACCAAAATGAAAATGATGATGATGATGACAATGAAGAGGAAGAGACAAAGGAAGATGACAATTATAATGGACAGTTGATATGGTTACTTAAAGATGATAAGATGACCTCAACAGAAAGTTAATGATGAGAAGGTAAAAGTTGATGGAGGTGGAAGATGAAAAGATGAAAGCAAAAAAAAAAGTGGTTGATTCAAGTGATTTGAAAGGTATTCTGATGATCATCAATAGGACGATAAGGAAGATGATGATGATGACTACTGGCTGAATGGATGAGGTGTAAGACTTTTCCTTTCTCTCTCTCTCTTTCTTTTTTGCTTCGAAAAAAAATTCGAACTTTTTTCTCTGCCAAATGATATAAGAAAGATAATGAACTAAGAGGAGGGAAAAGTGAAATGGATTCAGAGTATAACTTGATAATCATCATGAGCCCATCATGAGGATAGTCTGTTTATAGTTGAAAGGTAAATGGTTATGGAGACAAAGAAATAAATTCAATGGATACTCACCCACTCGGACAATTGGTAAAGTTGCCATGTCCTTCAATAAATCATCAATAGTTGAATCAGATTCAGTGTATAAATCATGCTGCCTGATATTGAGGTGAAATTTTTCCCAATTGCTTAAATTACGCCTGAGAAAAGGATAAGATAAAATTACAATTAGTTACAAAATGGAAACGGAAATTAATCTTTAAAATTTGCCATAAACAAGTTTTCCAATGGTCAACTATTTGCTGTTATGTAATATATAAGTTATTATGGTCAATCAATATGAATAAGAAAAAAAAAGTTCAGTAATAACTGAATCATATGTTGTCTATGATGATAAATATCAACATCAATATTATAATATTAACAAGAATCAACTATTATTTAGATTGTATCATGAATACACTACGGGAAGTCAAACTGATTACATAATGATGATGATGGGGTGGGTTAGGAGGAGGAGGAAGAGGGGGACAGTGTAATATAATCAAGATAAGACATGGTCATCGTCATCATTAAATATATAAGATGGACAATGATAAAGGATAACAATGAAAGTTTTCTTAGTCGAAAACATTTTCATCTTGAAACATGGTGATGATTTTGTTGTTCTTGATTGTGTTGTTGTTACTCAAGTATCCAAGTTTTTACTGTTCATGGTATTCAGAAAGTTCTGATATCATCATGATCATTATTATCATCATAATACCCCAATATTTATGGTAGACTTATCTGGGATCAATTGAGTAGTGAGTGGTCCTCATTTGTAGGGATTTCATGAATCACTCCCACCTTCAACATTATCTCCACCCCTGAATCTATTTCTCTCTCTCTCTCTCTCTCCCTCGTTATCTCCATCATGATATAAATCAGTAACATCTTCAATCTTCATCCTTTTGCTTATTTCCTCTCAATTTGATTCTAATTCTGAATGTGACTAAATCTTCATCAAGATAATCATCATGAAGGAAACTCAACTACAAATATGTTTCTGAATCATCATGAAATTATCTCTTATCAGTTCAATTGAATCATCTTATATATTTAATTTGACTCATTTCAAATAATAAATTTCTAATTAATTATTAATAGCAAAATATTCACTCAACTTTTTCAATAACAATCATCATTATATTTAAATGAATTAACCTGATAATTGAATTGATTAGTTGAGTTCATTTTCAAAGGACAATCTAAATATAACCATTAGATTAATGTTTCCAAAACAATTTACTAAACATTAAATTGCTCATTAATCAAGAAAATTGACTTTTGGTCATCAAATAGTTGATTAAATTAATCTAATCAGTAAAATTGTTTACCTTACAGATTTAGATGGGAAAATAAATCAGTTTTAATCTACTCTGAGTTACAGTTAATCCAATCAACACTCTAAATATCATAATCAAACACAGAATAACAATTGAAATGTCAATTAATTGTTGATGAATGATTAAAACTGTTAATTACACTCTAATCCTTGTTAAACAATCAACAATGTCAACAATTAAAAACTGTGAATCAGCTTAAAATCATCATGGGGACAATTAAAAATTATCTCCAATTTTGAGCACATTAATAAAGTTTTTGAAACTTGATTAAACTCCCAAGTTGATGGTTAATTGTAAATGAGAGGAAAAAGTTAAATCATCAAGTAATCAATCAATTGAATCAATCATTTTGCTAATAAACCTTTTCCAATCATTAATCTGATAATAATAATCTTATTAATCCGGTCAACTGTTTTCAAATTAAGTGTGTTTCCTAAGTGATAAAGGATTATCCCTTTTTTCATGATGATCATCGTCAAGATTTAATTGTTAGTTAATCATGTTGATAATACCACCAAATGAAATTTGATAGTAATTGTAATCTAACCAGATTAAGACTGGAAAAAGGTTTTGATATTGAGTTGATTAAGCTTAATGAAACTTGAAATGTATTAACTATCTCTCTCTCTCATTGTTATTATTAGATTAAATATCCTTACCAGCATGATGAAAGTTCATGAGATTATCGTGAAAATCCTGAATGAATCACAATTTACAGAAGTGAAAAAAATTCCAAAGACAAAGAAAAGAGAGAGAGAGAGAGATAAACATGATTACATGATGATGTTAATTGAATTAAATTCAATTGATTGCATGAGAAAACTTCATTATGAGTGAATATCTGATCAAAAGAACTTCTTGTCGATTATTAAATGAAAAGTTCTAAATAACTTAGATACAAATTCTGACAATGAGAAGAAAAACTTTTCCAATTCAACGAATGGATTTTATCCCGAATGTGAACATAAATCATATTCTGTTTCATAAACTCAGTGAGAGAGAGAGAGAAAATTTCGAATTTTTTTTTTCATTCTTCTTCGTCATAAACATCATGAAACTTACATGAGATGATTAAGAAACATGCAAATTCAACATTAATCTTCATCCAAATTGTCTTCAGTTGAATCAACTCACATCTTCAACATGGTGATGGTGATCAATAAGTTAAACTGAGATACATAAGGAAAAATATGATGATAATAATCATGATTGAATCTTAATCTTGAATCTTTTCCACCATGAAATCATTATGAATTCATGTTGTTGCTCGTTGACAGAATTGAAACCCAATTCTAATAACAATTAGTTGATGAAAAATCGTCCACATGCAATTGTCACATCTACACCCTTGTTGGTCATCACATTAATCATCAATACCAGAGTTTTTGTCATGGATTCATGATAATATTTAGGAATAGTCATTATAAATATTATCATCAATTCCATATGATTTAAAATGCAATATCGTTGTCACGTTGATAATACCAACGGAAATATTTTTCCAACGCATCAAAAGTTCAGCTTCAAGTTCATGATAAGTTGTAGAGAAGATTGAAAATTCCAAGTTGAATTTTTTCTTGGACGAAATTTTCGAAAGATAATTAACTTTCTCACTTATTCTTTTTCATCATCTGTCGAAAGAAAAGAAGAAAAATGACAAAAAGAATAAAAAAAATGTCGTCATTATCATTCGAACTCTTTGTTCTCATTTATGAATTTTCTATTTTTTTCTCGAACAAGAAAAAAAAGAAGAGAAAAGAAAAGTTCAGTGCCAACAATCAGCTCAGAATTTCAGCCAGAATTTTTGGATCTCTGATTTTCGCTCATCCATTTTTGCTTCTCTTCCATCATAATCTTCAAAAATACCGACAGAAAGATGAGAAAGAGAGTAAATGAGAGAGAAAAAGCACAAAATTCCATTTTATCGATTTTCCATTTAACACTTAATTCACCAGACAATGAACAATATCCATGATATTGTAACGATAAACATGAACAATAATGTTTCCAAATAATCTTTGACCTTTCTCCCCTTTTGCCTTCATCTTTCATCCTGATTATCATCATTCTGATCCCAGAATAAAACCTAAACATTACATATCATTAACCATGATTTACTGACCCTTACCTTTTGGTCAACAATCATGAGCAAGATCAAAGGCTTACAGTCACAAATTAATTGATTCAACAGAATATTGAATTTCTCAAATTCCTAAAATTCATCAATCATTAAACATCACCTTTTAAATTCATTTTCAATGTTACATCAACAGGGAAAAGATGAAGGAAAAAAAATCCAAGTGATCAATTCAATTCCATTGGTTCAATAAACCATAATCATCTCAATCTTAAGCTTCACCATTAAGTCTTGACCTAGTTTGTTAATGATTGTGATGATAAAGATAATGGAAGACAATTAATCAAGCTAATTACAAATTGGTGAATTATCATCATCAATTCAGTTGAATCATTAAAGTATAAATCTTATCGTTTGAATCAGATGGAAACAAATTGAGCTTAAGAGATGAACTGTTTTCTCATCTCACCTTTTCATTGATGATGATTAAAATCGTATCAGCGTAATATCATATTAATAAAGCCCAATGGAGGGTTTTACCTGGAATAATTTATCAATATGATGAGAGATTCAGAGATAAATTTATCATCATTATCATGAATCCATCGATAACTCAAAGATGAAGCGAAAATAAATGATAATAAAAATCATAAATTCTGACCCAACCCTCAATTCATATAATCAAGGCAACTGGTCAACCTTTATATTCAGATTCATGGTGTTCATCATCATCATCATGACGATAAATACAGAGTATGTCTGAATACCTGGGAAAAAAAAGACTTGATAATATTCAGGTAAATACTATCAATGTATATAAATTTCTGGTTCCTTGTACGATGAAAGTTCAGCTCAACTGCCTCAGGGAATAGAGGCTTACTCAACCCAAATTTATTACCATCATCATGATGATTCCAGGGGAAATCATCATGTATAACCCTTTTGAATATAATAATATTTCAATATTATTTACATTCAACTTTGCTATTATATAATAACAATAAATATTTGAGGAAAATATTTTCACCGTAATAAAAAGACAGACATTTAGACAGAAAATATTATATAAATATATTGGTTATCTCATGAGTATCATGACCACTCAGGATCTCTAATGAAATGATTATCATCATCACTGAAATTGAAGCCAAAATGAATATGATATTATCATTTTATCAGAATATTATTATAAATCTTTACTCTTTGCGACCTTTACCTTGGTTACCATGACAACCGGTTCCAGAATCACTATTGATCTTTAATAATATTATCTCAATATTTGATAATAATAATAATAATAATAATCATCATCATAATATGTAATTAATAGATGACGTTGCATATGAAATTGAAAGAAACGAGAAACAATTAACTTAATTGCTAAAAAAATATTATAAGAAAAAAATTCCCAAATTGAATGTTAAATATTTACTTATATTCAGATGATAATTACAATCATTATAAGCTAATTGTTGGTTAATTTATCCTGAAATCATGAGGTTCATCATCCAATACAAATTAATTTGCAATCTAATTAATAATAAATGTTATGTATGAACAAATCGTACGATAATATTACAATTATCTCTCGAATCAGAAAACGATAAACTTGAAGCTGAAAATCACACCAAATTTGATCGTAACAATTAAAGATCAAAGGTAAATAATTTAATTTAATTGTAAAGATGATGATTAATATGAAACAATCAAGTGATTATGTTTTGTTAACATGATA